TAATTATTTAAATAATTTATATAATCTAAAAAATACAAACAACTTAATTAGGAACTATCTCTATGTTATTTATAATATACCTTCAACAGTTTCTATATTCTTTTGAACATTTTAAGATTCCTCTATATTGCTTCCAATTTCAGTTCTACTTTGATACCTAAAAATCAGTTAGTATCTTCAATAACATTAAATACTTAAAGTATCTAATTTTGGGTATTATATTTTATTAATTTTATGTTGTATTTTTATGAGATTTTCTTTAGAGTTTATTTGTTGATTTAAAATTCTTTCTTATGAAAATATTTACTAGCATTGTTCTCACCGATCAATATAATAATTTCACTTTATTACTACATACTATAGTTATATACCATAAGAATAAGATTTAATTTTACTATTAGGTTATGATCTTTTAATAGGGAACAATTTAAACTTAGAGGAGAATAATTAATTTAAATAAACTTGACTTTAGTTTTATAGAATTAGGGGATTAGAGCTATTATTGTTCATAATGCGGAAAAGAATCAGGTTTCTTTTTATCCAAACTTAATATTCGAAATAAAAGCTATAAAGATAATACTAATATTGGATCGTTATAGAAATTCTAAATATATCAAAATATTTAAGAAACTTGTTTATTGTTTAATTTTCATAATCATACATAAGATAGTTTAAAATATTAGGTATAGATAAAGATCGAGAAAGAAGAAGTCTTTTAAAACAAGAATAGATAATCCGAGGATGACTTTTCTTAAAGTATTAGATTTTGCATAAAATTAATTTCATATAAGTTCAAAATAGAAAACTGTAACAAAATTTTGATTTTTTCTTTAAATTCAAACACATTGAATAAATTTAGTAATAATAGAAATTATAGATACCCTAAATAAATTTCATGTTTATATTTTAAAGCTTAAAATCTTACTAAAAAAACTATTTTATATCTTCATGTCAATTGTGAAAACTTATTGTTTTCCTATAATTTAGTAGATTATTTAAGACATAATATAAAATGAATTTAAAATATTAGGGATCGTCGAATGAGGAAAATATATTAAAAGATGCTGAATATATATATAAATAGGTTGCATTTGATTCCATTGAAGAGAAAATATGATAGTAATGAGTAGATCAATAGGAACAGGAGTTGCATGTTATTTGGCTCTTTTTTTAACTTATCTTTTAGTGTTAATCTCCTTTTGTTATTATAAGAGATTGTGAATGAGAAATATCTTTGGTTAAGAAAAAGGTCAAGGAGCACATGGTCTACAGGATATATAGTTTCACTTGAATAAGGAAAGAAATTTTATGGTATTTATTTTTTTAATAATATTTAGAATTAGGTAACAGGGCATATTTATTAAGAAAATCACCTGAAATGAAATATACTAAATTTTAATTTGAGAATAATTTAACTTTACCAAGGTTAAATCTTATGAAATCGTTAAATTAACTTAAAAAATAAAAAAATAATTATTTGAATAAGTGTTATTTTAATTTATGATTTGTATTTAGTAATTATAAAGCCAAATTTTTCAACCAGCAGGACTCAAAGGATAGTATTACGAATAAGTAAAAATTATTACTTAGGGGTATTTAGAGACAATAAAAAAAATTGGAATGGGTCAAAAATAATGAATGGGGATATAAAGATAAAAATTAGTATTAGAATGATGCTATTAATTTGCCTGGAAATAAATATAGATTTTCAAATTAGAAGATGATGAAATTTAAAGAGTGGGGAAGATATAAAATGAAATTACCATAGATCCACCAATTATTAATGACAGTTTATAGCGGAAGCACTAATTTTACATGTATACTGTCCAAAATAAGAAATAGAAATGATTATTTCTGTTGAAACATCAAGAATTAACTATAAAATATGGGTAGACAGAAAGAATATGATTGTTTTAGTTGAAACTGAAGTCACAGGAAAGGATTAAGAATAGGAAAATTCAAGATATGGAGTAGTATGTGGACAAGAACTTGATTCTGTAGAAATTTTCAATTCTTTTGTATAAATTATTAAGAAGCAAAGTATATTTTATTATATATTTAGATGAATTTGAAGATATTGATTGGGTTAAATCAAATTATATCACTCATATAATAGAATTAATTGTAAAATAAAGGAAAGAATATTATATAAAATAAAGTATTTTTGGATTAACTGCAATATTAACGAGCAAATATAATATTTACTAAAAAGATAAATCATCAAAATGATCCATGTAATAAATTATTACAGATATTACCAGAATTATCAAATGAAGATGTAGAGAATAAATTAATCAAATAATAAGAATAATCTAAAGGAACCATTAACTAAATAATTTGGATAGGTATTTTTATAATGTAACAATAATAATAAAAGGAGTAAAGCTTTTGAAAGATCATCACCATTTAATAATGAAAATATTATGAATGTTTATCATCCAGAGAGTTAGCATAAGAATGATTTGGATGAGTTCATGCTAAAAAAATAATATGCAAAGAGAAAATGGATCAATCATTAGAAGACACTGACTAATTTATTCATTCATATTTACCACAATAACTATCCCAAATATTGTTTCACAAGCTATTATATAAGATTAACTTCTAACTGAAAATGTTAGGTTATTATAACAATTACATGAATAACAATCTATTTTGAATTTTTAAAGTTTAAAGTTACTGAATCCTTCGTGTGAACCATGAAGACAAAAAGATTAAAAAACAAATAAAACTATTTAAGTTATTAAATTTACTAGAAATGCAAAGGAAAATGCATAACCTCTTCAAGAAATTAAAGTTGATGTCAAAAATACATATATAAAGGAAATAACATCTTTATTAAGTGTAGAAGGTGATAAATTATTATTTTAACAATGAATATACTCAGATGAAATGAAAACTTAGATAAAGTGTAAAAAAGTCTTTCTAAAATTATTGGAGAAAAAGGTATGTATTTATATTTAAGTCAAGGTTTCAGATTTAGATTAATAAATTTCTGAATAGAAGAAAACTACTCTTCAATCCTTTGAATATTTAACTTAGATTTTTACAATCACATCCCATTTAAATAGTATGGTAATAGGGAATACGATGGCAATTGATTAAATAATGGAATACTCATCATCTGATTAAAGACAATTGATTTTAGACTCATATATTGTAAGTATCCAAATAAATACAGATGAGATATGGTATATTTGGAATTAAGAGAAGAGATTAATTTAAATAAGCAGTAAAAAATATATTTAAAAAACTTTTTAAAGGGCAATTATGGTTTGCTACTTATGAGTTGGAATAAAAACATAAATAATTGTAATAGACAGTGACCTATTTGTAGATGATCATGAATTTAATAATTATGTGGAAATACTAAATGAAGAGGCAAAGTTAGAAGCTCCCATTTCTTAGCACTAAGTAGAATTTGCATTGACTGTTTAGCTAATCCAGCATTTGGTCTAGGAATACATTTACTTGTAGCATATATAACACAATTAAAATTAAAATAAGTCGAACACCCATTTTGAGTTATGCCATCTTTAAGAGTTACTTTATGAGCATTTTCACATTTAATATCTATTGAGCATAATATAATTATAGTTAAAAAGGAATTGACTATGACTATTATAAGAACTTGGAGCATTAGCACAATTTATAGTGCAGCATTTGGCATTATGCCAGAAGCAATTTCTTCCATTTACATTAGTTTTACAAGTTACTTCCAAATTAATTGCTTCACAAGTTGTATTTATTCTACATCCACCACCATTTTGAGTGACACAATTTCCTTATGGTAAATAGGCTTCACATTAATCATTTATAACAGTAGTATTTGGAGCATTAAGACATTTTCTATCAGTACATTTTGAAGAAGCACCAACTTAAGCGGTACAAGTTTTGATAAAGATAGTACATTAATCATGTCCAACATATGAGGAACCAGCATTATCAAAAATCTTGTCTTTACAATTTGCACAATCCCAATGACAAAGACCTCCGCTTAATATCTTATTATAAGCTTCTTTAATTGTTGCAGCACCAATAATAATAGAAAGTTTCTACAAACTTGATTCAAAAATGTGAAATAAAATTCTATATATAATAAATTAATTAAATAATTATTTATATTCTTATTTTAATCAACATACTTTTTTTTCGAATAAGACCCAATGAAATTTTTAGATAGAGATGTAAGTGAAGAAAAATTGTACAACGAAGATATTGCTTCTATATAAAATAATTTATCTTGAATAGCAACATGGACCTAATTTATGGCTTACAAATATATACTGAATTAATTAATTAGAAATAATTATAAGATAAAGATAAGTTTTTTTTTTACTATTGCATCAAATATTAATTGTGCCAGAGTTATGGAGAATGAATTATTAATACATTATTCTTTAAAAATGAAAACTTCGGTCTCATGGTTTTAAAGCGAATATTCAGTTGCATTTGTTAATCCGATGTCAGAGGAGATTTAGCTATGCTCAAATAATAGTATGTAAGACTAATTTAAATAAAATTGTCTCTCACAGAAAAATTATGCTATTAATTTATTTGTGGTACAACTAATAAGCCAAAAATTCATCTCAGGAATTAGCAAGCCGCATTACTAAATTATTGCTGAAACATATTTCAATCTAAATTAAATATTGACTTAACCATTAAATAGGGAACAAATATTTTTTCGAATGCTCATTATATAGAGAATAATTAAAAGTTAATAACATTGAACATTTTTTCATAAACTCTAAGAAAATGATTCTTGAATACTCTAATTAATGAATATACAAAAAATAAATGTCTCTTTTGATATTTAATGTAATGGATTTTAATATTATTTATAAAAAGTTTAAAAAAAAACAGATTTAACGTCTAAAATTGGTAAAACTTTAATTGCAAATGCTTGATTGCCCAAAGGAGAGAGTAATTGTATAAAATAAATATTAGTTGAAAACGTAATTGCATATAACTTTATTTTTTATTTTTTTTGTTGAACATAAATAGAAACATCTTCCCTTGACATAAAAGTCTTCATTAAATTTAAAAACTTTAAAAATTAATTTATCCCTTTTTTGATGAATTTATACCTTATTTAGCAATGTTGCAGATTCAATTTTTCAAAATTCATTTGATTTCTGTTCATATTTATCCTCCTTAAATTATAGGTCCAAAAATCTAGCCTGCAATAATTAATGATGTTATATTTCTTTCATTATCTTTTTATGTTCGAAATTGTTAGGTTTGGTGTCAATCACCACATAACATCAACAGCCATTGATAATTCTATTTCTCCATACTGAAATGCTCATATGATTAAATTCTTATTAACTTACTTTAAGATCTTTATCATCACCAGAATCTGTAGCAAACTTTTTAAAAAGAAATAAACTGTCATTCTATAATTTGATAAATTCACTCCATCTTTCTCAATTGCGTTCTTCATAATTTAGTATTAATAAATGTATGTAAATAAAATTACAAGCCTAATTTTATAAGTTTGAAGAAAATCAAGAAATCTATTATTTTTCTATTCTTTTCCAATCTTTATGAAAATTGTACAAACTTTGGATTTAATATTTTTTATCTCACAAACATAATATTTTGAATACGACAAACTGTATCATCCTTTTTTTTTGTTTAAAAATGCTATATATGATTAATTATATTATTATGTATATAAATTAGTAAGAAAAACTTGTATACACTTAAAGGATTTGTTTGTCTATTTTAACTAAGATGATGGGAAGTAGGTTTTCATTAAAATTAATTGAAAAAGATTCTATTTTATAAATAAAATAAATTATTGATATTAAATTTTTCAAAAGAAATTCAATATGGCAATGGTGATAATATTAATAAAGAATGCTTGGAGACATTGTTAACATTGAACTCCTAGTTTATCATCTTTAACCCATCTGTAGGTGTGATCAGATTAAACATAACATATAGAATTATCAAACCTATAGTAAGTGTCTACAAAAGGTTCACATTTTTGATTTTTCCATACGCACAATAAAATCTATGGATCTACTAGATTGACAACAACATTTGTGCAATCTTCTTGCTAAAGATAATCTTAGCATTAAAAAGGAACACATGATGAAAAGTAGTAACTCCATTAACAAGCAGGAGTCAATTATTGACAAATTGAGATATTCATAACTTTATCACAAGAAGAAATGACTTCACAATTATCTGTTGATGTATTCCAATAACAAAAACCATCTGATCCTAAGATTCCAAATTTGCAATTTTGATTTGAATATTATCCACATGAGTTTAAACTTGATGCTGGTTAGCATTATGAATTGCTTACAGATTAACATTATAAAGATTATGCAATACAATCTAAAGAAGTTGTTCCATTTAAATCAGAACACTTTGTAAAAGTAATACATGATCCATTTTTCCACATACACTCATTCTATTAAGAACAATGAACTGAATCAAAAATTTCTGTGCATTCTGATTTAACACATTTATTATTCTAAATGAGTTTGCATACAGGTTTAGCTAATGTACATTCTACATCATTCAATAATGTACATGAACATGTATGTTTTGGTTTAATTTAGTTTAAAGAACATGAGACACAATTAGAAGCAGAAGAACAAGATTTACCATTCCAAATGCATAGTTAAATATTCGCTTTATTAATGTTCTAAAAAACATAGGTACATGTATCTTTGGTTGTATAGGAAGAGCAAAATATTTATAAGCAGGTTTTTGTTTATGAATTCCATTAGCATATTTTATCAAATAAGGAGCACTCACTAAAATTATCTAATTGACTGCAGTTGTTTAGCACTTGGCATTATTAATTTTTGTAGGTACAATAACCTTCTTATCCAACACTATTCGCACATAATTATAAAGACTTCATACTAGAACATGTTTAAAGATGGCTTCTGTTTTAACATATCCCATTTAAAGAAACAGGACAAAGTTTAGTTTATGCTAGACATTCTAGAGAATTTTTTCCACGTAAAGTTGTGCAAAAGTCAACTATCTATAGAGACGGAATATTGTTACACTATCCATTTTGATAATCATAAATACTATACTACCAATAGCATTAAATATTTTAGATACAATTAAACTGACTTTTTCCATAACAATTAAAATCTTAGCAAAAGCCATTTTCCCAATAACATTCAGTTAAATTGCATTCCTACTCAGTTAATAATTGAGAACACAAACATTGATTTTATGGTTAAAGTTGTTATTGAATAGGTAAATTACATGGTATACAAATTCCATCATTTTAGTTTGAACTCCATCTCGCAGTGAAAGCTGAATTAGTATAACATGTTTATTCAGAAAAAACTGTATTTGTAGATTAACAAGAACCGTTTATCCATGCACATGGTTGTATATAATTCTATTTTTATAGATCAATTGTATAAGTGCATGATTCTTTAGAAATATATAAGTTGCAAGTTTTGAAGTTACATCCAAGCTCCCATATACAAATTGGATTGCTAACACATTATATTTGAGAGCTATAATAATTACATAAATTTCGTTATTAGCAACCTTCATAAGGATTCCATTAGCAACTTTTGATTTAATAACATTCTTAAATTGTCAAATTTAAACAAATTTTTGGATTTGGTAAAGGAGGTACTTCACACTTTTAAGTATTAGAATTATAATAAGGGCAATATAGCGATTAAGCTTAGCATTCTTATGAATTTGTGGCTATCAGATTAGTACATGATGAAAACGATTAACAAGTTCCAGTCCACATACATTATGAGTTTTGAATACATAATGATTAAATTAAATTAGTACATGGTAATTGTTAACATTAATTATTTTAAGCGTTCCATGTGCATTATAGACTTTATAAACAATTTATTTAAGATATTATTTAAGAACAAGAACACTGATATGGATTTACAGAATTTGGAGTTTAACAACTTAAACAAGAATTTAATGTATAACTCCATTAGGCAGTCAATCTAGTATTAATTGAACAAGTTGAAGCACTTAATTATGTCATAAAATTAGTTGTTTAAGCACAAACTCCAGAGATAGAATTCCAATAGCATGGAATTGGAGTATAAGAATTGATGGATGAATAATAATATTAGCATGTAGCTTGAGTGTTGAAGCTTGAACATCCTATAGATTGACAATTAGTAGTCCAAGTGCATTACTTAGAAAAATATTGGCAATCTTATTATTATGTTATTTATTAACATTTACTTAATACTTAACAAGAATTATTCTGCCAAAAGCATAAACCATTATTCCCTAAAGAATTAGCACATGAACTTTGATTTTAATAATTTGAGCAAGGTTTTAATGATTTTTTGTCCTGACAAGTAATTCCATTACTTGCTGGACAGTTGACACTTAATAAAATACATTCTTGTTAAGATGTTCCAAAAAGCTCATTACAAATTTTAAATGGTTGACATTAACCTGAAATCCAAGCACATTATGGATTACTTGCACAATTAATTTGTTAATTAATATTCTAGCATGACTAATAAGTACAAGAAGAATACAACCATATACAAGATGAAGTCATTTCGCAAACTTATTAATTATACAATTAAAAACACGAGCATTACTTTGGAAGTTGTAAATAAAGGGATATTAGTTAATTAGTTTATGAACAAGATACACAACTTGATCCAGTCCATTTATAAGTATCGAGAGTATTTGATATACATTATTCAGAATCTAAATTATTAGAATCTATTAAATTTTCACATCTCCCATTATTCCAAATACATGGTTAAACTTCATCAGAGTACAAATCTGGAATAGTATATTTACATAAGTTTTCTAATTAAATTTACTAACAACTAAATGATTCACATTTATTATTCTTCCAGTTGCACGATAATGAAAATCTTTAACATTATCGTTGTTCAGTGATGTGAATACATTTCTTTACTAGTTTACATTGGCCTTAATTCCAATAACAATATCCGTATTAAGATTAACAACTTTGTTGTTATTAGTATAATGCACAAGTATTTTCACTTAAAGGATAACATTAGTTTTCATAAAAGAAAGGGCAGGAAAGTGTTAGAGTGAGACATTACTATGTCTCATATGAATAAATATCATTACATCCATTATAATTAGAATAACAAAAATTTAATTACCACAAGCAATTACTATTTTAAATGCAAGTTAATTAATCACTTATCTAATTACAACTTAATTGTATACAGTAGCTATTCTACCAAAGACAATAAGTTGACTATTCACATTATTCAATTTGGAAATTAGAACATGGACAACTATTTTTTGGATTATAAATTGAAATTATATTATTGATTTTAAAATTGCAAGGAATACATATTCCTCTGTTATCTATGCTATTTCGATCTTGAATCCAATAGTATGTCTATAAGGTTTTTAAGGAACAGTTTTCAGCTGATAATTAAGAGACTTTTTAGATTGGTTAACAGTAACCATATTCAAAAATGCAAGGCATTATAGTATACATATTTTAGACTCCAAGTACATATGTACAACTCGCTTAATTTAAATTGTAGCATGATTGTTGTACACATGAATTGAAAGGACCATCCCAAAAGCAGGCGTTCGAAAAGGATAAACATTGATTCATTGATAATTAGTTACAGTTTGAAACTGTTTAACAAGTGTTATTTTGCTGATTCCATATACATGGTGTACCTCCATAACCTATTGTTTAGAGAGCACATTCATCTTAGTTTAATGAATAGCAATAAGGCAATTCATCTAACGACTAACAGCTTGAGGTGCTGTTGTTAAGACTATAACATTAAATATTTTAATTAGTGCAAGATAAGTTTTGGGGGTTTAAATTAGAGCACTCCTAAAATTATTAACACTAAGTTCCATCCCAATAGCATTCAACATAATTTTTTAAACAGTTAGACTATGTATTCAAATTTTTGCATGGTACAGGTTCACATATTTTTTTGCTTGAATTCCATTAGCATTATTCAGTATTGTAATTACTTCCACATGAATATTCATGAAATTATGAACATTCACATTAATTAGTGATTTAAATAGTCAATTAGGCTAGGCTTATTACTCCTAAGGAAATTAAGATTAATATGATAATATTTTGTTTCATTATTATTGAATTAGATCATATAATATAGGTTGACTTATAAAGCAAATTTTATTACATTTACAATCTATAATATATTAAATCATGATCATATAAAACTTCAAATATCTAACTCAAATGAAAAAAATACAAGAATAGACTTAGCAATATATTTTCATATCATTATTGATGATAGCAAAGTTAATTCTTTATATGACTTGCTATTCTGCCAAAATTTATTATTCTGTAAAATTTATTAATTATAAAAAATAACATTTTCTCTATATTTCTTATAATCGATCAACATTCACTCTTTACCTTTGAATAGTTATAAACAGTTGAGTCTTAGTATTTTGTCCAAAAATCCATTTGGCTAATAAGTAATATATGTAAATTATAAGATCTTAGAAATTCACTAAATAATTTTTTTTCTATATAATAAAACAAACAATAATTATAATTGATAATATAATATTTGTAAATTCCTTAGATTTAATTATCAATACATGAATATGGTAAACTTGTTTCATATTCAACACAACTTAATGATTGAATTAATAGATAAAATAATAATAAATTTTTTCAAGTACTATTAATTTTCAAAATAGTTTCTATATATAAGTTTATTGTCCACTTTTTGTTATTCTATGAAAAAACAAAGTCTATATCATTTAGCAAATACCCAATTCTTTGCAAAAGAGAATATCAAATTTGATACATAACTGATTATACTTATAATCAAAAATAAATTCATGCAAATTTTGCAATAAGATTTATAATCTAAAAAAAAATGCAGAAATAGAAAAGTTTATAATTTTTCAAAATAGATATAAAGACGTGTTTTAAATTTTTCAAGTTTTTATTGTTTATCTCTTAAGATAATATTATTTATAAAAGAAAATAAAATTCAAAATTCTTAGGTTAGATGAAAGAATTTGATTAAAATAATATATTGGAAATCTTAATTAACCACAAAATATTTTTGTATGTATTTGTATTCTGAAACACTAATTAAAACCATTAGTTCATTGTAAAAACCTTAATTATGCTGAATTTTAAGAATACAAACTATCATTGAATTATTTAAGAGTAATATATTTCCCTAAAAATTCATTATATTTTGCAACAAGTGGCAAAATAAAAATGCAGATTAATAAAGATTCTTTATGAGAGATCTGTAGAATATAATTCCTACTAATTGATAAATTTGGAGATTAGATATTATCATAAATCCATAATAAAAGATAAATTATCAAATAAATAAATTAATGTAGCATCTTAGAAAGAATCTAATAAATTATTAATGAAACCAGTTGATTCTCTGAATAAAAATATTTAAAGTTTATTTATATAATCATTAACAATACATGATTAAAAAATACTATTTATATAATATATAATTTTAATATTATATATATTTCAGAATTTGAATATTTATAGATTGATCATAATTTTAGAGATGGTTATTCGATTAAGATTTTCAAAATTATTCAAAGATCATTGTAATTTTGAGCTTTTTTTCTTTCGAGAAAATTTTTCAAAGAGAAAATAAATTAATAGATTTACGAAATCATTAAATTTTAATAAATCATTAATTTTTAATAATAATTTTTCAGGCTAAAAAACAATAAATCAATTTTTATTCTCTTAGAAATTAAGAGGCCACAAAATTATCATAATTGCTGTGAAAAATTCTTAATAACCATTCATAAATTTTCTTCAGATTGAACTCTCCTTAATATAAGAAAAAATTATTTATTTATATATACTGAATTATAGAGAATAACTAAATATATTGTTTTTCTTTTTTATTAATATCCAATATTTCTAACAGTCTATTAATTCCAGATATTAAACTCCTTTTTTTAAATAAAACAGTATATTCTGTAATATAAAAAATGGATTTTTGTATAAATTTATAAATTGCTTCAAGTTTAAATAAAGAAATGGTTAAAAAATTATGAAATGATTTTGGATAATGAAATCTGCAATCTAATTAAAAGGTAATTAAATTATTATAATTATATTAAGTGATAAAATTAATATAGTACAAAGATATTGTTTTGCTGACAAAGATAGGCAAGGAAACTAGCGACTGGTTTAATTTAGTAATAAGTAAACAATATGTAAAATTAATGGTTGTTGAATAATTTATTTTTTAATCAATAATTTTAGAATCTATTTTAAATTGTAATAAATTAAATTTTAACTGAATTTATTTTTTTAATTTCTAGAATTCTTAAATAAATATTTAGAATTCTTGAACATCAAGGAGTTATCCAAATAAAGATTTAATTTATGAGATAATTTCTAATTTTAGAATTAATTCCTTGGTTTAAGCAATATTTTAAAAAGAAGAAAAAATAAAAATTTATTTTAATTTTACTTTAATTTTCTATAGGATTAATTTAAATTAATTAAAGGTCAAGGTGATTAGGTAATCATCAACAATTATTATGATAAATTTCAACTTGATTCTACTCATATATAAATTATTGATACATTATAGAAAACTAATGGAGATCATGATGTAGTATTTGAATACTTAAATGATGAGATTAAAAAATATATAAATAATAATAGTTTTAATATATTTATGGCATTTTATATCTAGACATACTCTGTAAAAAAATAATATTTTATCAAATATATTTAAATTAATTGGGTTTAAAATTGAAGAGCAATTAAAAATTTTTTCTCTAAAACATAATAGTTTTAACAAAATTTTGTTGAGCTTTTTGCAACTTCAATTGTACCTTAATCATTCATGAAGAATTTTTACTTTAACAATAAAAATGAAGATATCAATTATATTCAATTAAAGATTGAAAATATTCAAAATTTTAAAATAATCATCTTAAAATTCATTTTAATTCTTAGGTATTAGGAGTTCTTAAATTTATTTTTTAAGACTAAATCAAGTAAAGGTTATTCTTAAAAAAAAAATTGGCCAACTTTATCGTTTGATCTAAGTCCAAGAAATTCACGAATCTACTTTCATCATAAAGTAAATATGTATTGATTCATATGAATATTAAAAAATATTAATAATTATATATTTTATTTTTAATTAGAGCTTAAAGATAATATTTTCATTGAATTATTATTTAAAAAAGAAAAAATATCTTGAAGTCTATTTAAAATGAAAAATTTTTCATGCTCATAAATTTATTGGAACCAATATTATTAAAGTAATAATTCTACAATTAAAATGAATCAAAGAAATAATCGAATATATAGTTTTATTATTCTTTACAAAATACTTTTAGTTCAAGATTAAGATGGAATCACTTCTGTTATTATACCTTAAAAATTTAAGAAATTTTTAGTTGATCATCCTCTATTTAAAATAAACAAAGCTAGACAAAAAAGATGATTTAACAAAAAATTATAATAACATTTTAAGAAAACTAATTCAGAAAATTAGAAAGATAATGTAATTTGTTTTTAATTGTCTTTCAAATAATTTTATAAAAGCTTATCAATTAAATATAAGAGTCTTAGTGAAAAACTTTTTCCAATTATATTAGATTTTCTTATTAATTTGTTAATTGAAAAAATGATATTATAAATAAAGTATAATTAACAAAATAAAGATTTAAGGTATTTTTGAAAAAAAACATATAATAGTTTAAATTTTAGCAAACTAATAGTAATTTTAAACGAATAATAGGGCTACTTTTTAAAAAAATTAAAAATAATCGGAAAGTTTTTAAGTTTTTGAAGTAAGACTATAAAAATTATTTGAATTCCTTAGAATAAAAATAGAAATAGAAAATGTCATTGTTTTCAAATTTTATTCATAAATTTTTAACAAATAAAAATATATTGATTTTGTAATTTAATTGATAAAAATAAATGATAGAATTTAAATAAATAAAATAATGACGTCATAGTTTTGTTAATATGTAGATCATTATGAAAGTCCAATAATTGGAGCATGTTTAAAAATAGATTGTAAATATTCAAGATCTTATTGTCATCATTGTATTATAAAACATCATATTAAACATACTGATGATTTAAAGACATTTAAATAATTAAATGAATGGATCAATTTATAAATTACTACATATTAAAACTTAAAAACCTTTATAAATGATATAACATAACTAAGTGAAGGATTATCAAAATTTTTAGTTTCAATTAATGTTAATTAGTAAATAGATTATTCATAAGTATCATAAGAAGTTATGAAAGATGAAATTAACAAATTAATTAGAATTTCAATGTCAAAAGTTTCATTACTTTATATAAGACAAGAAATAATAAAATGAATAAATACGAAAATTAAAATTTGAAAATTAAAAATTTAAACAGTAAATAGAATAGATATAATAAGAAAAATTATAAATTAATTAACTAACTAAGTCAGCATTAATTACATTGTATGTGTCTAACTAAATCGAGTAAGTATAAAAGTAATAATAATCATTTGATCGATTAGAATAATCATTGCAATCAAACTAATTATAATAATTTTAATAATCAGACAAACAAGATAATTCTTGATAAGTAAAATAACCCACATGGTTTTAATAAAATATGGACTCTTCATATAAAAATTTGGAATTTAAATTTATTAAATGCAGTGGTATTATTGTTGAAAATGGTGGTAAGAAAGCTACAGGCAATCAATTTGGTTCGTATGTTGTTTTCTGTGAGTCAAGCATTCCATTAAATCAGAATGTAAAACTTGCATTTCGTATGATATCACTACCATTAATGGGTGACGTTGAATTAGGTATCTGTTCTAAGGATTAATCTGGAAATTTGAATAATAAGAACAGGTATATGATTAATAAGTATTCCATTCAATTTATTGAAAGAGATATTGTTTTACTTGATATAAGAATGAAAGATAAAAAAATAATATTTAAAAACCTAAGATCATCAGAATAATAAGTAAATAAATATTATAATAATATAGCAAATGTCAATTGACACTTCACAAGTTTTATATCCATGTGCTCTATTATATATGTCCTGTATTTAAATAGTGGATGAAAAAGATTATTTGAATAATTATTAAGAATTAATATAATCACTAATAAATAGATACTTAAATCCTCCTTCGACTATTGCGTATGCTGGTTATACTTTGTTGTTTAATAACGTTATCCCACAAACTATAATTTTTCATTTTTATAAACTATTTTTCAAACTGAATGAATACTATTTGAAATTATAAATTCCATCACATGGGTATATCATGAGATTTATTATTCAAAAAACACAACATAAAAAATATGATTCTAAAGCATAAAATTTTCTATTATTTAATTAATAAAATTTAATTAGCTATATGTCCTAAGGGTATATAATGCTTATTAGTTATATTAAAAAGTATTTTGAGGGAAAATGGTGTTAAAAATAAAATTGAAAAAGAATTTATCCTTCACTCAATATTTGTGTTAATAATTTATATCAATTAAAAATAAACAACTCAAACTTTGTCAAAAAAATAAATTTATTACTCAAACCTAAAATAATTTTTATACGCTTTATTTATAATATTTTTAATTTGTTTGATTATTTATCCTTCTATTATGATGCAACAATTCAAAAATATTCATTACATTACTTGAAAAAATAAATTGTATTATTCGTAAAAAATTTTTTATATATGCCTTAGTAAACATTACTTATTGTTTAAGTTATGTATCAAAGAAGTTGTAAAAAATTAAATGGGATTAAAAATGTTTTCATGAGAATATTAAATATTATAATATGAGCAAGGAGCAACATTAATATGTAAATGCTTGCCAAAAATTGGACAATACAATCTAGAATGGCCATCTAAATTATTGTATGATTAAGTAAATGAGTTAATTTAACATTAGCCAATATTATGTTTGTAATACAATAATCTTCTTAAATAATTTAACAATAAAAATTTTTATTTTGTCATACAATATATGTTTTTAAAATATATAATTAGATAATATTGTTAAATTTGTAAAACCTAATATTTTTAAGATTATACGAATTAAATTGAAAGTTCTTCACAATGAATTATACTTGTCAAATCTAAGGTCTAAAACTTTTTAATGTTATTTTAAAGAATAAAATTTACAGAAAATTATTTCACCTGGTTTTAATTTCTTTTATTGTAAGTTTTTAAGTCTTGAATTTTTTAAAATTGTAGAATATTTACAGTTAAGCATTTTGGAAATTATTCGTTTATCAAACTTTGTCATGTCTAAATTTTTTTGAAAAGTAAGCAGGAATTTTCTGAATTATAAAAAACCAACTGCCAAATTATTTTTCCTGAAGCAATTATTTTTTTTGTCTAATTCAAAATTGATAAAATCATTTTTATAAATGTCTTAGGATTCTCCCATTCTGCATCATAAGTATTTTGACAAATTAAAGTTAGAGAAAAAAAATTAAAAATGTTTAGAAAACTCATGCATTTGTATCTTAATATATTATTGTATTATTCATTATGAGAATTAGGATTGGATTAGTTGAATCCACATGCGAAGTGTTTAAAACAATCATGACTCCAGATTTAGGTGAGAAAATAATCGAATAAGATTTATCATCACTTGTTTCAATAAATTACGCTTGGGGAGTATGGACAAAATATTCACAATATTATGTACCTATAAATGATATTGCCTTGTCTATCTAAACTATGCATATTGTAACAGAAAAATAATCGGATTTTACATACATGGTTTATTACATATCCTTGGATAAAGAAGAGTAATAATTTACTCATAGTTTATATTTATATCATTAAGGAAGTTATTAAATAAGAGAATTATTTATAGATTAATCACTTGCAAAGGAAAAATGGGTGTTTTTTTATTTTTGTTACAAAGAATCATTGTCAAATTATAATATATTTTTATATATATAAAAAGATGACATAAATGTTTAAATGATTGGAGGAGGACCTTACACTATTGAAATTAGAGATTATAAAGAATATGTCCTAGGAGGATCATCAATTGTAATTATATATAATAAAAATAAGTTTACTCGAGCATTTGATTAATCCTAGACGTAAGAGTTGAAATTATTTTCTGGTTAAATAAGTACTATGGATCTTAGAGAAGGATTAAATTATTACTATTCTGATATTCCAACATTTTTAGCTAATTTGGAGGTAAATTGTGAAATTTAAGCATGTGGAGATCTAGTTAATATTCTCCTAACATCATATATGAAAAGTGGATCTATTTTAAAATAGCCAATATCATATTAGGACAGTAAATTTATGATATCTGGTTGGGTATTACTAAAAGAGTTGCCTGAAGTAATTTATATATGAAATTTAGTAATAAACTGTTGAAAGTGTTTTAATAAGAGCTACATTAAGATATGCCTATTTCTAGGACAAATATTAAGGAGATAAAGCCATATATTGGAAGTATATACAAAGTACTCTTAATTAAAACTTAAATGGGTTCTAAATAACTACCTATCATTATAATTAATCTGAACCTCTAAATTCTTATAAAACTTTAGAGAGTGATTCTTGGTTAGTGTTAGATCCTTATTATTATGAAGCTTTAACATTTTGGCATTGGTTTGTTTATTAAGAAGGAGTTGATGGTGCAAATAATATTAGACTTACTATTTATTTTGGTCTTGGAAAACAAGAAAAGATATTCACAATGTAATAATTACATTAAGAAAATGCTAAACTATATTTCAATATTGGTGGAGACAAGTACAATTAAAATTTTAATGGATTCATAAGTGATTTAACATTTAAATATTGCTATGATAATGATACACCAAATCCTAAAGGTATTTTAATTTTTGATATAATTAGTGTGTCATATTTCTTGTAAAGCATGTTATGGTCCACTTGAAACTAATTGTTTAACATGTGAAGATCCTTTAACATCTAATAGAGAATTGTCAAAATCCTCATGTTTATGTTAAGAGGGATATATTGATGTTGGAAACTAGAATTGTAAACGTATTTTATTTTAAATAAATATAAGTTCGAGGAGCTATTTTAAAGAATATCAATATCTAAGAAGATATAGCATAATAGAATATGGGTTGCACAAGATATTAATTTGAAGTTATTATAAATGGAAATTAATACTGTTTAAATTGTCCAGGATAGATTACTACATTTGGATTATATTGTATAGATTGTATTCAGAATCCTAGTTCATGGTACTTGAATACTAGATGTACAACAGATTATTTAATGCCTTTTACGAATGAAACTAATTATGTATTTTTGAAAAAAGAGCGAAAGACTAAAGATTTTGAATTTTATTTAATTAATTTCGATGACCATTCACAATAACCTATTTTAGAGCCATGCTATGGATGTTTAGAATTGACTAATAGTACCATTAATTTTATTGAAAAATTCACATTAGATAGAGTATAGAAAATATTATGTAAAAATTGTTATAGATCTATTAATGGAGAGTGTATAAACTTTAATATGAATTGTAATTAATGTGACGATAATCATTTATGTTCAAGTTGTGAATTAAATTACACTCTATTTGAAAATAAGTGTTTTGAATGTCCTATATAATGTCCGAATTGTTAATACAATTAAACTGGATATTACTGCAATAGTTGCATTGATGGATATTATTTTAATTAAACATTGTAATAATGTTAGCAATGTGGTCAGAATTGTAAAATTTGTATTTTCTCTTAAGTATTGAAGAACTTATAATGTGTTAGATGCATTCATGATTAAGATTATTTTATTTCTGCAGAAAAATTAAATTGCTAGAAAAAATCTTTACCTAACTGTGAATTAGAATCAACAGAAAATTATATTGTATTTTATAATAAAAGTTATGTATTGAAAACCTAACAATATAGTAATTCTCTAGATATAATTGCTTTTAAAGAAACACTTCCAACTTTATAAATGTGTATAAAGTGTAAAAATGGGTTTGTCAATTTATTATTAGTTCAACAATTTTATGCATGTGTTACAGTAGAATCTTTAGAAAAAACTCTGCCTAAAGTATTAAAACTTAAAGTTCTTGGATCTTAAAATAATAATTTCTAATTGGCTTTGATTAGTAAACCCTAAAGTCCCGAATAAAAGTATTAAATTATATATGGAGAACGTATTAATCCTTACCCTACAACTACTATTATTTAAAATCCCATCACTGGTGTTTTCTGTGATGATCCAAAGTGCATTATATGTGTTAATAATTATATTTAAGAATAATAATATTGCATGTATTGTTACAATGGTTATTATCCAAATACATTCCTTGGTAGATGTTATTAATGTCCACCAGATTGTTCTACTTGTTTAGAATAAAATAAAATCTATTAGGATGCTTGGAAATGGGATTATAAAATTAATTATCATTTTAGAAGTTAATTACTAGATGGATTGCATACCTTCAATGTTTTTGGAACTTCATTAAATCTTGATAATTTAGAAATCATTTGTACAAGTTGTCCATAAAATGGTATACTCTATAATAATAAATGTTATCCAAAATGTGAATGTGACTCTTGCATTATTGAAAATGAAATCCCAGTATGTATTAGTTGTAAAAGTCTAAATACTAAAACCGTATATGAAGGATAATGTCATCAGTGTCCTAAATTTTGTGAATTATGTAGAGAAATTAGACTAGAAGAGAGATTAAAAATCAATCCCTATTTCTACCCTACTGATATAACTCTACTTAAATATGCTTAGTAATGTATAAAACGCTAATCTGAACCTCCAACTTAGGGAATATTTTATTATGATACTTCTTTAGGATATGAAATCAATTGTTTAAATCCTGAAAAAAAAAATTGTTATCTTTATCTTGAAATTCCTCTAAATATTTACTGTTCCAAACTTTCATTTGATTCATAATTTAATAAAATGAATACTTTAGAAGAATAAGATGATTTCTTAAGCAAAAATGCACTTATTTCCTCTATTTTTTCCACAAATACTTAAACTCATTTCTCTGTAGAAACTGATTATTTATTTAACGAATTAAATCAAAAAAGTGTTAAATTAGTTAGATATATCTTAAACATAATACCATCTACAACAGATTGTGTTATCAAAAAAAATACATTTATTTAATCTGACATTCGTCGAAATGTTTTCACTGTTCAATATTTAGAATTAATATTTTAATCATCAAGTAATAGATAGGTATATTTCGATAACAATGTAACATTTTATGAATTTACTTCTATTAGTATAAAGAACCTTTAGATTATTCCAATAAGTACAATTAGTATATTTAATATTCATAATCTTTATGGTGGTTCAATTTTAATAGATTAAATCAAAATTAAGAATATCAATGAAAATCAGTTTCAAATTAAAATCTTAAATCCTATAAGTATAATTATAAAGAATTTTGAAATATCAGACTCTCTAATAGTAAATCTTAATGGAATTATTAATTATCAGTTTACTCAAAAACTAACTCAGAAGTTTATTTTTTCAATTGATTAATTTTTAATCTAAAATTGCTAAGTTACTAATTCTAAACTAATTGTTTAAGTATTAGATTTAGGATATGGAAACCAAAAATTATAACTTAATAATTTTAAGTCCTTAAATAATATCTATGAATCCTCTGTTGTATTATATACAGAATTTAATAGTTAAATTAGAGAAGCTATATCAATTATTGAATAGTTTGATTCTGAAAATGATTAATTAACCAATTCAAGTTTTATTAATATGTAGGGAGCATTGAATATTGAATTAATCTTTATCACTGTTTAATAAGGAATTTTTAATTTTCAAACTCAATTATTTAAGCTACCTATATTTAAAGTTAGCAATCTGCAAATATTAAACAATAATTTTAATGGTATTAACACAAGAGTAATAACAAATATACTTGATATTTTATACAAGGATAAAATCAATTAAAATCTACTTCAAATGGATTAAATCACATTTCAAAACAATAATTATTAAGGTAGTCGAGTTTTTCTTGAAATAATAGAAAGTTATAATTTTTAAAATTTAGAAATCAATATTAATGGATTAAAAATTATAACGAATAAATTTATTTAATAAAATTACAAAGATTTAATTACAACGTCAAATTCATCTCTTTATTTAGATTTAAAATAAATTAATATCTAAAACATCTAAATAATAAGAGCATATAATCTTCCAGAGATTTCGATAAATAATGCAGAAAAAACAATTCTTAAACGTGTGATAGCAAAATTAGATAATGAATTTAAAATTAAGCTGTTGCATTAATCTTTGTATTGTTTTTAGAAGAATTCAGACATTGGTTATGGAAGTATGCTATAGGTATATAATTCTAAAATGATTTAAATTGAGAAACTTGAAATAATCGGTTTAATAGCTATCAATTAGCCTATTATAATTATAAAATCATTAGAAAAGACAAATTTTAGACAATAAGAAAATATACAAATAAAGACTGTGAATTTAACTAACAATACGATCATACTTTCAAAGTTATCAGAAAAGCCTACGATAATTAGCATAATTTCTGAATAAGAACAATAAATTGAATTTAAAGGAATAAGTGTTTTTAATAATCATCATCATTCTTATTTGGAAGATCAATAATTTAAGCAATCTTCAACTATTTATGTTGAAAATCCTAATTCTGAAATTATTTTTACAGAATCTATATTTTCTAGCAATACTATAACAAATAATTAAGGATCTAATTTAGTTTTGATAAGTGGCAATATAAATATGATGGATTGTTCTTTTAATTCTTAAAATGATTTCCAATATTCATACTTAAAAGACCGTATAATATGGGGATATTAAAATGATGAAATAGCTTATTTTGAAAATCTATAATCAATTTTTCCAATAAAATCAAAGGGAGGTAATGCCTATTTTTAAATTGATTAAATCTCCTTAAAGAATATTTCTAGTTAAAATTCATTGGCTTTGTAAGGAGGATCCTTTTATTTCTTAACATAATCAAATGGTAGAATTGAGATTCAGGATTGTAATTTTAATTTTAGTGAAGCTAATTTATTAGTAAATGAAAAATCATAAGGTGGTACTTTATTAATTGATGCTTCTCAATCAGATTTAAACTTATTAATATCTAAAAATAGTTTTTCCTCAAGTTTTAGTAGATCAGAAGGAGGAACAATTTTTATAGAGCCATCTAGAAACAAGAATTTAATACTTATAAACAAAAATATTATAGAAAATGTATATTCATTAGCAAATGCTTTCTTGAAACTTCCTATTATATTTACAAGCAATTCTTTGATTTTAGATATTTAGATTTCTGATATATCAATTTAAAATACCTATCAAGGATTCTTGTCTTATTTAGGTAGAATTAAAGATTTAACCTAATCAGAAATCAATTTTTAAACTAAAAATTATTTAATTTCAATAGAGAGAGGGAATATTACAGTAAAAGACTGTAATATTATTAATTTATTTGATTATGGAGTTTTAGAGATTATAAATGCATAGTAAATAAAATTAGACAATATTTATATGCAAAATTTTACTTTGATTAGTGGAAGTATTCTTAGATTTGAATTGAATGAAAGTATTTAGTTTTATTTATTTTAGAATATTTGACAAATGTTGAAATAATGAATGTAAAATTAATGTCTTTTTAAGAAACTATTGGAGATGTAAAAAAACCAACTAATATTATACCTTCTATTCCTTTATTATTTTAAAAATGTATGGATACTTATTCTTCTCCAAATTCTTTGCAAAATCTCTATGATGAAAATAATTCATATCTAATGAGTCTTTATAATTTCTATTCCTTAATAATAAAAAGAACATAACCTGCCTTTATATTTTAAATTGAATCCATTAACTAAAATCATTTCATTTTAATATAAAATCTTTACTTTTCAAATATAATATGTACAAATTGTAAAGGAGGCTTATTGAGATTTACAAATATCAAGGAATAATAAGATTAAAATCTCGTTTATTTAAATTCAGTAAAAATGGAAGATAATTTTTGTGGAAGTATGAGTTGCTTAATAATAACTTCAAAAGATATTATTTCTTTAAAATCATTTTCTGAAGTAAATTCTAAGAGATTATTAAATGAAATTGAAAAATATTATGAAAAAAAACCAGTTACAGTTAAACTTGAATCTAGTTCCTTCAAGAATAATACTGCTACATATGGTGGTGCAGCTTTAATTTCTTCAATAAGTATATAAATCACTGCATGTTAATTTATTATGAATCAAGGAAAAGAAACAGGGGGTGCTATATATTTTGATTAAAACGATAAATCTTAATTCTTAATTTTTAATACATTGTTTGAAAAAAATTAAGCTAAAGTAGGAGGAGCCTTATTTTTAAATAATTTTACTCTTCATAGTAAAGAATAAACAAATATTATTTATTCTAATAATAAGGCATCTTTATTTAGTAATAATGTAGCTGATTTTCCACTTAAATTGACTCTTAAATTTAACTAAAAACTTTTAAAGACTTTAAATATAGAAAATACTGAAAACTAAGTTATTGATATAATAAATATTGAATAATATTATATAGGTCAAAGTATGAAATAATATTTGATGCTTCCAAGTGGATAAGCAATAAATGAATATCAATATTTTAATGAATAAACCCAAGATTACATACCCTTAAATTTATCATTGAGAATAATTGCTCTGGATGAAGAGGATAGTTAAATTAAAGCATTAGATGGAAGCAAATGCACAATATAAGNGAATGAAAGTATTTAGTTTTATTTATTTTAGAATATTTGACAAATGTTGAAATAATGAATGTAAAATTAATGTCTTTTTAAGAAACTATTGGAGATGTAAAAAAACCAACTAATATTATACCTTCTATTCCTTTATTATTTTAAAAATGTATGGATACTTATTCTTCTCCAAATTCTTTGCAAAATCTCTATGATGAAAATAATTCATATCTAATGAGTCTTTATAATTTCTATTCCTTAATAATAAAAAGAACATAACCTGCCTTTATATTTTAAATTGAATCCATTAACTAAAATCATTTCATTTTAATATAAAATCTTTACTTTTCAAATATAATATGTACAAATTGTAAAGGAGGCTTATTGAGATTTACAAATATCAAGGAATAATAAGATTAAAATCTCGTTTATTTAAATTCAGTAAAAATGGAAGATAATTTTTGTGGAAGTATGAGTTGCTTAATAATAACTTCAAAAGATATTATTTCTTTAAAATCATTTTCTGAAGTAAATTCTAAGAGATTATTAAATGAAATTGAAAAATATTATGAAAAAAAACCAGTTACAGTTAAACTTGAATCTAGTTCCTTCAAGAATAATACTGCTACATATGGTGGTGCAGCTTTAATTTCTTCAATAAGTATATAAATCACTGCATGTTAATTTATTATGAATCAAGGAAAAGAAACAGGGGGTGCTATATATTTTGATTAAAACGATAAATCTTAATTCTTAATTTTTAATACATTGTTTGAAAAAAATTAAGCTAAAGTAGGAGGAGCCTTATTTTTAAATAATTTTACTCTTCATAGTAAAGAATAAACAAATATTATTTATTCTAATAATAAGGCATCTTTATTTAGTAATAATGTAGCTGATTTTCCACTTAAATTGACTCTTAAATTTAACTAAAAACTTTTAAAGACTTTAAATATAGAAAATACTGAAAACTAAGTTATTGATATAATAAATATTGAATAATATTATATAGGTCAAAGTATGAAATAATATTTGATGCTTCCAAGTGGATAAGCAATAAATGAATATCAATATTTTAATGAATAAACCCAAGATTACATACCCTTAAATTTATCATTGAGAATAATTGCTCTGGATGAAGAGGATAGTTAAATTAAAGCATTAGATGGAAGCAAATGCACAATATAAGGCAGGAATATTTCTAAAGGTATAGAAGGAGAATTTTCGAATAATTTTGTTAGTGTTACATAAATAAGATTCAATACTATTAGTTAAGATTATAATTTAGATTCTTTGATAATAACTTTTGATCCTGATCAATAATAAGAAGTTTATTTATAATTAGAAATTGTTTGTGATTCAATTAAAATTCCAATATTTGATGATCAACCACCTAATTTATTGAAAGATTATAATACGAATTATAAATTAAGAGTTAATTTATAAACATTTCCTTGTTAAAGGGGAGAATATAAGACTTAATAAGGAGCATGCAAACTATGTGATGCTAGTTCTTATTAATATAATACAAAAGCTGGATAATAATGTAAAATAAAAGATTAAATGATAATGGAAAAAGTTTCTTCTGCTAGAATTATGTTAAGACCATTTTATTGGAGACCATATGAAAGTAGTGAATAAATAGAATATTGTGTTAATATGCCTGAAAATTGTGTAGGAGGATGGAATCCTGGTCATGATTTATGTTCAATAGCACATATTGGAGCATTATGTGAATAGTGTGATATATATAATATTAGAGGATAAGGATCATTCTCAGTTAGCACAATTTATAAATGTGGAGACTGTTAAAATATTGGTGATAATACTACCAAAGTTATTTTAATTAGTATTTGGACTATGATTTCAATATTTCTATCTGTAAAAGGGACAATAGAAACAATCAATAAATTTATTATTCAATAAAAAAGAATTAAATTGAAAATTGCATCCTTATAAGATCCTAGAATAGGTTAAGGAAATGTATTAATTAAAGTATTAACTAATTATTTTTAAATTATTGGAGTCATCTCAACATTTTAATTATAAATGCCAAGTGTATTATAATTATCTGTTAGATCAGTTGGTAATCCAACAGAAGCTATGGGTTTATCTTTAGATTGTTTTTTAATTGACATCTCTGATATCGACATTATTTATTTTAGAATGATATGGGCTTTGATAATGCCAATCATATATATGATATCATTTATTTTTATTTATTTGATAACTGTAGCCCTTAATTTTACTAAGTTTAATAAAAGTGCCTTTACCACAACAGCAATATTTTTATTTATTTATTTATAACCAACTTTAATTGGAGGATTTATCTCCTTAGTCTCCTTTAGATAAATATCGAATTATTATTGGATTCAAGGTAATGTTGCCTATAGATATGATACTTAACAACATTTTAACTGGATATTAATATTTATATTACCTGCTATTTTAATCTTAGGAATAATTATTCCAATCTACTTATTTATAAGTCTATATTTGGTAAGAGACTAATTATAAGAAGAAAATACAAGAAAAAAGTTTGGTTATTTGTATAATGAATATTCTAAGAATGCATACTTTTGGGAAATTGTTAAGATTATTTAAAAAGGATTCATAATTATATTCTTGACATTTTATGAAGATTTAGTTATTATAAAAGGAGCTTTGGTATTTATTATTGTCTTCTTATATTAAATATTGACAAGAAAATATCGCCCTTATCAATTCCCTCAATTAAATTATCTTGATGAAATAAGTACACTTATATGTGGTACCTCTTTAGTAATTTCAATTACAATTTATTAAGCCAATATAACAGACAACTAAGAGATAGTTGTGCCATTTTACATCTTTCTCATAAGTTTGAATGGTAGTTTTATACTATTAATTTTGTGGGGAATAATACTAGCCCAATTAGAAGATTAATAAGAAAATTTAGATAAAATCAGGGATAAGATAAATAAAAGATTTCCTAAATTAATTTAATCTAATTAGATTTTTAAGAAAATTCTTACAAATAAGGGATAATAAAATTAAAAAATCAGATTAAGATTTAAAAAGATCAAAGCTTATTTACTTAATTAGGTGCGTTCTTATCCAGGTCTATACAAAATGAAGACTTAAAGTGACAGCCCTCCTATTAAATAAACCGACTCATTCAGAGATTCAGACTTCTAAATTTTAGATGAAAATGTCGATCTCAAACCAAAATCAAACTATAAAATATATCCGGCTGATTTTGAGATTTAAAATTATGAATGATAAGAATAAAAAGGAACAAATAATTATATTTTTTATTAAGTATTAAATTTAATTGGTAAAAATTGTGAAAATATCTAATTTTTCCCTTTTTTTTTTGTGCCTAAATTGATGATACTTATAGCATCTAGTATTCATTAAAATCTTCAAAATTATCTATATATTATCTATAAATAAATAAATCATTTTAATTAAACAAATATAATACATTTTTACTACTTTCAAAGATTTAAATTTATAAATTTTTTTATTTAAAAATATCTAAAATAATATGCTTTATGATTAAATGATATGATTATTATAAATACTGAAAATAAACTGTTATTTTATTTAAATTTATGGTAAAAAATGTATAAAAGTTATTATTTATTAATAGTAATTTGAATTACTCTATAATAATAGTGAATTCTTTTTAATAGTTGCAAGGAATCATGTTTAAGAATCAGGAAATATTAAATTTGAAATTAAGGTTAAATAAAAGGATCGAATTATTATGATTTTTAAAACTTGCATGAATTGACTATTTCTATTATTAATAGTGTCTCTTTTACAATATCCAAGATTATCTATAATTAGATATTACATCATTATGAGTATTTTTAAAATAATGATTATAAATAATTATAAAAAATAAGTATAATTAAAAAGATAAAGAAGATAATTAAGTATTTGTTTATTTAAAAAAAATTTTTAGTTTCTTATCTAGAACAAAACAAAAACTTATTTTTTTTATTTATTTTGATTAGAAATAATTAAGGAGAAATTTAATTTTCATGAATATCTACATCGTGACTTTTTCTATCTTTAAACAGTTTATTTAATAACCAAAATAACATCCTGATAACATAAGGATAGTTTCAGAATGATTTTTTTTTATGTTTGTTAGCATATGGAACAATGATATAATATAAATAAAAGCTGTTAATATTAATTAAATATTTATGTAATCGTTTAATAATTAATTACATCATAGGTTTAAATCAATAATATAATTTAAAATAATTTAAATTTTTTTAATAATTGTGACGTGATTACAATTATATATTGATCTCATGAATATAGATTGAAAAGCGAATAAATTTAAAGGATTTAAGTTAATAAAAATGTAAAAAGGTTTATTGACAATCTTAGCTATAACAATATTAGCTGGTACTGGATTATTGATGAACTCATAGAGCTAAGAATAAAATTCTTTTTTGGAAGATAAATTGATGAAAGAATATTAAATATGGTAATAAGAACATGGAAAAAGATACTCTTAATTTGAGAATACATTTAGATTTGGAATATTTAAAAAAAATTATGATTATGTTATAAATCATTAAAAAAGATTTGAAGCTGGTTTAGAAACATATGAACTTGGAATGAACAGTTTAGCAGATCTTTCAGTTGAAGAATTTGAAGGAATATATTTAAAATGGAGATACAATAATAAATAATAATCTAATGAAATATTTGAAGGAGGAAAGGGAATATAAATTCCAGAATTTGTTGATTTAAGAAATGATGGTTTAGTAAGTGCAGTTTAAAATTAAGGAAATTGTGGATCATGTTGGGCATTTTCTGCAGTTGGATCATTAGAAAGTGCTTTAAGATAGAGTGGAGTATAAAATGTAGAATTATCAGAATAAGAACTTAATGATTGTACTAAAGGATAAGAGTATGATAGTGATGGTTGCAATGGTGGTTTTATGTTTGAAGCTTTTGAATATGCATCTAAGAATGGAATTGCTATTAAATCAGAATATACATATGTTGCTTAAGATTAAGAATGTTAATCTAAAAAGACAAAGACTAGATTTACATTTAATGGCTATATTAGAGTTGAATCACTCAATTCTTAAGCTTATCTTGAAGCAGCATCTTAACATGCTCTATCTGTTGGTATTAATGCAAGTGGAATCAATTTCTAACTTTATAGAAAGGGTATCTTTTCATCTAAATGTGATGGAAAAGTTGAATCTCTTAATCATGCAATTCTAAATGTTGGTTATGCTCCAGATTATTATTTACTTAAAAATTCTTGGGGATTATCTTGGGGAGAAGCAGGTTTTATCAGATTTGCTAGAATTACAGATAAAGTTGGATAATGTGGAGTTCATTAAGATGTAACCTATCCTATCTATAAAAAGAATTCATCTATTATTCAATGATTTTATTAATATAATATTCAATAAATCAAAAATTTCTATATTTATATTAACATCTTATAATATTTTAATTTATTTTTATTTTTTAATTATTATTTACAAAAACTTGTCTAATGTATTTTATATTTTACTATTTTTACATTAATCCATTCAACCTTTTCATCTTCTATTTTGAAATGTTAAAAACAATTATTCTATGAATTTTTATTAATTATATATTTATATATTTATATTATTTTTTAAATTTAGCTAAATATAATGGTCCTTAAATTATATCTAAGTTTTCCTTTCAATAATTGTTAGATAATTATTTCATTGCTATTTAACAAATATATTCAATTTAAAGTTCTTTTCAATTATTTATTATTAAAATACTTAATTCTAAGAGAATTTTAGAGTTTTAAAAAAATTTTGTTTATCTTTGAAAAGGATTTAGCTTGATCATAACAATGTGGAAAATGAGATGATGGAAATTTAGGTAATCATATTTTCTAAGGTTCAAAATAAATTATATTCCTCTTTCACAATTTTATCTTATGTTGTTATTCTTTTAACTATTACTATAGAATAAATTGAATTTGGAAATTATCAGTGTAAAAAGAAAAATATTAAATTCCACTATATTATAAGACCTTATTTTCGAGGATTTTTTTTATATATGTAAAAATATCATTGTTGAAATGAAAGATTTCAACGTTTAGCAAAATTCATACCTTTATCATTGAATTTTAATAATTTTTATTTTATTTTAATATTATTTAAATACAATTATCATTTTCTTTGCCTTTTTTCTTAAATTTTCACAATATATTTAGAATTATTTAGAATTATCTATCATTAGTTTTAGTATCTAATAAAAATTAAATTATATATTTTAAATGAAAATAACCAAAACTTAAAAATTTTTTAACTTTCACTATTTAAATGGATTAAATTAGTAGTTAATTTAAAAAAATTAAGAACAAATATAAAATTAATCATTTGTTACAAATTTTCAATCTATCTTAAAACTTTATTTGATGATGTTAAAATCTATTTTTTTAAATGACTATATATTTTTTTTAAAATTAACACATTAGAATTAATGATAAAATAAAATGAAAATGAATAAGTGTAACCAAAAGTATATTCATACACTAAATTGAATATAAAGCTAATAAAAAATTATAAGATATATCGGAAAGATTCTCCAACCATATTAATTTTAAGAAGAAAAAAAAAAATTAACTCTTCTTTCTCTTATGTCTTATAAATTCTTACTATAATTTGATAATCATCTCAGGATTTTATTTCTTATATTTAAATTTTTTAGAATCTCTCCATATTTAATACCAAAAACAATTCAATTTAAATTATAATTATATTTAAAATTTGGATATTTTATATTGAAATAAACATTAACTTTGAAATTTGATTTATAATTTAAAAGCCATACTTCTCAAAATGATTGAAAAGATGGAACAATCAATAAAGGAAGATTAAATGTAATCATCTAATTCTACAAATATTATATGCTATTTGATTTTCGATTACAATATGTTTTATGATTTTAATTTTTTCGATTATCTTAATTAATTGTTTGCTATTTTCATAGGTAAGCCAAACAATAACTGATAGATTATAAATATTATTCAAATATATCCAATTTTATCTGTTGTTCTATATTATTTTTTAATGATCTCTCTTGATATATAAATAATTATTAATTTAAATAAAATTATTTTCTCTGAGTTTATTTAATGAGTTTGATGTTTAAATTATATATTTTTCAATTTATAAATCATCTAATGGATAGTAAAAAACTTTTCCCATCATTTAATAGATTATTCAAAGTTGAATTTTAATAATTAAATATCTTTTTACATTCTCCTCATCATTAGCATAATTATATAAAAATTTAGAATTTGTTTAAATTTTATTTGTTAGTGGTCTTTTTGTTTTATTTAATTACATTATTAAGGGTAATGGATGTCTTAATCATATATCAATATCCTTAATTTAATTTTAAAATATTGGTATAATAAATATTAAAGAATTTAATTTTAAAATATTGGAATAATAAATATTAAAGAATTAATGTCTGAATAACAAAATTAGCAAAATCCAAAAAAATGGTAGCCTAAAGAAAAGTTTGATAAGAAAGCAAATAAAGAAAAGCAAAAGCAAGAATAAGAAAAAGCAGAAATAGAAAAAAAATAAGAATCTAATAAAGTTAAATAAAAATCTAATATATAGGAATCAAATAAATAAGAATCTAATAAAGCAGTTTAAAAATAAAATAGTAAAGTAGAGCAATAATAATAAACAAATCAATAATAATAGGCTGTCAATAATAAATAGATTGTTTAAATAGATGGACCAATGGAGTAAAATAAAAGAAAAGATTTTCTTTCACATCTTCCTATATTTTAGGATTATAGTTCTGAAAGTATAAAATCAGTGAAATAAATTGATGTAAAACTTTGCTTTAAGTATAGCCTTAAACCTTACATCATTCTTTTATCGAGCTTTGTATTTAATATCAAAATGGATAATGTATAGGATCTACCCATCGATGTGTTGAATTTCTTAATGCATTGAAATAATTCATAAAAGATTATAAATTACCAAGATAATCAAATTATTTTGCTATAGCATTTTTGGATGAATTAAAGAAGATTTTTAATTTGATGAAAAACTTTAGAACAGTAAATGAAGGAATGAGCACATCATATTTATTTATAAATGAGTGTTTAATGATATTAAGAGATACTAAACTTGATGAAAATGAGTCAAAAATATGGTTATGTAATTAAATAGATTAGTTTATTTAATCAAAAATAATAGCAGCATCAGAATTAATAATAAAAAATGTATGATTATAAGATAAATAATTGTAAGGCTACTTAATTGATATAAGAAGGAACAACAATTTTGGTGTATGCTAGATCATATTTGATTGAGAATTTCATAATAAATTATTTTAAATAAGGAAAGTAATTGACAATTTTTGTGGTAGATAATCCTTAATTTGGAGAAGGTTCTCAATTAGTGAATCGTTTATAATAATAAGGAATATCTTGTTATCAAATATTGTTATCTCATGTAAGTTATATATTGTCAAAGGTATAATAATAATAATAGTATAAAATAGGTTGATAAAATATTAGTAGGAGCATCATCAATGTTATGTAATGGAGCTTTAATATCTAGAGTAGGAACTGCATTATTGGCATGTTTAGCATCAACTCATAAAATACCATTTTTAGTATTTTGTGAAAGTTATAAATTCTCAGAAAAGAGTTAGATTGATTCTTTATCTTGGAATGAGATAGCATAATTATAATAGGAGAATGAAAAATAATAGTATACTTCATTAAGTCTGAGATATGACATAACATAATCAAATTATATTAATATGGTAAAAGAAGTAATTTAATTTTTTTAGATAGTGACTGAAGTTGGTTTAATACCAGCAACTTCAGTTAAAGCAGTAATTGGAGAATTCAAAAAATATAATTATGTAGATGCAATCGAAATTCCAAGAAAATATTAATAATGATCAATGTTTAATAGGTGAATATCATATATATATATATATATTTATTTCATTAAATTTAATATCTTCCATTAATATTATAAATTTATATATGTTATAAATAAAAATTTCAGGTTTGCCATAAAATCCACAATTAATCAACTAAATCGAATAATTTTTGATAGATTCTAATACACTCATAAGAAATGTAAGTCGTCACTTATTTAGGGATATTATCGTAAATGTGTATTACATTTAGATGGTTAATATAAAAAACTGCTACCAATTGAATCACCTTTACTTTTGAGGATAAAAGTATTGAGAAGATTAAGTTATTGTACAATGATGTACTTCAAAGTGAAAATCAACAAAGGTGAAATTAATTAAGGCAAAAATTAGTTTATTCTTTGGAATCGTCTTTAACTTTATTTGAGAGATTATCATGATAATATATCACTCTTGAAGATCTAGTATAAGAGTAATTGATATTCAAATACTTATTAGAAAAATTTTACACTCAAGAACTGATATCTTTAATGATTAAGTCACTACTGTTCAGATCTTAATATTATTAAAAAAATCAATTGGTAGCCAGAGGACTGTTGTATTTTCATCATATAAATGGTATAATAATAGAATAGGCTTTGATTGATAAAATAACATTTTTCTTAAGTTTATAAGGGTAAGATAGTGTTCAAATAAATTAGTAAATTTAATTTGATTGCTGGAAATAGTTATTTTCAATTGTAAAACTTCTAGGCAGCTTTGAAATACTATCTTAAAGGACTAGATTTTTATTAAAGGAATTTGATTATCATTTATAAGGAAATAACTCTTACAACATTAGAAGAAATAAAGATGACTCTTAATTATTATGTAATCAATTTAAAAATTAATAGACTAAAGAAATTATATTGTCTTTATTTTTGATAGCATTAGTTTATGAATAATTAAATGACTTCCTAAAATATTAAGAAACAATTAAAATGATGAATTGGGTTGATTCTAATTTCTAACCAGAAAATTCTATTGGAAAATTGTATTTCTAATAATTTTTTGACAATTCCAAATACATATAGTATGCACTTGAAACTGCTGAAATTTCTAAAGTATTAAAATAAGCATTACCAGAAGAAGAAAAATCTAAAGTTCCTGGAGATGAAGATTAATTAAATTACTATACACATATGCTTTATGAATTTAGCGAATTTCCAAAAATCAGAAAACAATATTATTATTATGATAAATCATAACTTCCTTTTACATCTGAAATAATAGAAAGTGAAACTTAATTAGAAAAATCAAAAGCTTTAAAAACTAATGCTAGTGTTTAAATGCTTTATAAATAGTAAACTAATGAAAATGAATCAACAACTATGTGTAGATCTATATTAATGAAAACTAAATATTCAGATAATGGATTATCTACTAGATTTTAAACAGAATCAGAGGGATTCTCTTAACCTGTTATCTAAATTTCATAATAAAGAAAATTAAAAAAATAACTTAATAAAGAAGATATCACTTTATAAGTTTATTATGGAAATGCAATTGAAAAATCAGTTAAATTATAAGAGTTAGAAGATTTGGCTGAATAACATAATCAAGATTTATTATAATAACAGATTGACACTATTTCATTTGATAAAATATTGAAATAATCTAAATAATAGATTTGTAATACTTATTTATTAGTTTTAGAATTTAAAAAAATGTTTGGCTGCATAGGTGTTAGTAAAGAACCATTTGAACATGAAACAAGAGAATCAAGAAAAAGACTTAAGAAAAAGTAAGGCAAAAGCATTAATTAATTACATTAACTTTTAAGTATTCAAATCTAAATCAAAGCAAAAACTGAACAATCTTAATTGTTAGAATAGTATAATAATTAAAGAAAAGGGAATTTTTAATCTGCACCTAATATTTTTTAGAAAGTACATAATACACATAGATAAACAAAAACTGTAAAGGTAGATGAAAAATCTATAATCGCTAATAAAGAATTTAGTAAAGAAATGAATAGTAATCATAAAACATAAGATGAAGAACAATTAATTAGAGAAATTAATATAAATACAAAAGAAACAATTAAATAATTAATGGATGAAAAAGAGAGTTTAATTTAATCTAAACCATTTTCAACCAGAAGATCATCTTAAATTAATACAATTAAGTATTTTGTTTATTAAAAAGTAGAAATAATGTTTTATTTGAAAAATTAATATCAAAAAATAATAGTTTAGCTCTTACAACAGATTAAATAAGTCATTCAAAAAAAGTTAATTCTTTGAAATCTTTGCTTGAAGTTCCAAGAAATAATCCTAATTAAAAGAGAATGACAACTATTTTATCAACAATTAGTCCCAGACCAGCTAGTAAGATGGGTTCACATACAATTCTACCTATATGTTGATTATAAATAAAAAAAAATTAATTAATATTTAAAATGAATTAAGGCGGATCAAATGATTTATTAACTTTGAAAAGAGAAAAATTTAGAATTTAAATTAGACATTAAAAATTAACAGAAGAATTTAAGAAAAAAAGAAGATTTTATAATTATGAATAAACAAAAAATGATTTCCTTCATAAGGTTTGTGATGAACTCTCTATTTATCAGTTTAAAGAATAATTAATTGAAGAAGATCTTAATAATATTATGTTATTACTTAAAGTGCTTCAAAAAGCTATAGAAGATGAATAAAATATAGATTTTTGGGTGACTGAAAATATAGTAAAAAAATTTAGGTATTATATACTAAGTATTTTAGATTTCTTATTAATTTATCTAAAATTGATAGTGAATTTCAAGTAATAAATGCCACACTTATTCAAGGTGTTTTTTATTATCTAAATAGAGAAGATTATCAAAGGTTTGCAGAATTAGATGATATTTTACTTTTAGAATACTTCTAGTAAAATATTAATGATTAAATTTTTGAAATATATCCTTAAGTAATAATTAGAATAATTTTTAGATGTTAAATTGCATCTATTTTTTAGCCTAAGAAAAATAAAAATATAGAGATTTTATAATCTAAAATGATTTTGAATTTTTAACCTAATTAATGGTAGTTGATCCTTTCAGATAATTTTCTGAAGTTATTCTAGCATTAATTTATTCCGCATTTACTTTTTGTATTGAAATAAATATTGAAAAAATAAAATCAATTAAAGAATATGTAATAAAGTCTTATTTTGATGAAAATTAATCTATAAAAAGATTAGTTTTAGAAATACTTGATGAAATCCCTTCAAAATTACAATTAGGAAATAATTATGCTTTTGCAAATGAAATCATCTCTTCTCCAATATTTAAAAAAATTTATGATACTGCTTAACAATCAAATTATGACTTTTTAGCTTTAAAAGTTGTTATCATATATTTTGGTGTAAGTGATTAGTACTTCGATAAAGAATTAATAATCTATAACAAAGTTATAAATTCAAATCTCTAATCACAGGATCTATATTCATTTTTAAGAATCTAATTATTTTGGGCTATTTCAAATAAAATTCATAATTAACAATTTTTGGTTAAATTATTAGATTCTAAATTATTGGAAGATATTTTTGAAAAGTACTTTGAATTAAATGATCATGAGGCTCTTGAATTCTCTTTTGTAATTTTGAATCTATCTGTTTTAGTAAAAATTATTAATAATATTCTAGTGTAATGAAGAATAACTATCAAAATTAATAAAAATAGAATTATTTAATATATGTAATTTTTTATTTTCAATGGAGGCGAGATCTATAAAAATTGAAGAACATATCATTTAAGCATTAGTTAATATATTACATAAATTATCAGATAATTAAGATTTTAATAATGAATTAATATTACCATTTTCAGCAGTAATAAAAATGATAGAAATAACTGGTATTGTTAACAAAGTGAAGGAAAGTAGAGTTGATGATAAATTGATCTAAGATTTTGATGTTTATTTTTGATTTTGTAATTAGATTTTTTTAATAATAATTTATTTACAAATACATTGTGATAATACAGTAAAACTCCTACTTTACTATAATCAATTTGATAAAAGTCAACATGGAATGTTTTCTCTTCTTGCTTATTTTTTGGTTAAACAAAATTTAACTTTTTTTGCAGGAGAATAAGAGTTTTATTGTAATTTTGTAGGAGATTAATTTGTAATGTTTAGACTTGAAAAACTGAGCCTACTTTAGAAACTTAATCTGCTTACTATTTCCAACTAAGAGTTTTAAAGTGATGGATTTTTCAAAATACTTTTTGGGGTAGAAACTGAACTTTATGATCTCCCTCTTATTCCATCTTATTCTAATTATAATAAAGATAATTAAGATGTTCTTTAAGAATTTGCTTATTATGAAATTCTAAGTTTCTAATTTTGTTAATTATGATTGAATTTAATAGTTGTTTTTGCAATTTTAGATCTCTCTTTTCTTGTATCTTTATAATGGATTGAATTTTATGATGGAATTTGTTAAGTATTATTGTAAGATAACTCTAAAAATGAATTGTATGTCTCATGTGATCTTTATGAAAACTATGATTTCTTTTTGGAAGAAAACTGATTATTTACTGCTGGCGATAAACCATCTTTTAATTTAGTAATATCAAATGGACCGTGAGTATGCAATTTTAGATTTTTTCTTAAGTCAATTGTTGTATTTTAGTTTTAACTTTCTTTCATTTCTCCTACAAAATTAATTTTAGGAACTGTTTCCTTTCTTGAAATCATTGATGATTAATCTCCATTAGAAATTATAGATAATTATTAGATAGGCTATATAGGCTTTTTAAACTATAACTATTCATTCTTAGTTCGATTCTATATTGAGTCTGTTTTTAATTCTTATTGGGGTTATATCTTCTGTTTGACCAATCCTTTTTTAAAACCACAAGAATTATAAATTAGTTTATTCATTTTTTACTCTAAATCTTAAATATCAGGTTCATTTAATTAACAATCTTACAGTCTAAAATCAATGTCTTCTTTTAAACAAACATTTAAATTGTAGAATGATACTGGACGATCAACTTCATCTTCAATAATTTCTGAATCCATAATATATTAGTCTGTCATTATTATTATAAATAATAACATAATAATAATGATAAAAATCAAACTAAGTCAAGTAGTTTATTAAAAATTAATCTAATTAAAGCATTTTCAATTTATAATAACAAATACACTTTGATCCAACAAAGCAACAAGTAATATTTTATAATTTAGAACTCTACATTTATATTAATATATTACTACATTAATAATTCAAATATTATAAGCATTTTATGAACAACTAAAATATTTATAAAAATATTGGCAAAATAAAATTTAATATATTGAAAAAACATACAAATATATATTTACAAATCTATTCATTTAGTTTTATTACAATATCAGTAAAGTTTAGGTTATGGTACAGAATTGATACTATCAAAATCCTTAAAGTTAAATATTTAATCCATATTGCATTTATTAATAAGAGGTGAACAAGGATTATTTGATGAGCTAATTTAGGTACTAGAACTGTGAGTTAATGAACTTTTTTGACTATCCGATAAACTAGATTTAACTGATCCACTTTAATATTATTATTTAAAATATTACTTCATTTCCAAAGTTTTTATTGTGATATTTTTCTATCTAAACTTATTTTTTAATTATTCATTTTCATATTTATTGAAAATATTATTTAACTTCATTTATTTTTTTATCCATTTACTTAAGTACAATTATTATACTGTAGGCCTTTCATTAAAATCTTTAGTTAATAATGCTTAAATTAAAATTTGTAAATCCTCATCAACATTTCTATTAACAATGACTTCTTAACTCACTATTTTTCCAATCAATTCAGGTTAAGAATTACCTTAAAATGGAAAATGAGTATGAAGTAAAATCTTATTTTAATACTTTAGATAATGATACATAAATTAATGCTCCAAGTGAATAACAATCTACTTTGTAATTATGTTATTATTTTAAAACAACTTCTGGTGGCATATATTCAGTAGTTCCACAAAGAATGGGCTCCACTTTATCAATATAAGTGGCCCAACCAAAGTCCCCTAATTTATATGTTCCATCCTCATGAAGAAAAACATTTTCTAACTATTTTTAGAAGATTAAAAATTATATTACTTTCAAATCTCGATGAATTATTTTATTCTAATGTAAACAGTCCAAAGCTCCTAACAAGGATATACATACGTTAAAGACATCTTTTTCTGAATAAGGGGTCTTTGGAACTTATAACGATCCACGGGAACAGTATTCAGAAATGATATAAATATTTTAATTGTCTTCAAAAGAATGATAGACTTTTAGTATGTTTTTATGATTTAGTGTTGATTATATTTTAATCTCTTGTCTAATCATTGATTCTGCATTATATTTCTATAACAATGCTTTTGAAATCTATTATTTAACTAAAATAAATACTATTTTGCAAGCAAAATATTTGTTAATTCTCATATCTAAGACTTGATATACAGTCCCAAATGAACCACTACCTAATTAAGATTTTATGGTATAAGTGGTTCCATTACTTGACATTAGAATGCTATTCATTAAATAATTTATTTAATAAATCATCTAATAAAAATTATTTCTTTACTTTTTAATAGAGAAAATAATCGTAATAAATTATTAAATCAAATCATTTTTTTCAATTATAAATAACTCCATAAAATTCATAAAGTTACTTCTCCTAAGATATATAACTTTTTATTACTAAAAATTGTGTCACAAAACTTTCAACAAATTTCATAATCTTTTTATCCTAATTAACTTTAACAAATCCTAAATCTAAAAATATGTCTAAAAGAATAAACCTTTTTCATGTTTGTATTTGTAGATTATTTTTCTTTTGATTTTCTTTGTTAAATAAATCTACTTTTTTAATTTTCTCAATTCTAATGATTTTATATTTGAATATGTCTAGTAGAAATTTGTTGTTTGTTCAAATTCTCAATATTACAAGATTTGAATAAGCTTATTGAACTCGATATTTTCTTCAGAACTAATTAATTATATTTTTTATATACTAGTATGAATTCTTCTTTTCATTTTTTTAATTCTCTACCTTATCCATTTTTGGAATTAAATTAATTTTCAATTTATTTTATTTGCATATAAATTACATTTTATTTAACAGATCCTTTTGGCTTTATTTTTTATATCTTTTCATTTTTTCTAGCTTCTGTGAATATTCTATTTTTTGTTGGGGGAGACCAATTAGAATTAGAATATTACTCAAAAAATGATTTGCATTTATAATTATAGTCTTAAACTTCAAAAAAAGTATAATTCTTTAGATATGAATAAAAATATATATTATTAAAAAATAAAGAATATGATTTAAAAAAATATTATTAGCAATAATGTTCAATATATATCATTGTTAATATTATTAATAATTGAAACAGAGTTACTTTATTATGCTTATATTAATAATATTGTGAGGTTATTATTAATTTATTATTATTGTTTATTTTCTTCAGTGAGTTATTTAATTAAATTTTAATTTTATTTTTCTTTATTTTCTGCTTCTACTCTTATCTTTTCAAGTCTTTTATGTTGTTTTTAGAATGCTTATTTCAATAATTTGTTTTCATCTTCCAATTTTTAAGTCTATATTCTAAATTAATAAGTTACATTCGAAATATATTTTTCTCCTAACTTTTACTCAAAAGCATCAAAACATAATTAAATGACTTATTAGGCTGATTAAATATTATATGATTGTTAAAGTCTTTTAAGCAATTCTTCTTTTAAAGCCTTTTTATAATTATCAAACTAATATAGATGTTTAAATCTTACATCTGCATCACCAATCTCAAATTTTTGAGGAATGGCTGCTTTCTAACCCAAAATCTCAGATACCATTTCAACATTGTTATCAAAATCTTCTAATAATCTTAAAATGTCTGATTGTTGAATCTGAGGGTATTTCTCTTAAATAATGGTTAAATTTTATCTAAATAAATTAAATATAATCACATACAATGTTAGTCTTTTACGTGCTTGGCATAATGTTTCTAAATTTCTATCCTATGTAATTCTTCTTCTTAAAGCAAATGTTGGATTTCTTGTCTAATTTATATATATATTTAAATATACTTCTATCGGCTCATCTTCAAAATACTTTCTCTTTCCAACTAACATATGTAAATATATATTAATAATATTAATTAATATTTATTAATTCTTCATTTCACTTTATTAGAACTCATTAAATTATATTTATTAATTTTTTGTTTATTTCTTAAACACATCAATAGACTTTATAAAAATATCGGAAATTAAACTATTTTAAACAAGTTTTGTTAATCATAAATTGATAAAGCCAGCTTATAATCAGTAATCTACAAAATAGATTTGAGGCATATCATATACTTATTCGAAAATTATGAAATAATAAGAAGATTCTATTCAATTATATAATCTTGATAATATAAAAAATTATTATTTGCAATAATTTCAAATTATCAAAATCTTCTTTTAAAAAATAGCATAAATAATGTAGTAAGTAATTTTTCTAATAATATCTCTTCTATTTATTTTTCAATTTTATTGATTTCAAATCTAAGTATCAAATAATTTTATAATCTTCTGAATTCTTACATTTCTTGATTTACACTAATTAATCTATAATTAAATGTTATACAATAACTAACTAGATTTATAGTGTTAAAAATAAAGAATAAATTATTTATGCTTATTTCAATGATTGTATTTTTTATTTTTTCTCAATTGTATTCATATAAATGATCTTTAGATTAGTTTTCTAATCAGAATTCTATTAATATTTTTATTGTTATTGTAATATTTAATTCAAAAATGTGCTGCATTACTACTATCACTTGTTAATTCTGCTCTTAATTGTTTTAATCTAGCTTCTTTCTTTGCTAAAGCGAAGTCAAAAACTGAAAAATTATATTTCTCTGATAAATCAGATATCACTTAGTTTCTTTGAACAAAAAGTGGCTCAAATAAGATTTATGATAAATTGTATGAAAATGCTGCTGCAATCAAACCTAAATGCATTCTATTACTTAATATTACCAACTCCCAAAATCAATAATCCATTAAAGATTGGTCGATTTGTGATTCTTGAAGTAATTAACTGTTATTCCCTCATTGTTGCTAAAGACAAGAAAATACCACCAAAAGAAAATATTCCAGATCTTACATCTACATCTATGAACTTTTCTTTGATATATTTTTAGTGATCTTCTTTTGTAATCTTTTCTGGTGTCTAGCTTACAATATAATAAAATATTAGTCTTCTTTTATCTTATGGTCCAGCTGATTAAATAATTGCAATTTTAATTACCAAGCATGATATTATCATGATTTATAAAATATCCATTAGTAGTTTTGTGTAATTAAGGAGAAACCAACCAACTCAAACTCATCTTAGATATTTAATTTATATATATATTTAATTACATTTATTCATTTAAATTAACTTATATTTTGATTTATTTAAATCTACTAAATCAAAATTAAGATAATAATATAGATATTCATTCTTTATAAATGGAAAAACATTAAAAACAAAGTTAAATTTTTAATTATGATTTACAAATTTTTAATTTAAAAACTCAAAAAAATAAAGCAGTGTGTATTCTTTGGACACATTTTTATCTATATGATAAATAAAAAATCTATTTCGATCATATTTTTAGTATATACTACTATACATTATGAGAGAAACTATCCGATTTATATTGAATTATGATAAAGAATTACTTGAAAATTAATATATGTTATCAAAATGATAGGTTATATTTGAATATATAAATATGTAAATTGTAAAATATTGAAAGTTAATTGGAATATGTAAATAATTTAATGATTAATAAATAATTTAATGAGATCTTAAAGAATAGTAGTTTTGTTAGAAAGATTGTATAAAATGGATGAACTATTGGGAGGTAATGAAAGAAAGAAGAATGTTAAGAATCCTTAAAAAGAATTTGATTAAATGATTGAAGATTTAAGAGAGGAAATTGAAATGATTAGTGCAAAATAGAAAGATAGGGATAAACGTAACTAAAAGTATGGAAATGATGAGGAGGCAATTCGTTTAGGCGTAGAAATAAGAGAATCAATATAAAAATGCGATTAGTAATACAAATCATTAGAGAAAACTCTTTTACGCTAGTTAAAAAAGCCTAAAGTATTCATGAAATAGAAAAATAGAAATACAACTAATAAGATTTAGAGTTAAGAGTGACTACATTTAAAATGTTAAAGATTGGATTGAAGGGGACAAAAATGAAAGAGTTTGGAGTAGAAGAATAAGAATTTAAGGGAGTAACATTAAATGAGTTAAAGAATTAAGTTTTTGAAGGTGGGAGTAATAATAAAAAGAATGAATTGGAATATTAGGATCATTTAAGTTTGGAAGAATAGGAAGCTATGTAAAGATGGAATTTGAATGATGAATAAATGGATAAATAATTAGATGAGATAATAGGAGGATTAGATTAGATGCATTATAAAGTTTAATAGATGGGTTAAGTATTTAATTGATATTATAAATAATATAGAAAATTGATTAAACTGGAGGATAGATTAGTAACTTAATTAAAGAAGTCGATAAAACAAATAAAAATTTAAATAATGCTAATTAAGCATTAAAAAGATTAACTTAAGTATATCGAAGACCAAATAAATTTGTTTTAGATATAGCTTTTATACTATTATTATTGGGATTGACAGCTACAATAATAACAACGGTGACAAAGAAATGATTAATTAAAAAAGAGAACATTTTTTTTTTTAAATATGATAATTCGATGTATTAAAATATTTTTTCTTTTATTAATGATACTCAGTTTGAAAGATCATCATCCGAAGGGGGGGAACGCACGGGCTATTTTTTGTTGTTATACTATTTGTTTCTACGGGAAGACTCAGAGCTGGATGAGTGTCTTTTATTGCCTAATTAGAAGTAAAGTAAGTGAGTTAGTTAAACTTTTAGATTTCTTTTTATGTCTGTCATTGCTTCGACTTCGGGAACGTCTCTTATAGTTGCTATCTCTCTTTCTGTACTTATCATTGCCTCCTCTACCTCTGTCTTTATCACGATCATTTGTACTCCTAAATACTAATTAAATTAACTATTACCTCTTCCTTCCACTTGCATATTCAATCTTCATAGCTTACCCTTTCAACTCACGACCTTGTAAACTAATATATAGATATTTTTCACTCCTTTACCTATTAAAAGCTTCAATCGCTTTTTCTACCTTTTCAAATTCAACAAATGCGTATACATGAGGACCCTTATCCAATACTTTAATCTCTGTGATTTATCCATACTGTTTGAACAACTCTTCTAAATCATCCTTTTGAACCTATGCAATTTTAAATTTACATCATACTTTGTAAGCAAGATTGCCAATCCATAACTTCTTTTTGGGTTCAGACATCAAAACAAATGTAATTTATATTAATTTTTAATATTCTTCATTCAAAAAAATGGCTTTAATACCTCAAGATTTTAATGACCCTCCTTTATTTTATCATTAAATTATATCTATATATATAAATATATATATTTTCAAATATATATATCATTATCTTCCCTATTCTTTCATTCTTAAACTCTACACAATCCTCATCCTCTCTTTAATCATTAATTATCTCATTCTTCTATTCCTTATCCAATCTCTAAGCATAATATCAAATTCTTCATAAATTATATATATATCAATAATTTATAATAAAGATTCATCATAATTTATTTTTTTTACAATATGATTATGTATGTATATTTACTATCAACAATTTATTTTCTTAAGAAAGATGCTTCTATTCCAACAACATCATCCTCCCTTCTCTGTGATCTTCTTAAACATATTTTGAATACCATTTTCAAATTACTCTTAAGTAAAGATTATCTTTCTTTAAATCTAATTCTGTCCTTACTTAGTCATCATATGGTAATTGTTCAAATCATTATGATACACTAATCTCATTTGAACTCTTTCAAAATTGCAATAGGCAATACCTCAAGCGATATAAATTAATAATATAATTTATGAGTTTACCATTTATTAATTAAGCTATTCAAACTATATAACAGTTTCCTATTACCTAACAAACAAATGAACTCCGATTAATTTATCAGACATGTTAATAATCATCGAAGTAGCTGGGAAAATTTAAGATTGATAATACATTTTGGAATCAAGACATCACTAAAGTAGAAATAGAAATCTCTAAAATATTGCATGAATATGGTTATCGAGTTAAGCCTAATCCTATACATTAATTTAACTTTGATACTTTCTTATAAAAGAAAGCGCGTCTTAACATAACAACTGAGGATTATAGAGAGGCATTACTTTAGTTTTATGAAAATTTATAAGCTAATATGTGGATTAGAAGAAAATATTTAATAAGACAAAGAATAGCTCTACTACATAATCCTACAGAGGATGTTTTATTTTATGATCCATTAGTTAAGGTGAAAACAGATGTTATTCCTATAGAAATGTTTTCAACAGTAAATGTAGAAAGAATACATCCAGATGAAAATAAGACTTTAGTTGATGAAGAAATAAAAATGATTGATGAAAAATTGATAGAATATGCAGAGATAAGCGAAAAATTATCGAATGAGAGAATTTTCGATCCTTCAAGATTTGATTAAGACATACCTCAAATTCAGATATCAACAGATGATGATCTTATTTTTGAGAGAATGAACAATAAAATATATTAAAGCATGCCATTCATAACATAAAAACATTTAAAAGAGTATTATAACTTTAGATAAAACTTAATGGTAGATAAATTGGATGATTTAGATACTCAAATATTTATAGAGAGTTTGGAATCTACAACATAAGAAAGAATATCTACAGAATATTGCAATATGTATTTAATTCCTGTAACTATGCCATAATTATAGTAAGAACTATAATAATTAGCAATGGACCAGGGTGTGGATCAAGATATTACTGTCGATAATGGAGCATTATTTCTATTTGCTATTGATAAGCACTTTCTTTAAAAGATCTAAGAACAAAGCAATAAATATCTCCTATTTCTTCCCTACAATTTAGATTAGTCTGAGTAAAAGACAAAGAGTTTTCAATAATAAACAATGAATATTCTTAATGAATTAAAAGAGGATAAAATAAGAAAGAATTAGTATAGAATTAGAAGTAGTGCTCATTGGTTAGACAATATTTAAATTATTCAAGATAAAGAGGATACAGAAATGAGTTTGATATTTAATTAATATGAAGATAGCTCTATCAATTCTTGGATGAAATTCTTACTCTATCATGAGACTGATAAAATTCTAGATAAAATAAATAAAGATGTCTCATTAGTTTAAGAAAAAGTACAATCAACTCATTTTCCAGAAATATACTTTTAATTCTTTTTGAGATATCAGAAATTGCTCTATTTGGAATCCAGAGAATCTTTAATTTAAATTATGCATTGTTACAATGTTATGAGAACTATGTAGAAAAATTTAAATATCTATTTCATGGATTTACATTAACTCTCAAGTTAATTAACAAGAGAGAGAATATAAAAAAAATAACAAAATACTTTGAATGCTTTCATTACAAGTTTAGATTCAAAAGATACTATTCCACAAGAAGATACTTCTGCTTATTTTTGTGAAGAGAAAATATAGAAAAATCATAATCTTTTTGAAGTCGTTGATGGAAATGGTCATAAAATTATTCATGAAATAGTGTTTAAAGATGTTGCTCAATTATTAGATAAAGTAAGTCATATAAGTGCATTTACTTTATAATTCACAAATAAAATTGGGGAAAAAAATAGTCATTCTGATTCTCAATAATTGAATAGATTTTTAGCTGTTAAAGACTTACTTTAAGCTGAGCTTGATTACAATAATGCTAAATGTAAAATATTATAAATTGTTTATCCTATGTTATCAAAAGCCAAAGTTTCTGAATTGAATAATGCTGTTAGTATATTGGCACGATTGGTTCATTAATAACCTAAATTTAAGTATGACTAAAATGTGCTTATTTATTATTCAGAAGCAACTAAGAGATTAAATCTTTTATGTGATATTTTTACCAATACCAAATCTCTTAAATTAATTATAAAATTATTCTCTATTCATGATTTAAACATATTGGAATAAACCCTAAAATATATTAGAAGAGATAGATTGATTGACAAAGAATTTCCTTATAAATCTTTTTATAAAGATACAATCTTAGATTCTAAAAATAATTTATTGTAAGTCTTAAAATAATTACCAGAAGATGGCAACTTTAATATATTTTCTCTTTTAGAATTTTTAATATTGAGAAGGAAATTTTATAAATTATCCTTGAGAATTTATTATCTGAGTAATATCTATGGATAATAAATTAAAGAGAGAGGATTAATGAATAAGATGATATAAAAATTAGAATTAATTCCAAATAGAGTAATAGATGAAAAAAACTTTGATGTATTTTCAATAGTAATGGATGAATATTTGAAGATTGGTAAAGAATGTTAATAGATTGAATTATGGACTAGTTTTGCAGCAGATAACTATAAAATGATTGATATGTTAATGCCTTTAAAATCTTTATTATTATTAGACTTTTATATGTTTAATGCTATAAAAATAAACAAGAAATAGGATCATCACTTTGTTGATATTATAGGATTGAAAGAGAGATTGGCATTATAAGCTCAAACAACCCAAAGAAAAGCTAATATTATGTAGAGTAGTACAACTACAAATGATTAAAATAGTCAAGATAAGATAAAATAGACAGCAATTAGTATGATTTCTAGTCAATTTAGAGGTTCATTATTGGTTAAAAATTTTGTAAATAAAATGCAGTAAAATTAATCAACAGCATTATAGGAATTTAATAAATTATTAACACAACAATGTCAATCATTAGTTTTCACATTGCATGCACTTATTTAAAGAGAATAGATGATTCAATTAAATTAGAAATTACCATTTGTTAAGCCTTTATTTACAGAAGAGCCATTCTTAAATGAGATGCAATAAATTTTAAATCCTTTTATTATTCATAGCATACCATCAATAATGAATATTATTAACTTTAAAGATTTTGACAATAAGGTTTCAAGTTCAGATATTGACAACTTAGGAGACGAAGATTGGATTACGACCACTAGATTAAAATTAGAGAAAAATGTAACTCCTTTGTCTGCAAATAGAAAGCAGCCAAAATTTAAGAGTTCTGGTAATCCTTTTTCAAACAATACTAAATTTTAGGAACCAATATCTGGATCTTAATAATTAGCCTTATAATTGGTCTAACTTTTAATTGGGGTTCAATCATGTAATTGTAATGTTCAAGATCTTATTTATTTGAATCAAGGAATGTTAGGTATGGAAGAATTGAAACGAAATTAATTGAGATTGAGAAGAGATTTAGAGAATGTGTATTAATCAGTTTAAAAGTATAAGGATAATATTACAAAGATATTAGCAAATGGAAATATTTAGAATATGAATCTTACTATTATGACTTATTTAGAAAAGTTGATAAAAAGATTTCATTTGTTGATTATTATAACAATGATTTCTTCAGTTCATTAATTCAGAAAGTAAGTTTAAGATAATAGTGAAATATATCCTTAAATAATTTCTACATTAAGAAATGCCTTGATAACTGGATGTTTTAGAAATATGTGTCATGTTGAAAGATTGATGAATTAGGCACCAAGAGTATATCATTCGATTTAAACAAAAAAGATTATTAGTGATAAAATGATGTTATTAAAATATGCATTTGGTTCTTAATTTGTGTAAGTTCATTAGACAAATCCTAATAATGTTCATATGGCACTTTAGTAATTTTAATTTGAAGATTATTATACATAATTATCACCTTATATGATTCCATCTTAGTAAATATTATTTAGAACATAAAAAATCAATTATAATATTGAATCTTTTTTATCCAATGTGATTGATCTCTTTCCTTAAGCAATGGCAAATTTATTTACTTTGTTTCCTTAATCAAAATTAATTTATTATTCAACAATATAGGATTTACTTATATCAGAATCTGAATCTATTTTAAGAGATAAATGTATTTTTGAAGTTGATGATTTTTTCAAATATGAGAGAGCATATAGAAAATTATTAGTGTTATAATTTCGTTATTTAGTATTATCAGAGTTTTTTACAGTTTAAAAGAGAGAAATACTTCCATTTTCATCAGATACACATGATCCTTGTACATAATGGTTAGAAAATTGTGTAGAATTATGTGATAAAAATATGCATAAATAATAATTAAAAGCAGGACTATTATTAAGTACACTTCCAGGCGTAAATAAATAATTTAATGAACTTAAAAAAGGAGCTAAAACAACAAGAATAAATTATGAAGCATCATAAGAGAAGTTTTCAATATTACCGAGATTAAGATTGGAAAGTTTTGAAAATTAAGTGTTTTAATTAATATCAATGATGATAGGATGTTAGGCAATATTTTAAGAAGAGGGTAAATAATATTATTAGTAATTAAATAACTAATTAAATAAGATGGATTAACCATATGAAGTAGCAAAGCAATTGAATGTGTTTTATAGTAATTTAGAGAGAGATTCGCTAAAAATAATGACATTGAATAAGGGATATGCTCATGTGATTGCAGATAATGATTTAGATAGGCATTTAAATGATTTGAATAGAAGAATGTTAGATTTTAATAAATCCAATTATCCAAATTAGATTGTAATAGAAAATGAATCATTATAAAGAATGTATAATTAGAAATCAATAGAATTACGATTTGCAATGAAAAAGATAAAGTTTTACGAATCTAATATAAATCATATAGTAGAGAGTTTGGTTGCATAGAGAACAAATGATTTGATATTTGAAAATGATGCATTGAAGTAATAAATAGAATAGTTAATGAAGAGTTTTGATATAGAGAAATAGAAATTGAGAGATAAGATTAAGGAGGAATTCAGTGAGTAAATTCGTACTTAAGATGTATTGATATAGTAGATGTAAAATCGATTTTAAGATTATAAGAGAGGCATTTCAATGGAGATGACGAATTTTATATAGGAATATAAGACAGATGGATTGAAGAGAGTGAGAGATAAGGCATCTGAGGCTTTATTTGGTTAGGTTAATAAATTGAATATAGATTTAGATGTTGAATATTAGAGAGTTGGAGTATATGATAAATTTAAAGAAGATAGTGAGTAAATTAATTCTTTGTTTTAATCATTAAAGAAATTGAGAACATTTTATTTATGGAAAGAGATGTGTATAAGAGAGAAGTTTGAAAAATAAATATAAATTATAGTGGCAGCTAATTCGAGTAATGAAGAATTACAATAAAAGATTTAATAGTTGACAGAGAATGTAGAGATTCTTAAGGATGAGTTAATTTAAAATAGAAAGATTATAACCATAATGGATAATTAAAATTAAATATTGAGAAGGGATCTATAGAAATTAAAAATTGAGAGATTCTAAGCAATGAGAGAAAAAGGTTAATTGGGAGCAATTGCAACTTATTAAGATTAAGAATAACAATTAGAGGATTAAAGAAAATAAATTGTTGAAACCAAAAAAGAATAATAATTTAAGAATTCAAGACCGATTACAGCTTCATCAATTGCAAGATCAATCAAATCAGCATAAAAAGTTTAGAAATTGTCTACAACTTAAAGTGTACCAAAATTAGGAACATCCTAAATGATGTCAAATCAGAAAGGAACTTTAACAATGAAATATAAAATTACATCTTGATTGTTATATAATTAAGAATTTATGTTAATATCAACTACTTTAAAAAATTTTAAATATTGTGTAAATAATTCCTATTATTAGACCAATTCAATTGTATTAAAAACCTATTCAATGTTTTTGGATTGATTAAATTATTTAAATAAAGTCAAATAATTAGCTAGATCTTAAACAAAATGTTCAACTTGAAGTTGGAAAAAGATAATTAGAAGTTAAATTAAATAATATAGGATTAGAAATAACAAAGGAATATTAAAAAGAATTAAATAGTGGAACAGAAGAGTTAAGTTTAAAAGAAATGGATATAGACATCTTGATCAAAATTGTTCAAAATATGTTTTGATGAGAAATAGATGAAATAGATATGTAAATGAGATGTGGATATGCCAAGAATGGGAAATCTTTACCATAGATGAAAAAGATAATAAGGCAAAAGAGGATCTTAAGTAATTTAGAGATGAGCAAAACAAATATATTTTATTTCAAATATATTATTTAAATAAATTAATATGTTCAGAGGATTAAGATTGCTTTAAATGAGACCTGTCTTCTATTTTGCTGCTGATAAAACTCCAGCAACAACTTAAGGCAAATAATAGTAAACAAAACCAATCTAAGTGTATAAGGATGGATAATTGATTACAAAGAATTATCTCTAATTGAAAAAATCATAAGATATTGAAGGATATGTCTTAACTTTAGTCAAGAATTATTATAGAACAACCAATAAAGTAATTAATACTTATTATCATCAGTCAGCCTTAAATTTAGATTCAGAATTAGAATAGCATGGATTAGATAGTTTAGATTCTATTGAATTATCTATGCAAGTAATCTAATATTGATAACTTAGATTGAAGAAGATTTGGGATATGTCATCTCCGCTGAAACACTCCCAGTCTTGAATAAGGTTAGACATTATGTTAATTACATTAAATAAGTTGAACAATATAAAGTGGAAAATAATGCTGTTCCATTGGCATGATTAATATCATATGCATATTCAGTATTAATAACAAAATTATTAATGAAAGTATCAATTTAAATCATATGTCCACAAAAAACATCAAAATCCTACAAATATTAGAATCTCACTTAATTACATAATCATCAAAAAATTTTTAATTTATTTATATTTTATAATGAAATCTCTTTTTGCTTATTGGATTATTCTATGTAACCAAACGTATGCATCTATTAATGACAATAAAATCTACATAGTGAATAATATCAACATATTATCTACCAAAATTAAGATAATATTTAGTAAACTAAAAATCAAAGACTGTCAAATTATTTGAATAATAAATTTTTAATACTTTATTTATCAACTGGTCATTTGATTATCTAAAATACTAAATATTATTTAACTTTATTAAAACCATAATATACTTAACATAATAAATTTTATTTAACATTTTATTTAGGTTCTCTTAATTTTCAATGAATTAACAATATCAGGTGCAAATGATAATTAAATGTTTATTACTATAAACTACTTATTTAAATAAATGATAACTTAGGTTCTACTTTGCAGAATTTTAATCCTATGTTTGATGAGAAAACTTATTATAAAGCTAGAAGTGGATGTAAATAAAAAGGATGATAAGACAAATCAAGCTAAGTTCATATAAAATTAAAATTTTAAAACAGATTTTCACCTAATTGGGGAAATGAGAATGAACTGCTATTTTACTATGTATAATTTTTTAATTCATTATATCTTAAGATTAGAATAGAGAGTATAAGATTTAGAAAATGACTTTTGAAGTTACTTTGTATATATCTTATAAATTTAGAGTTTATCAAAAAAATATAAATTAAAAGAAAGTAATGATAGGCATTCAAATATTACAGGAGTAGATGTGTAAATACGATAAAGATTTAAATACATATTTATTGATGTTAAAAAATTGTTTTTGTGGATATATAAATATGATCTTTCTAATAAACAAGATTTAAGGACCTTAAAATTTCTTATTATAAGTATAAATTTAAATATTATTGAAGTCAAATTATTTATTCAGTTGTAATCTAAATGATTAAAGACTAGGGAAATTCAAATAGTTCATTTTAATCACTGAGCTTTAGAAGATGAAGATCTAAAATTTGTCTATTTTAGCTTTTTAAAATGATTTTTCAATAATTCATAAAGCTTAAAATCAATTCAAATAATAATAAAAACTATGGTAGTAAGAAATAGGAGTAGTTTAAATAGTTTTAAATATAGTTAGAAACTTTGCTTGTTTAGAATTAATGGATGATAGTTATTATAAAACAAATGGTTTAAAAGAAGAAGAAGATAAATTAATATGAAGTATTAGTATAATACAGAATTTTTTTAAATTTAAAATGCCTAATCTATGTCCATTTAATAAATTAATTTATTTAATGAAATAAAAGATTACATCATCGTTGATAGTATTCTTAATTTGTTTGCTGACAGTAAATGGCAAGTCAGTAGGATGCTGTAATTAATAATCTCATAATTATAGCTTCTAAAGTGGAGTCATTATAACTTTTTCCTTCAATGGGAGAGAAATTGTAAATTAATCTTCGAGAAAAACTATTTGAGGGAGAAGACCTGACTTTCGAGTTATAAGACACATATTTTAAGATAATTAATCCAGTTGAAAATACAGGTAGCAGTTCAAGCCATATAAAAAGTAATTTTTACATTTAATCTATTTAGCTGCTAATAATATTATAGCATCAAAGCCTTATCACACAAAAAAAATGTAATCATGGTTGAATTCATTCGTATTCTTGGATTAAAGTTCAACAGAAGTGTCCATTTTCTTTTCTGAAGGGTAATTGTCTATATAGAAATTAGAACTGCATTAGATAAAATTCCAACTCCAGATTTCAAGACTAGAGTAAAAATAACTAATGTGGTTGATAATATCCAATGTTATGATATAGAATACATTGACGATGACAAATTTATTGTAGATTGTTAAAAAGAAGTATTAGTTAAGCAAATCAAAAAATAAATTGATGTATTCTATATTTACTCAAAAAAATCAAACCTTGTTACATCTTTTGAAGAAGATGCAACTGCTAAATTATTTAACAAAAGGCGTATTGGGTTATTCTATTCCACAAGTGCATTAGAAAAGGAAACTATTTACATTGTTAGAGTTACACCAACATTTTCATTGCATCCAACAGAGTAACTTTCAGGTGATTCAATGGTATAAGTTTATGCTTTGAGTGATAATTATGAACCTGTAGCTAGAAACTATATTTTAGATAATATCACAATGGCATTTTTATTAGGAAAAACTGATATGGAACTTTCAATAGTAGATTTTGAGATTTCTTATAACGGATTTATTTTCTTATTAGATGCTCAATATGGTCTGTTTGTAGTAAGATTCTAACCAACTGGAAAATGGGAATTGTTTGCATAAGCTGATTTTTAATTAGGAAGATCATTTGCTTTTGATATTGATTACGAACATAAGAAAGATGGTTCTGAATTGGGAATAGTAGCAGTTCTTGGTTATAATTTCTTTGCTATTTTTGATGCAGAAAAATCATATATACATGAACTTCCATTTTTATAATTAGATTATCCAGCTTCTATTAAGATATCATAAGATAATATAATTATTAGAAATTAGAATATTGCTTATTTCTATAAAATTAATGTTGACAAAGATACAATCTACCTTAATTATAAAATAGATATACCCCCTACAGATCATATATTGGTAAATCCATAAGAACCAGAATTTATTTAATTAAATATAAGAAATTCATACAGATATACAATTTCAGATGGATATTTGTATTATCCTGGAAGTGATAAAGTATAAGAAAAGTAAATAGTTGGTATAAAGGCAAAAGCTCCAAATAAGTAAGAATGCATAGTTTTTCTTTTCTATTAAATTGTTTAGGATAATGATAATCTAATATATTAATTATTTGATAAACCAATGCCTTTTCCAAATACAATAGCTGAGGGTTAAACTTATTCAATTTTGAAAAGGTTAGCATCTGGTCCAAATCTTGATTATCAATTAAAACCACCAGCTTAATTAGAAGCTATAAATATTAATGCTAATTTTGATTCAAGAGTTTATTTGAATTTAAATCATGAATAACCATAAAATATCATATATGCAGAAATAGTTTCAACAATAGATAATACTTTATTTTATTAGGTGTTGTAAAGTCAAAATCTGAAAATTTAAGTTTTGAGTTGTGTTCATAATTCTATTTACAACGATGAAACTTTTTGTGAAGTTTATGTTGATGATTTAGGAATTACAAATAAAGTAACCAAAACTAACTTTTCAATTTGGAATAAAGATGGAATATTATTTTATATGTACATTAATGAAGATTATAATGTTGTAATAAAATCAATCGATTAAGGAAAATTAATCCCATAAAAAACAATACGATTAGATCCAACAGACACTGCAAATAAGATTTAAAACATTTTAAATTGTGGAAATTATCTTTTAGTTCATTTAGCAAATAATGACATTTAAACATATTTAACTTATGGAGATATACTTTTTGTACTAACAACTTTAAATAAGAATTCATTTTCTCATTATGGTTATAATGAAGATTGGTAACCAAATGCACTTTTCACAAACAAAAAGTTGCATCCAAACATTGTATTCATACTTCACCAAAATCATATTTTGATGTTAGATACAGATTATGGTTTATTTTCTTTCATTAAAACTATTCCAATAACTAAAAATTTAGATTATACTATTGCAATAGGTTAAGAAACATTCTTTGTTGTATAAGGCAAATCTAATGATACAACCTTAGATGCTAAAATATATGAATATAATTTTGCAGATATTAATCATATCTATAAATAAAAAGAACTTTATTTATACTGGTATGATATATCTACACCAATAAATGCTGACTATAGTGAAGAGACTGGCCATTTATTTATCCGAGGAGTTTGTTTATATTGCAAAAAATCTTTTATTTTGATATTTAAACCTAATACTCCTTAACATGAAGCTTTGGTTCAAGCTTGGCCTATTGATATGGGAGTTATTCCTGATTCAATACCAATATTAATAGCTGCCAATGGATTCCGTCAAATATATTTATATTTAAATGTTAAAGAAAAATAATCACTTTATGCAGTTTATGATTTTACAACCATGATTGTTGATTCCACAATTGAATAAGATAATTATTCTGATAAATATCAAATCAATTTCTAGATTAGCAATTATAATTTCAAGAATGTAACAGAGAAATTCAATACTATTGATATTAATTAATAAGTTACCACTATTTATTCATAAACAAAAATTTAATTGAATGAAAATACATTCCCTTATTCATAGAGTGGAGTACAGATCTAATCAACTGATGAGTCTGCAACCTTTAAATTAGATAATAATTGGTATTCTGGTTAAATTGGAAATTTTGAAGTTGATTGTGATTAATGTGAAACAAATGTTGAATTGTAAAGTTCTGTAGATTTAATTAATCCTAAAATTTTTAATGGATATGAAATCAAAGATTATGTCAAATATAATGATTAAATGAATGTTATGTAGGCTACAACAGGCCTATTATTCTTAAATTACTAAGATGATACCTTAGCTGCAGTTTATGATTTTGATTTACCAAACTTTGAATATAAATGCTATTAAGCTACAGTATCTGAAGATAAAATGGTTGTATATTCTTTATGTAATGATGGAAAAGAATTCACAGTTTATGCTACTGGATGTTTTTCTATTACTGGTTGTTCTCCATTAGGAGAAAAGTTTAAATTAGGGAGAGCCTCTAAAATTTAAGTTGTTTCAAATGAACTCTTGGTTGTTTTGCATTCAGATTCAAACAATCCTGAACTTATTTAAGATGGATAAATCTCTCTTTATAAAATTGTTATGGGATTAGATGAATGGAGATTAGAACTTATTGAAAACATTAATTTAAATTATTTAAATTAAATATTACCTATTCCTTTAAAGGATTTCAGACCAGCTGACTTTTAAGTCGTTAAATAAATTGGTGTAAATTATGCTACAAATAAATCTACATATAAATTATTTATAAGTGATTCAGTTAATGGTTTAGTATTTATTGATTTCTCATTTTTAAAATTATCTGAATACTAATTTATATCAATTCAAACACTTAATTTACACGATTTTTTAAACAAATAAAGTAATTCATATACACTTACAACTACAAAGTTTTTATCATTCAAATTCATTTGGGAACCTGATTTTGATATTAGTTCATAAGTCTTGAGAACCTATCTCATCATTTTGACTTCAGATGCTTCATAGTATGGATTATAATTAGTATTTGAAGCTCAACCTTAATTCAATACACGTCTTTCTATTACTTCTTTGACATCGATTATCGTAAGATATGGAGATTGGGTTCCAATGAACAAATTAACAATTCAAAATCATCATTTAACATTAGCAATTCCATACAGAAAATTAAATTAAATTGTTGTTGTTGTTTATTACATAAATTTTGATTTACTTAAAACAGTTGTTCCAAATGTCAGTATTGGAAGCTATAGTATTTACTATGAATAAAGTCAATTGGCTGATCCATTAAATTTAGCTTTGTTCTTCTCTAAATATAATAATATCCTTTTTGTATCCTAATTATAAGGACCACTATAAAGTTATGGAATCTATAATGAACCTACTTTAATTATTAAGAACCAAGATCATGACTTAAAAAGCTAAGATATCACACTCATTGCTAAAAATGACTTTAGTGAAGAAAGATTAAATTTCAAATTAATTGTTAAAGAAGTTAATCATGATGAATGCATTACCAAAATCACAAATATTTAAATTTACCCATCTACTGAAGAATTCTTATAATGGAATTTATCATAAAATATATTTGAAGGTGTTTCTTTGAAATACACTTTAGGAGATACAGAAGATTTTACTGTTATTCAACCTACTTCATAAATCGGTGACTCAATAAATCATAAAAAAAGTATATATATATAAATATATAAAATTAGATGGAACATAAATAATATCAGGAAAAGCACTGTTAACTTAAAATAGAGCCTGGTCTAATCAATTTGCATTTTTAAATAGAGATGTCAATAAATATTCCATTTTCTACACAAATACGTAAATTATTTAATATATAATAACTAGTCCATCTATTAATACTGCTCCATCATTTAGTCAAGTTTTAAATATTTAAAAAACTGATACAAATCTTTATTGCTTAGATTTTGTTTAATTATCTTCTACAACTTTTGTTGTTGATTGTTAGATTTTAAATAATAAATTCTTTTTGTTAATTCAAGATACTTAGGAAACATCAACAGCAACAATTACTAATACATAATTAAATAGAGTTTTAGGTACATATTAGGCAAAAGATAGTTAATATGTTATTAGAGTTACATTATCTATTACAACTGAAGGTTAATTAGCAAATGATTCTTTTGTTGAATTGTTTTAATATCTTAATGGACAATTATAAGCCAAATAAACATTAGATAAAAGTCAATTATAGAATATTTATGGAAAATAAATTGATTAATTGAACATTGTAGATTTCAAAATAGGATTGAATGGATACATTTATTTATTAGATGCCAAATTAGGAATATTTGTTGTCAACTTTGATACATAATGGAAATTCATAAAATTCATAAATTATAAATTTGGTTAAGCTTTTGCTTTTGATAGGACTTTACTTAGAAATAAGGATGAAGCATTTGTAATTTAAGGATATAATTATTATGTGATAATTGATTCAGATGGAAAAACATAAAAAGTATAGGATTTATAGTTTAGTACTATCACATATCCTTAAGTTATTTAAGCAAGCGCTAATTACATTTATGTCAACAATTAAAATAATTTATATGTTTATCATTCAGATGATAACAATAGTGGTTTAATTGATATTATTGATTTAACTAATAGTATTTCAATCACAAATCCTTTTATTCAAGAAATTGTGACTATTTCTTTGACATCATCAGCCAGATGGAATATTAGTTTAGGAACACTTAAATTTAATGGAGTAAAAAAAGCATCTTAAGGATTCTAAAATTTAATCATTTAAGCTACTTCATAACATCATTTAACATGCTATTCTAAAATCTAATATTAAATAATTGAAAGTAACAGCAAAGCTTTAATCACTAAAAATAAATCTGATTAACCATTCCCACAAGTTTTTGATGAGATCTTTGAATAATTTTAATTAGGTAACCTTATTTCTGGACCAAATCTTTTCTATAGTATAACATTACCAAAAACACCACTTGATTTTAGTGCTTAAGTTGTATAAAATAGAGAAATATAAGTTACTAATTGGCCTAAAAATCCTTTATTCAGTACTGAATTAGTTGGAAATGATGGAGAAACCCTATATTAAGTCTTCTAAACTTAAGACAAGATGTTAAAAATATATCTTTGTGTGTTGACAGATCATATTAAATATGTTTGTAAAGATTATGGAAGCTTTTAATTTTAAGAAACAATAACAGAATAAATATTCAGCATTTGGCAAGATAGCGATAATATTGTTAGATTTATCACCATATCATCATTGAATAAAATTTAATTATTTTCAAATCCAGATGGTGTTATAATTGAAGGTAAATCAGTCACATTTACAGAATAAATATTAAGTATTTTAAATTAAGGAGATTATTTATTTATTTTGGAGAAGAATGGCATATTAAACAGTTATTTAAGTGAAGATTTAACCTTTATCAATAGTATAACTGGAACTTAATTAATTGGATTTGGTGGCTTATGGAAACCTTTAAAATTATATGGAAATAGAATACTTAAATCTAATATTGTATTTGTTTAAAATGAAAATAATATTGCTATCATTAATTATATTAATAGAGAATTCATATTCATTTAATCTATGGATTATACTGTGAATAATTAAATATATATTTCAGCTGCTAAGAATACATTCTTTGTAGTTAACAACAAAGAAATATTTGAATATAATTATGAAAACTTATTGAATATTTTCAAATCAAAGACTGTCGAATTATTTGGATATTAAATTGTTAATCCTTTAGTTGTTACATCTTAATAATCAACTGGTAATTTAGTTATCAAAACTACTAAAGCATAAGATGTTTATTTAAATATATATAGGGCATCCTAAATATAACATGATACATTCTATTTAGCATTTAAATTAAATGGTATAAAATAAGAAGATACATTTTAATTATCATTAGGAGGTTCTTCTTATATAATAACTTTTGCCAATGGAGACAAGATTTAGTAATTAAACTTTATTCTACTTAATCCTGAATTGATTGTAATTCCATCAAAAACAGTTTAAAAGTTTGTTACAGGCTTTTAGGTAATAATGGATATAATGAATGGGGATGATAATACCTAGAAAATTCATTATGAATAAGGTGTGAAAGTGGCAAATACTTTTACAAATTTGATTGTTAATGATGAAGAATATTTAAATTCAATTGAAATAAATGAAACAGATGGACCAACAGAAACAGCCATAAAATCAGATTGGATAGGTGGATAAATAATAAATACAGAATTATCTTTAGAAGCAATAAATGATGATATTACACTTTTACCTTTTGTAAGTTAAGAGAAAGGAGTTCTAATGGATTACTAGATATATGATGTATCTAAACCATTCGCTGTTACATTTTTATAGGCTTCAAATACTGTATTATCATTTAAGGGTGATGACTTGAAAAATGCTCAACCGATTTTACCAAAATTATCTGAATAATATAAATGTTATAGATTAGAGGCTGATTTAACTAGACTCTATTCATTATGTAATAATGGTGTAGAAGATTAAATATAAATAGGAGTTTGTAATGATAAATAAGAATGTGTAAGATAGAATAGTTATATATCATCACCATTTGCAACTTAAATTGGAATTTTAGCTTAAGATGTTGTTGTTATATTACATACAGATTCTTTAAATCCTGAAAATTATAATGGATATATTACTATTGAAAAATTAGTATCTATTGATGGAATCTGGTAATCTAATCTATTATTTACTATTGATTATAATTTCATTTCTGATAAAATGGGAGCATAAGCACCTTAATTATTTAGACCATCTTCATTTGTACATTCTCCAACAGGAACTAATACAACTCATTAATTTTTATAATTGATCATTACTGATAGTGTAAATGGGTTATTGTTTGTTGATTTAACACTTTCAAAAACAACTTAGGAAGTAAAGTATCAATTTTCAGAATATTAACTTTTGAAAGATTGGCTAAATGTTAATTCATATGCAAGTGATCAAACTCATTATTATTAAGCATAAAGTATAAGTTAATAAATTGATTTACCAAACAAAAAAACAGTAAGATTAGTCCTTGTAACTGATATTTCATCATCATATTTGTTTGAATTAGTATTTATTATACAAGGCAATAGCTCAAATAAATTAAGTACAATAAGAACAATTGTTGCTTTAAATAGGTATGGTAATTTCAAAGCAATGAACTATGTTTCAGCATCATAATCTTCAATAGCAATCCCATACTTTAATAACTTAGAGGTTGTAATTGGACTTTATAAGATCCCAACAGATTAAGAAAATACTGCAGTTTAAACTATATAAGGCTCTCATACATTTGCTTATTTTAAAAATCAAATAACACCTTAAGATTTCTTACTTTATAATTCAGATGATTTATTATTAACAAGTACTTCAACTTTTGGAGTCTATAAAAATTTGGTAAGATATCAATAAATTTTGAAATTCGGAGAACCTAAAAGATTACATAGTTAAAAATTAACTTTAACATTTTAGAATGATTTTAGAAGAGTGGTCAGAACAATCAATTTATCAATAGTACCTGTTGATAAGGATGAATGTTTAACAAAAATAACTGATCTAAAGATATATCCTTCCGAAGGAGAAGTTTTATAATGGCCATTAACTCAAAACTTCTTTGATGGTGTTTCTCTTAAATATAGTGTAGATAAAAATGATTTTTCAATTGTTTAATCTTTAACTTAAGTTGGAAACGCAATAAATCATAAAAAAAGTATATATATATAAATATATAAAATTAGATGGAACATAAATAATATCAGGAAAAGCACTGTTAACTTAAAATAGAGCCTGGTCTAATCAATTTGCATTTTTAAATAGAGATAATAATAAATATTCCATTTTCTTCACAAACACGTAAATTATTTAATTTATTATAACTAGTCCATCAATTAATACTGCTCCATCATTTAGTTAAGTTATAGATATTTAAAAAACTGATACAAATCTTTATTGCTTAGATTTTGTTTAATTATCTTCTACACTTTTTGTTGTTGATTGTTAGATTTTAAATAATAAATTCTTTTTGTTGATTAAAGATAATTCAGAAGTAACAACAGGAACTGCACCTGAAAATACTTTATTCTACAGAGCTTTAGGTACATATTAAATTCAGAATGATTAATTTGTTATCAGAGTTTCATTTTCAATTACAAATGATGGTTAATTAGCTAATAATTCTTTTGTTGAATTGTTTTAATTTACTGAAAATGGTTTAATAAGTAAATCTACTCTAGACAAGAGTAAATTATCTAATATTTTTGGAAAATAAATTGATTAATTGAACATTGTAGATTTCAAAATAGGATAGAATGGATAAATTTATTTATTAGATGCCAAATTAGGAATATTTGTTGTCACCTTTGATAATGATTGGAGATTTTCTAAACATGTTGCTTCAAAATTAGGCTAAACTTTTGCATTCGATAGAACAGTATTAAGTAATAATCAAGAAATGTTTGTATTAAAAGGGTATAATTTCTATGGAGTATTAAATTCAGAGGGAGATATTAAAAAAATATAAGATTTGTCATTTGCTAGTGTGACATATCCTTAATACATTAAATTAAGCCATAATTATGTATTCTTACACAATTAAGAAAATCTTTATATATATCATTCAGATGAAAAGCATAGTAGTATAATAGATATTGTAAATTTTGCAAATACAGCAGGAATCATAAATCCAAATAGTTAAGACTTAGTAAGAGTTTCATTAACTTCATCTTCAGCTTGGACTTTTAGTTTGGGATAATTACAATTTAATGGAAAGGCAAAATCAAGTACCGATTTCTAATCTTTGACAATAACAGCCAAATCTTAACATAATTAAGAATGTTATTCCAGATTATACTATAAAGTATTGGCTAGCAACAGTGAGACAATATTCAAAAAGGTTGAAACTGAAAAACCTTTTCCTAATGTTTTGGATGAGAATGATGAATAAATAAAATTAGGAAGCTTAGTATCAGGTCCTCATTTGATTTATGAAATTGTTCAACCTAAATTACCACTAGCATTGTATTCTAAACAATTTTTAAGTATGTCTGCAGAACCAGATTTGGATGTTGATGCAAAGATTGCACATTAAAGAACAATCTAAGTAACAAATTGGCCAAAGAAATCATTATATTAAACATCTTTAATTGGTAAGAATTAAGAAACTCTGTATCAAGTTTTCTAATAGGAAGATAAAAAAATTGTAATTCAAAGTTGTTAATTGAGTGAACATGTTAAATATGAATGTAAAGATTTTGGAAATGTAAAAGTATAAGAATAATTATCAGATTAACTTTTTAGTATCTGGCAAAGTGATGATAACATAGTTCATTTCATTACAATAGACACACCATATATTATTAAATTCTTTGAAATCTAAAAAGATTAGACTACTTAGACAGGTTTAATTAAATTAAATGAAAATGAAGAGGAAGATGATTTTAAATTAGTAGCTTTCTAAAATCAAGGAGATATTTTATTCGTTATTTAAGCAAATGGAAATTTATCTTCATATTCTGCAACTAAGTTTACATTGATTAATTAAATTACAGGAGAAGACTTGCTTGGATTTTAAGGAGATTGGAAACCAATTAAATTATATGGAAATAGAGTTTTAAGAAAAAATGTTATTTTTGTTTAAAATGAAAATAACATTGTTGTTATTAATTACAGTAATGAATTCATTTATGGTTCTTAAATGGAATATACAAAAGATAATTAAATTTATATAGCTTAATCAACTAATTCATTCTTCTTAGTCAATAATTAAGAATTGATTGAATATAATTATGAATCAATTAAAAATGTTTTCAAATAAAAGACTGTATAACTTCATGGATATTAAATTGCTAATCCATTAGGTGTTTCCTCACATTTGTAAAGTGGTATTTTGATTGTTAGAACATAAAAGAATGATGAAGTATTTTTGAACATTTTTAAACCAGATTAATTACAACTTGATACTTTTTATTTTGCTGTTAAAATAAATAATGCTAAAACAGATAGTCAATTTGCAGTATCTTCAAGTGGTTCAGATTTAACAGAATAAGCCTATTTAGTAACTTTAGTTAATGGTGAATCTGTGTAATAATTAGACATTATTGTACTCGATCCAGAATTGATTGTTAGTCCTAATAAAAGGAAATAAAAATATCTAATAGATTATGAAATTTCAATTAATATTAAAAATGCAGATTCAAATACAATTGATCCATTAACATTCACTTAAAAAGTCAAGGTAATAAATACATTCACAACATTAATTGTAGATGATACAAAATCAACTTCTTAAATTGATATTGAAGCTAAATAAAATTCTACTACTATTAAATTAGCAAATGGATGGATTAGTGGATAATAAACTGAATGCACATTAAAATAAGAAAAAGCTAATGATATAATTTTAGAACCTTACCTTTATCAAACTAAAAAAGATATACTACATAATTATTAATTTAAAGATGCTTCATCTTTCTAAAATAATGTCGTATTTTAAGCAGTCAATACAGTATTTTTAATGAAAGACAATAAATTAGAAGATAGCAAATCAATTCTTGAAGTTTTACCTTAGGAATATGATTGTTACAGAATTGCATCTTATGGAAATTCTATATATTCATTATGTAATAATGGTGTAGAAGATTAAATATAAATAGGAGTTTGTAATGATAAATAAGAATGTGTAAGATAGAATAGTTATATATCATCACCATTTGCAACTTAAATTGGAATTTTAGCTTAAGATGTTGTTGTTATATTACATACAGATTCTTTAAATCCTGAAAATTATAATGGATATATTACTATTGAAAAATTAGTATCTATTGATGGAATCTGGTAATCTAATCTATTATTTACTATTGATTATAATTTCATTTCTGATAAAATGGGAGCATAAGCACCTTAATTATTTAGACCATCTTCATTTGTACATTCATTGACTCACTCTTATGTTGATTTATTATTGGTTTAATTTATTATTTCTGATAGTGTTAATGGGTTAGTCTTTATTGATCTTAGTATTTCTAAGACTACATTTGAGACCAAATATGTATTTATAGAATATTTATTACTTAATAAATGGTTAAATGAAAATAAATAATATGCTAATGATAACACCAATTATTATTCAAATAAGATTATTGAAGAAACAATCAATGATAAAACTAAAACTATTACTTTAGTAGTTGTAACTGATAATTCTTCGTCTTATGTTTTCAATCTATAATTTGCTATTTAAGATAATTATTCTAATAAATTGGCAGATACCAAAGTTAAAGTTGCATTGAATAGATATGGAACATGGAAGGCATTAAATACAGTAGCAGCTAATAAACATTCTGTTGTTATAGCATATACGAATAACTAAAAAGTTGTTGTTGGTGTTTATCCATTATCTGAAAGTACTGTATCTGTAATAACTGGTTCCTTTTCATTTACTTAGGCTGAAAAATCCAAAATAGAACCAACAGATTTCCCACTTTATTTACAAGTAAAAAATATATATTTATATTTTAGGATTATACTTTAATATCTAGTCATGTAAGTAAAGGATTATATCAATATGCAATTGGATAAGATATCAATATTATATTTGGAGAAAGTGCCAAACTTGAAAATTAGACTTTGACTTTAACCTTTTCAAATGATTACTAATCTGTCTCCAAATAAATTAAATTAAATATTAAGCCTGACGATGGAGGCGACGACGATGGAGATTCAAGTTCTAATACTTGGTGGATTATACTTATTTTTGTTGGAGGCATTGTTGTTCTAAGTTTGTTAGGATTTATCTTTTATAAAAAAAGAAAGGAAGAAGATGAAGATAAAGAAGATTAAGATACTGGATATGTTCCTGTAAATTGAGTTATACATTAATAAAATTATCATATAAAATCTATTTATTTATTGCATTTGCATCAATTTATATTTACTCTCTTAAAAATCTCTTTTTTTCTCTTTTTGCTTAAGCAACTGTTAACATGTAAAAGGTAATAGTATGGAGAAAATTAGGTAATGTTTTAAAATTTTAAGATCTATAGAAAGTTTTTCAATAGTGTTTTTAATTTAGGTGAAAAACAGCTTAAAATATCCTTCATAATATTCACTTCTTTTATGTATTTTGCTGTTATTCATTATTATTAAAAAATTAATAATTTAATATGATGAAGAATCTTTATTAATGAGATCAAATTATCTTAAGAATTTTTCAGTATTTATAATACCCGATTAAAACTCTGAAAGAATATTGAACAATGTTATTGCTCATTCAATATATTNTTCTAATAAATTGGCAGATACCAAAGTTAAAGTTGCATTGAATAGATATGGAACATGGAAGGCATTAAATACAGTAGCAGCTAATAAACATTCTGTTGTTATAGCATATACGAATAACTAAAAAGTTGTTGTTGGTGTTTATCCATTATCTGAAAGTACTGTATCTGTAATAACTGGTTCCTTTTCATTTACTTAGGCTGAAAAATCCAAAATAGAACCAACAGATTTCCCACTTTATTTACAAGTAAAAAATATATATTTATATTTTAGGATTATACTTTAATATCTAGTCATGTAAGTAAAGGATTATATCAATATGCAATTGGATAAGATATCAATATTATATTTGGAGAAAGTGCCAAACTTGAAAATTAGACTTTGACTTTAACCTTTTCAAATGATTACTAATCTGTCTCCAAATAAATTAAATTAAATATTAAGCCTGACGATGGAGGCGACGACGATGGAGATTCAAGTTCTAATACTTGGTGGATTATACTTATTTTTGTTGGAGGCATTGTTGTTCTAAGTTTGTTAGGATTTATCTTTTATAAAAAAAGAAAGGAAGAAGATGAAGATAAAGAAGATTAAGATACTGGATATGTTCCTGTAAATTGAGTTATACATTAATAAAATTATCATATAAAATCTATTTATTTATTGCATTTGCATCAATTTATATTTACTCTCTTAAAAATCTCTTTTTTTCTCTTTTTGCTTAAGCAACTGTTAACATGTAAAAGGTAATAGTATGGAGAAAATTAGGTAATGTTTTAAAATTTTAAGATCTATAGAAAGTTTTTCAATAGTGTTTTTAATTTAGGTGAAAAACAGCTTAAAATATCCTTCATAATATTCACTTCTTTTATGTATTTTGCTGTTATTCATTATTATTAAAAAATTAATAATTTAATATGATGAAGAATCTTTATTAATGAGATCAAATTATCTTAAGAATTTTTCAGTATTTATAATACCCGATTAAAACTCTGAAAGAATATTGAACAATGTTATTGCTCATTCAATATATTTAAATTATCATATAATAATATTATTGAAATAAGGACAATAATTTTATAATATTTTTGGAGCACTAAGGCCTCTAAACAAAATCAACAAACATATGTTGCTTATCGCTTATAGAAGAAAAACGTAAATACTTGTTATTGAAACTACAAATGTAAACATTTTGAATTGAGTATAAAATATCAATTTAAAGAACTATTTAAATTGCAATTTACAAATAATTCATCTTAAATTCTTCATCTATATGCTCATAAAACTTACGTTATTTCTAAATTTTACAGTAGAATTGAAATTTAATATAAAACATAGATTATGTAATATTCTAAAAAATAAATGGCTGATATAAATTTATAATAATTTAAATATGTAAGGCAACATGAATTTGAGTAAATTTATCTCTGACAGCATCCTCATCTTTAGGTCTGGATGTGATCTATCTGGTAATTGTTAGTAAATACATTTTTTACATAAATCAATATAAGCATCCTCTATTTGAAATTGGCTTTTTCTTTAATCATAAAACTAAATAAGGATCGAATTGATGAGTTGTAAATAGGAAAAATCTTAAGTATGTTTACATAATTATTAATAAAATTGTTCATTAGCATTTATAACATTTGACATCTACTGTAGACATTAAATTTACAGAGAATGTTTCATGGCAATTCTGGCAGAATCTCTAGGACGGAACTGTAATATGAGCTTTATGTGTGGAAATCATATCATGACATTCATAACATGGAAATGCCTAAATACTATTATATTAAATAATACCCAATTACAACAACTAAATATAGGAGAAGCTTTAATAAGATCATTATGAATGCATTTCATATTATTATAATTGCAAGTGAATTATGTATTTTATATTTTTTAAGCAGATAATCTTCTATCAAAGGATTATTATTATTTTTAAGCTGATGAATTAAGAGATTACACATGATTTGCATTCTTTCTATTTTCTAATTATTTTCCGTCACTTTAATAATAATAATTCACTCCGTTAGGGCTAGTTTATCTAATATTAGTATTCCCTTTAGTATTATTTTATAATTCTTTATATGATTAAGCATCTAATGAATTATTGTTAGTTTGACTGATATTTTTAAGAGATTTCTAGTTACCATTACCTAAATTTCCAAAGGATGCTGTATTCAATCCACTTTTCAAAGGAGAAATCATTTATTATTATGATTAAGGTATTTTTTGAAATTATTTTTACCCTTAATTTTCAGAAGAAGCTTTAGGGCTATTTGATTATAATTAGTTATTCGATAATTGCTAATTATTAGATTATGCTTAATCTCTAGATATTTATTTACTTGAATATTATTATATTACAGTGTTGATACTATGTTTATTAACTTCTTTTTTGATTGATTAGGAATGTTAAGAATTTTAGGAAGGTTAAGGAGGCAATTATTGATAGAGATAAGCTTGTTATGAATTATATTATTATTATTAATTTATTTATTTAACTGAATTTTGAGCATTTTATAAGCTATGCCTTTAAAAATCTAATTTAGATTATTTGTTAGTATTTAATTATTGTTATTGATTTTTTAATAAGTTAGAATTTAATTCTTATGGAGAATCTTGAATGGTTGGCTAAATAAACTCAAGATTGTTTTAACCAATTTAAGAAATGATATCAATAATAGATTCTTGTAATTATTGATATATTACTTTCCATTAGGATTTCATATTATTTTAAAGTGATAAGGTTTAATCATCAAATTGAGAGAGTTTATTAATAAGTTTATCTAAATGAGTTGGATCCATTAATAACATACTATGATCCATTTCAGCAGGTGTCATTTCAAAGAGATTTTTATGTGCATATTCTTTAATTTTAGAGAGTGTGTATTTTTCTGTATTATAAAATGAGATTAAGAGAGAATTATTTTATTCAGCATGAGTTTGAATATCTTTAACATAGAAATCTCTTAATAATGTTAATTATTATTTAACAATATCTAGAATTGTATTAATATCTTTATCTATAAGATCAATTAAGTCTATCATTTTACATTTATTATAATATTCTTCTAATTTAGCTACCTATTTAGAATGACAAAAGATTACTTAAAATAGATAACATTTGAAATTATTTTCAAAAGAATCACAATATTATTCTACAGTAACTTTGTTAGAAATATGTTAATCATGTTCTTCAATAATACAATGAGCACAACCTAGTCTTCTATCAGCATTACAATTAGATTCCTTTTAGATAATTTTATAGATTTACAATACAAACAAATGATATTCTACCTTTTTCATGATTCTTTTTCCAACAAACTGGATCAAATTTCATACCTAATTTATTAACGACTAATCTTTCATTTGCATTTGATGGTTTTTTATATTGTATTTATAAATTCTCACCTATTTCTTGAAAAGATTCTCATACTTGTTTTGGTTTTTGATCTGCCATGATTTCTAGGAATAATTTTACTATCAGACATTAATTCAATAATTTTATAATAATAATAATAATATTAATAATTTTCATTATTTTTTGTCATCTATTACAGCCTTTCTCTTTAATTTAAGTACTTCTTCTTTTGTTACCTAAAATTGAAATAAATAAAATTTAAATACTTCTTTTAAATCTTATGGACGTACTTATTTTTAACAAAGTGGACAAATTGGTTCAATTTCTAAGATTCTCTTGAAATATTAAATATTAGCCGGAAATTTACACTCAGGACAAAAACAACATTATTCAGCTACTATATGTCTATAATTAATGTTGAATTATAGATTACTTAGCTGATGCAATACAAAATGGAATATTATTTGAACATTTTGGACAATCAAGATTAAATTCTGATACAAATTCCTAATAATCAATTTAGATTATATACTCCACAAAATGGACACGGTGTTTTTTTATCTGGAATTTCTTCCTTAATTGGTTTTCTTGCAATGTTTTCAATTTTAGTTTTAAATTTCTCATTAATTTATGATCTATATTCTTGTTTCATTAAAGTTATAGCCCATTAATATGCTAATGATCTAAAAATTTATATTAAATATTTTAGTATTACTTAAAATTAGCTTTAGTAGCTTCAATCACTGCCATAGTTAAGATATTTGTTGCACCATTAGGAAATTAACTAATACTTTTACATACCCTATCTAATAATTTTGCTAAATCTTCATGTTCATCTAATTTCATTATCTTTTTAACTAATGTATATGAATGTAAAGTCATTAATTTTTAATACAAATCAAATGGTATTTAATTACCACTTGATTTTAAATCATCACAAGTTTCAAATAAAAATTAGTGCGCCTCTTTATATTTACCACATTCCTATTCAGATGCTGCAATAGTAATAGCAATTCTTCCAACTGCTTATAAATTACCAATCGCTTTTTGTAATTTTAATGAAAAGATAGGATCTTTAGGAATATCATCAGTATCACCATTAATATAATCCGATAAATGTTAAATAAGTGAATCTTACTTATTACGTGCTACTAAATCTATCATATCATTAATGAATTCTTCCCCTGCTTATTAATATAATCTCAAAGCTTTCATTGGATCTTAAGCTTTTTCATAATGAAACGCAGCCTTATCTAATTAATTCTTTCCTTCAAAATACTAAGCTACTTATAATCTTTCTTCTAATGAAAATGCTTTCATATGTTCAACATAAGAATCCATTTCATTATAATTTTAAGCCAATGCAAATGCTTATTCTTTCTTTTCTGCTAAAATTAAGAATTCTACAGCTTCTGCTTTAGATCCTCTTCTTTCACAATATTAAGCTACCATTGATGCAAGAGTAACTGTCTTACATTTATTACGTAATATAAATTTAGCTCTTTCTATATTATTCAATTAATTTAAATTCAAACGTACTACATTTTCCCAATCTTCTGCTTTTTCATATACATTTTCGGCTTCTTAAAATGCTCCTTCACTTTCTTTTGCTTTTGCATATAAAATTAATAATTTTGGAGATTTAACTTTATTCATTAATGGAGCAGCCTATTTAAACATCTTCTATGTAATGTAAATAGTTGCTGCTTTCTCTATACAACCTGCTTATTCATATAATTCAGCAGCTTCTACTTAAAATTTCATATTTTCACAAACCAACGCAATTTCTTATAAAATCAATGAATCTGTAATCTATCTTGAAAGACTAGATCCTCTTAAAATATCACCCATTTTAATAGAACAACGTGCAATTCCAGCTATGCATTATTGATTATGTGTTTCTACTGTTTTTGAATCATGAAGTTTTTCATTAAGCATAGCCATCTCATACATTTTTACTGCTTCTGGATTATTACCTTAAGTTTCAATTTGTATTGCTAATCTTTTACAAATAAATGGTTCTTGTTCTGGAGCTATCTTTTTTGCTAATGATAAAGCATTCACATAATCTTAAATATCACTTCTTAATTCTAAAGCACCTAATCTATATGATGATTTTAAGAATAAATCTTATGCTAAATCATGTTAACCTAATATCATTGCCACATATGCAAATAATAAATTCTTTTCTGTCTCATTTTTGAAACTTTATATCATCATTACCATTGATATATTGTTAGCTTTTTAAAAGGCTTTTTAGGCTACATCAAATTCTAAATTCTCTAAACATTTTCTACCAAAAGTATCGAATAATTTTAAATTCTTTAAATTCAAAGCTGCCTTATGTGCATTTGCAAATTTAAACAAAGCTAAATTCTATAAAAAATATCTAAAATGTCCTTCATTTGTATCATCTGATCCTTTATATGAATTCAAATATGAATGACTCATTAATGGTTAACCAATAATATTTCTTAACATTGTAAAACATTTTAAAGTACCATTTGTTAAACTTAAAGCTTAAACTCCTTTTTCTATTTCTGTTATTGATGGATTCGTAGAAGATGTTTTTTATAAATCTTCCATTGATAAATATTCCAACACTGGATGTACCATTTCTTATTATAAATTATTTTTATTAACTATATATGTTGTAAGTGAATTTGTTTCTTATGTTACAAATAAATTTGGATCTTTCTAATCCCATATAATTCTCTCTGTCTTTTCTGGAAACTAAGATATCTTTGTTAATAATTCCATAGATGCTTCAAATAAAAAACCTTATCCTTTATTATTAATACAAATTGATCTTGTTCCACTTATATTTGGAAATATTTTAGTCAAATTGTAATCATTTTTAAACTCAATAATAAATTATTTCTCAAAAACATTGTAAACTCTTATTTTTGATTGAGAATCCAATAAAAATAGAAAATTTTTGGTCAATCCTATATGTAAAATAGGTTTTTCCTAATCATTATCAGGAAATTATCTACATTTGTAATATAATAAATTACTATTTAACATAATCTCCTGTTTATTCGATTTTATGAAAAATGCAAACATTATTACTTAGAATTGCAGCAGATTCTTCATTCAACAGAATTTGATTGACATAACCTAAATAATCCATTTTCATAACTTATTTAGCAGGTTTATATGCCGTTTTACTTTTTAATTCCAAATATTTATAATAAAATACCATATTATTTAATCCAGCAGCAAAATATTACATACTCATAGAAATTTAAACAGGTTCATTTTCTAAAGTAACATTAGATATTTCATTTAATGATTACTCTTAAGTTGAATAGATGTTAATTTCTGTAAATGATTATTATAATGCAATCATAGATAAATATGATGCTGTTAATGTTGGAATTTAAGTTTAAAATCCAAGTAAACAACCTTTTTCAGTAGAAACTACTAATATTTATCCATTTTAACTCCAAACCCTTAAAATTGCTATAATAAATAAATACATTTTAGAAACACGACCACAATCATTAGGTAAATCAATTTTTTCAGCAGCAATTTCCTACCATGTTTATAGATTGACCATTTTTATTTAACCATCTCCTGCTACTGCCAATTTATAAATATTATCATTTGTACACATAGCATCCACTGATTTTAATAATCTTTCGCTTTGTACTTCATCTTCTAATAAATATATTAATAATAATAATTACTAATTTCTTTTCTATGTGTCGAAATATGTGCAACATATCCTTCACTAAATCCAATAACTAAATATCCATCACCAAAAATTGTATAATCTACGATTTTACCATATTTATTTTCAAACATAAGTTCATCAGGCATTTTATGATTTTTCCCTAATTCAAACATAATAATTGTTTTTTATTAAATAATTGCAGTGACTGTTCTTTATATTTATTCTCTTGAATCTGTCTTAGATCTTGACCAAAGTACATTTTTAGCTTCAGCTTTAACAGGAATAGATTCAAACATAGTTTCAGAATTATAATTTGAAACTGTTAAAAATTTATCTTCTCCACTTGTTACTATATAAATATATCATAAAATACTTACTTAAATATCCTTCATTATTCCAATCACCACTTATAATTTTCTTACTATGCTTTCCCATCGTTGGTAATTTTTTTGCTTATTTTTTTGTATAGAACAATAAACCACCCTTATCTGATCCAATTGCTAAAATTCCATGACTTTTAGACCATTTTGCATATGATACTTTTGCTTTAACATTATCCAATTCTATTTATATCAATTAAGAATTATTTGTAAATGGTGCCCATAAATTTACATGATTCAAACCATCCTTTTTTAATTATTATTCTTTTATACTTATACTATGCAAATATATTCACCATCTTTATCCCATTCTAATTATAATAATTTATTGTTTGTTGGTAATTAAATGTCTTTCAAACGCTTCCCTCGTCTAATTTCATTATGACATTTACTTATCAATCATATAAACTACTGATTTATCCCCTCCACATACTAAGAAATTGTAGTCAAAACTCCATTGAAATACAACTGCTACTCTCCCATTTATGTCATCTCTATATTCAAAAATACTTGACTTCTTTTACATTTCTTGTAGTATAATATATTATATTTAAAATCATTATTTTATATTACCTTTAAGGTATTATCAATTATATATCCTAATCTCCTCAATCTATTTTATTTATTATTTTATATTATTTTTTCCTACCTAATCCAAAGTCCTATTTTTAAAATGATATACTCTCCTTCACATTTAATTTCATTAAAATCATAAAGAACAACATACTTAAGATGTAGATTTTCAACAATTCATTATATTCATTCATTTTTCTATTAAATATAATTCAATATATTAATATGTAAATCTAGAAAATATTTCAAAGAAAATAAACAAGAATACTTTTCAAACTATTTTAATAATAAGGAATTCTTTTTAAATAAATTTCTTTATAAGGATTACTTTTCTCATATAATAATATTTTAGTTTATCCAATAACATAATAATAACAAATCAAATATCTTTTTGCCTTTATAAGTCCTTTAAATTAGAAGGTAAAAATGCTTAATTTTAAAAAAGCAATTGTTATTATTGTGAAGATAAATAGAGAATTAATTAAAACTATTCTCAATTATAATCAAAATTTTACTTTTAATATTTCCAATATGAGTCACAATAAAAATTTTTAATTATAGGATCACTTTGTAAATTGGAAATTCTATTTGAATTTTATAGATAAATTAAAAATTTCTCAAATAAACCTTTTGACCCTAATTCTAAATTATAATTTTCCTTAAGATAGATTATTTCATTCCTAATAATCCTATTTCCTTCCAACTTATTAATTATAATTTATGAACTCCCATTTACAAAATAAAATAGAAAAAAGAACTTAAAATTAGAAATAAATATGTCTCATCTGATTAATGAAATAATTAAAAGACATAAATTTCAAAAATTACTTATTCTCATGAATTACAATTTTTTGTTAAGTCAAATATCAAATTATTGATTGATATAACTTTTTTATCCTTATTTTTGTTTTAACATTAGAAATAGACAGTTTCTAAAATTAAGAATTTTTTAATTCATTTTCAACTGCTTTATTCAATTAATTTATAAATTAATGGGATGTGTTAACTCATAAAAATCTAAAAATATAAATTTAAATAGGCAGGCTGCATATGCTACTATTTTTAATGATAATGTATTAAAATAATTATAGCTCTTTAGATTTAAATTTAATAATATAGTACAACCGAAAGGAATTAAAGGTTTGTTGAACCATAAAAAAATTTTTAAGTGCCAAGTAATATAAACAAATAAAGTGAATCTTAATTGAAACGGACAATTTAAAGATTAAATTTAAATAAGGTAAATCAGTTTAAATAAAATGTCGAAACTTTGAAAAAATATTAAAAAAGAGATTCTAAATTTTACAATTCTCATTAAAAAGATTTTGATGAAATAATGCAACATATACAATAATAGACACTAACCTTATAAATATTATTAGTAATTTTAGATAAATATTTAGAATAAAAATGATCAATTGCAAATGCCTTTACTTGACATTTTATATATTAAGAATAATGAAGGTAAATCATTGATTGAATTAATCTTATGTCAAATTGATAATTATGAAATTATTTCATAAATAGTTTTAGGTTTTAATTTGACAGAAGATCATTTACAAGCTATTGCAATTCCGCTCTTTAGAAAATTGAAATTATTAAACTCTAATTTAAATGTTGAAAAAGCAATTAAGTTTTTAAAAGATATCAAATAAAAAAAAATTATCGAAATCATTTTAAATGTATCTAAAGATAGAGGAAATAGCATTATAATTAAACATTTTAGAAATATATTTAATTATATTGATAAAAATAATAAAATGCATTTAAAATATTTAAAGATTCTATCTTAAATGACCTCTGGAGTAGAATCCTTTTAAATATTATAATAGGAATATATTAAAGCTTCAATAGAATTTAAACTAAACAATCTTATAATATCAAAAAAAATTAAAAAAGGAAATATGGAAGATTTATTAAAAATGAAATCTGAACTTTAGGAACTTAAAATTAACATTTTTCATTAAGTGGCTTTAAACAAAAAATGGGATATATTTAATCAATATTCAAATTGTCTAATATAAAATCCAAATATATCTTAATTTACTTCTTTTATGATGTTTTTTTAAAATGCTCCTTTTGATATGATTCTTAAATATATCTAATAATATCCAAATTAACTTATATAAGGAATTGAATATTCTACTTCTTAGGGTTTAAATTTAATACATTGTCTTTGCTTAAATAAAAATGTATCTCAAATATTAGATAATAATTGTTTAGAAATAATGGATATTTTAAAAAACTAAAAGAATTTCAATTAGTTACTTCTATAACCTTATTAAGATTAAATACCTTTAATTTTTTATCTAAATGTTTAGAAAATAGTTCATAAGAAATTTCTTGATTTTTTGGGTAAAAATCTAAAAAAGGATTTTGATTTTTATAAGTTAGATACATTAGCATAAATTTTAGGAGAAGAATTAAAATTTAGGGAAATAAAAAAATAACAAAAATCAATTAAATATCTTTAAAGGAAAAAGAAGCATGCTTTTAATTAAAATTATTTTAAGTTAGAGTTAGAATTATAATAAGAATTAAAAGAATAATTTAACCTTTATTACTTACACTATGTTCAATTAATGAAAATTATGATTAAAAGAAAATTTTCAATTGATTATTCTCATTTAAATGAGTTTTTTACTTTTACTTCTAATTTTCCTTATGATTTAGGAACCTCACATCATAGTTTTTTATAAATTGCTTTACGAAATTTGAATGAAAATTTCATTTTATAAGAATTGAAAAAGTTTAATTTTTAGAATCATTTGAAATCTTACAAAAATGAATTAGAAAAATTAAATATATAATTGCCTAAAGATTATTCATTAGAAGCTTAAATTTTAGTAAAATTAGTTTATTTAAAAATGGATATTGCAGATTAATCAAGTTAACTTCATAAAGAGATTAATTAAATTATTTTGTAATAGCTTCAAAAAGATCCTAAACTTTTATGGGCAAGAATTTATGGAAACAGTCAAATAAAATATAAAGGATTTTCAACTAATTTATATTAATTAATAAAATAACTTTTAGATGTACTTTTTATAAGGGATGTATTATTAATATCATTTTAAAATAATCTTGATTGTACATCTATTGACATTATGAAGGAATTTGTATTTCAAGAATTACTATTAAAACAGGTTGCTACAAAAGAAATCGATTTAAGAGCATTTTCTGATAGTTTTCCTAGGTAAATACAATTTAAGGAAGAAGTTATTGAAAAAAAAGTTAAGGTTAATTCAAAAACAAAATCTTTTTAAATTAAATTTTATATTTGGAGTTTAGGATTAGAAGAATCTTAATCAAAAATGGATATTGGCTAATTTTATCTTTTTTTATAACATTTAGATAGAAAATGTATTTCGAAATTAATTAAGTGTTAAACTATAAAAATAACTATGAAATTATTATAGGTTCTTTTAGAATAAGAAATTACAATGCCTTTAATAAATGAAATAATTAATTTAAATCCTTAATATTTTATACCAAAAATTTGGTGGTTGACACAAAATTGTGATCTTAAAACATCACTAAAAATAATTTCGATAAAACATTAAATAAAACCAATCATTATATCTAAACTTAAAATTAATTAATTGGATTTAATTTTTGATTGGTAAATGTATGGAATATAATTTAAGATTTTGAGATATTCAAAGCAACTCTTAATTCAATAAGATCTTTCTACAAAATCTTAACTTATCATTTTTTAATTATTAAACAGATTATTATTTGTTACAGCATTAGCCATTGATGATTATTTTAATGTAGAATTATCAACATATTTAAAAAATTCTCAAGTTGATAAAAAAAAAGAAACTATTTCATAAATTTAATTACATATGATGATATAAAATTTAGCGTTGAAAAATATTCAACTTTTCATTGATTATTTTAATTTAGATGCTTATTCACTAATTTATATCCTAAGTTTAAATCATTTCTCAAATAATAATTTTTTTTCATATACTCCAAGTGAAGTGTTTTAAATTAATAAATTTAATTTTAATAATTAAGTTTAATAACTTTTAAAATTAGATTTTAAATACTAATAAGAAATTTGTCCAATTTTTATTTATCGAGAAAATAGATTAAATTAAAATGAAGAACCAAGGGTTTTTTAGGTTAATGATGATATAGAATATGATAGACATAAAAAACCATATTGTATTCTTTTAATCAAGCATTTTAATTACGAAACATTTAGTATGTTTGATCAAAAATTAAGAACATCCCTCTATAGAAGATAAAATTTTTAAATAACTTTTGAAGAAATAAAAGATCAGAGAATAATAGAAATATTAATTGATGATCTTATTCAAATATTGAGATAAGAATTCGAAATTCATTAAATAACCCATATTATTACAGATCCTTTAACTATTTCAATTAATAATAATTCAAATCTTGCTGAAATTTTATGTAGATGTTTGTCAAAGGAAGAACTAAAATTATCTAAATAATTGAGTTTAAATTTCTTAGAAAAATTGTCCCTTATTTCTAATTAAATGTGCATTCAGTATTTAGAAAAACTAACCTTAAAAAATTATGAATTCCTTCATGTTTATTATCAAGCATTAGCCAAAGAAAACATTCCCTTATTAAATCATTTAATTAATTATTACCATGAAAATCAATTGTCAATGCCCTTTATTTACAATTACAAATATATTAGTTAAAATGTCAAAAATTATAAAAGAGCTTTATAAGAGAAATATTATTTAGTTTTAGATGTTAAATAATATTAACTGTTATATAATACTGTAAAATTAAACATTAATACAATTTTTAACCATATTTAAATGTTTATTTTACTTGGATATGTTGAATAACTTAAGTTTATAAGATAATAGCCAACTATTTAAGATCAGATCTAAAATTTTTACTTCGAATATTTGTTTGCAAAAAAAATGTGTATTGAAAATGATTTAGGAATAAGAGTTAACTTATTTTCAGGTGATATTATAAAAAAATAATTTTAATTAGAATTATTCTTTTTGAAAAAATTCAAAAGAACAAGTGAAAAGTTTTGTATATTCTCATTTTCCAAACAAATTTGCTCTTTTAACTTTTATTAATAGAAAATTGATTATTTAGAGACATTCTAAATTCTTGATTAAATTATGGGAAATTCAAAAGAATAATCTTAATAATTAACTTAATTTAATGAACTTTATAGTTTAATTATTAATCCTTAAGCAAAATAAATTACACTTTAAAAAGAATTAATCTAATTTATCTCTAAATTAATTATGAAAGCTAAAAAATTAAATAAATTTATTTTAGATCGCTATGATGAATATATTTCGTTATTTAATATAAATTCAAAGAATGTAGAAATTATTTTTGATTTTAGAAAACCAAAATAAGCTTTTTTAAAGTTTATTACCTAAATACTAATTCAATATATTTCATTAATTAAAGAAAAAAAAAGCACGACCTTGAAAGATTATGAAAAATTAACTGAATATATTTTAAAATACCAAATAAAAAATGAAAAATTAATTGAATGTTTATAATTGGGACTTTAAAATTACTATTTAACTAAATTAGATAATACAACATTATTTTATGTATAAAACAAAGTAAATTTATTACCGAAAAATGACTACAATTTTTCAAAAAATTCCCATTTCTATAATAGATATAATGTAATTAAAAAAATAATGAATTTAGATGAAATTAATCTTGAAAAAATGACCCCTATATAAGTTTTTCTTAGTAAAGGTAAAGTAGATCATATATTTTAAATAAATTATTCAAATTCAAATTTAATGGCTGCTTTAATTAGTAATAACTTTAATACTATCTAAACAATTTTGAAAAAACATTAAAATCCTTAAAAAATATGCTCAGACTTTAACTTATTTCATTATATGATAATTTTTTAAAATGAAAAAAATATTATCTCATTTTTTCATGAATATATAGAAAATTATATACAAGATATCAATAAATTAATGATTTTTTAAAATGAATCAATTCTCTAAACTATTGTTTTATAAAGAAAATGTAAAATTTTCGATTTAATAATAAACTAATATTTATTAAGATTGACTGATAGCTAAACTCATTTAAAAATTATTCAGCAGCACTTATAAATGAAAGTACAATAATCTGATTTTATGATTTATTAATTGGGAATTTGCTAAAAATCTTATTTTATTGTAGATTATCTTGATGGGATCATTTAAGCAGATGAAATACAACAACTAATTTCTTCAGTAAATTTAAATTTAGTATAAAACTTGTTAAATTCATAATAAGGAGTAAATAAATTTAATAAATTTACTAAATACTACATAGATAGCTTATAACATGTTTTATAATCTAACTTAAGTCAAAAAAAAGTAGAAAAATAAAATAAAGATACTAAATAAATGAAAATTGTTGGAGTTTAGAAATAATTTATGATTAAAATAAAAAAACATAATAAATTACTTAATCTTCTAGAAATTGAACTTGCTTGTATTTATAAGATATTTGGATTTAACAAATTTATCTTGAAATATTTAAAAAAAAACTAAAAATTTTTTTCTTTATTTGAAAATGATCCATAAGACATATTAATTGCTATTGATACATGCAAAGGTCATCCAAAATTAATTGAATTTTATTTGAATAATTTTTCATAATAAGACTTCAAAGCAAACTTAGAATAAATTGTTAAATAATGTTAAAAATTTTATCTTATATAGGATCCTATATTTTATAAATCAATAATTACTTTTCCAGAATAATTTATTAATATATTGAATCCATCTGATTATAATTTAGAAATATGTTTATTATTATCTGCTAAATTAAAATAAACAAAAATATTAGAAAATTTTATTAAAAATTAACTTCAATTATAATAAACATAATCATAGAATTTAGAAAGAATAGATTTTATTTAGGAAAATTATTTATTTATGATGAGCTTATTTTTAAACGATTTTTCACTTCCAATATTAAAAACAGGTTACTAGCATATCAGTGTTGAATTACTTGTAAAAAGTCTAAAATTTTTGGAATAAAATTTTGAATAGGAATTTGAAAAATTATCAAATGAAGGTTTAAATTATGTTATTAATTTATTGGATAAAGAAATTATAATAAATAACTAAAATACATTTTAAGAATATATAAATTCAAATGATAGAGGATATTCTATAATTAGAGGAATGCTTTTGATTTAATAAATAGAAGTCAACGTACATTTTTTTCTATTTAAATTACCTAAATGGGCAAACTTTTCAAATAAAGTTGAAATTAGTTTTGATAACATTCCGATTATGTTTAATAATTAGAATTATATTTTACCTTTAAAATTTAACAATGATGTACTTGAATTAAATGAATTATTGATAAATGAATTTATACCTGTTTTAAAATAATTAAAATATGAAAGAATTATGAACGAAGAATTAATTAAATTTGAAGATTTTAAATAAAAATGGCCTTAATACGATTTTTAATTACTAATAAATAATATTAATATTGCCTAAATACCTTTCTATTGTTTGGAAAATTTGGATGAACTTAATCTCAAATAAGAGATTATAAATTAGGAAAATTAAAAAGAAAAGGCTAATTTTTATGAAAATATCATATTTTTTAAAAGTTTGTTAAATCCTTTAGAAAATAGTGATGAAAATCATTTTATAAATGATTTGTAAGCACCTCACAAAAATTTAGATTTTGATGAAAGTACTATATAAGAATCTAAGTATATTTAAAAATACTAAAACCAATAAAATAAGTTAAGTTAAAATAAATTAAGAAAAAAAGTACAAATCATAAAAGAGTTCTTGCCAATAAATAAATATAAATCTAGATTTACTAATATATAGAATATGATATTGATAGAATTTTATCATTATTATTATCCTCAAACAACAGTTATATTACTTTAACCATTATCTAAAAAAGAATATTATGAATAGTATAATCCAAAAGCAATATTACAATTATTAATTTATAAGTTTAAATAGTATCATGATAATGTAAAAGAACTAATTAAATCATAATAATATGAAAAATGGAAGATTAATTTACCTTATTATATTGAAAATGATTAGTTTATTTATTAAGAAATCTTATTCATACCTTATTCTATTTAATTTATTCTTTTTAAATTTTAAGAGCTTGTTCATGATGTTAGGAAATTAAATGATGATGAGAGAAAATTAACTGAGTATGATTCAAATTTAATAAAATGGAGAATAAATGTTATTTCAGTACTTGAAGTTTTAGTAAAATCTATTTTAGAATCTTCATTTTTAGAAAATAAATGTGTTGATATTTTTTCAATAATAGACTCTATTTGTTAATGGAAAAATTTGCAATAAATTCTTTTTTAAATTATCTATAATAATTTAATATCTGTACAAATCACAACCAAATTATTTTAAATAATATATGTAGAATTTAAGGAAGAAAAATCTAGCTATTTAAATGAGACTTAAAATGATAGTTTTCATATTTTGGATTAAATATTTTAATTTGAAAAAACTGAATACTAAATTTATCAAAAAATATTAATTATAACTTTAAATGTATTTGTGAGAAAAGACGTAAATTTAAAGACTTATGTTCAACTCAATAAGTAATAAAGAAATTTATATAATAAATAATCTAAAGCTTTAGAAAATAGTTTTAATCTATATAATGTAATTAATGATTCTGATTTTTATTTCGATATATTTTCACCTCCTGAGTTTATTGAATATTTTTTTAATCGATAATAAATTGATAAATATATAAATGATTTATCCATTAGGCTAAATAGATTTATGAATAAGGATGTTGTTTTAATTGTTAATTATACTTAATTAAAAGATTTATATGAAAATTAAATATTAGAAATTAAAAAGATCTCAGATAGAAGAGTGATGTTATAGAAATAATATGAAATTCAAAGTGAATTATTAAGATTAAAAGATTTTTTTATTTCTAAAGTTGAAAATTCATTATTTGAATAATTGCAGAGTTAATCTTTTGAATAATTATTTGAAGTTTATTTATCAATTTTACTGTAATCTCTTAGATAAAATAATTAATTTTTGTAATCAACTTAATCGAATGTTCGAAGGATTATTAAAGCTACTAAAAGTAAAGTTATTGAAAGAATGGCTTAATTTTCAGAATACAATTTCTTAAGATTTTAATTTGGATTCTAACTTACACCAACTTATTATTAATAAAGAGCAAAAATTGGAGATATATGTTTTGTTTGTTTTTTAAAGAATGGTAAACTTACAATTGAGCCATATTAATTAATTCGGATTAAAGATTCTGAATTTTCATTTTTTTCACTTTAAAATTAACGTAGAGCTTTGACTCAAGAATAAATTGATGACCAATTTAGATTTGATGCCAAGTAGAAATAATATGGTTTTGAGATGATTTTGGAATTAATTTTGGAAGAAATTATTTCTTTAATATGGTTTACTCCTTAATGGCCTAATGAATAAAATTTTTCGAGTGAAATATTGAATTTATTTTTTTTGGATTAAAATTCCAATCTTTTGGCATGCCATGAAAAAAAATTTTTACATAAAATGTAAATACTTTAATAAATAGAAAATGAATAATAAAAACAAATATTTTTAGATGATTTTTTAGGGTAAAATTTAATACCATCCTATGCATAATTTTTAGTAACTTAAATCATTCCAATTATTCCAAATTAAATTAATTATAATTTTAAATTTAATGATTAAAAACAATAATGTTTTGTTAAAGAAAATAATGAAATATTTATAACAATATCTAATGATGATTTTATTTTGGATAAATTATCATTTGGTAATTATAACACTGCATGCTATTTTGATTCAAAATAAAAATTATAAAAATACTTAAAAAAACTCAATAAATTTGCTCATCAAATATAAGGAATGTCTAAATTAATTTTAAAAATCTGTTTTGAAGATGAATTAAATAAAAATCCTCAATTTTATTTAAGCTAATTTTTCCATCATATTAATATATTTGAAGAGTTTGAATTAGGATTCTAAGAATTTTGTAATGAAATTCAAATTTCTTAAATCAATAATTCTCTTTAGTAATTATTTGATGTATCTTCATTCACACAACTTAAATAAAAAATATTTTGTTAAATAGTTAAATAGATAGAATTTCATTTTAAGTTAAATTAAAACGATGAGAAAATCAAATTGGAAAATGGTAATTTAAGTCTGTATATGTATTTATTGTCTAATGACCCAAAATCTCAAAATCTCTTAATATCTGATATTAGTTATTTTTTCTCGAAAATGATTATTCAACATGAATAGTTTGGAATCAGTCATTTAATAATTTTAGATTAATTCTATGATATCCAAATTTTAGATCAGCCTTCACCTGATCAATATAAAAGTATGGCAAATACAATTCTTTTAATAAGATATTTATTTTAATTAATTTAATTAAAGTAAAATCAATAATAGAATATCAAAGTTACCTTTATATTATAAATTAATCCATCTAATAAAAGATTTTATGAATTTCAAATATAAAATAGTTAAATAATCTTATATTATAATTGTTTAAAAGATTTTAGTCTTGAAGTATTTCTTTTAGATTATTTAAATAATTTCAAATTTTAAGGAGAGGTATAATATGAAAATTTAATAAATGATAATTATTTATTAAATTGTTAAATACTACATAAATAGATTATATTTAAAGATAATTTATATTACCCATAAATAAAAAAAGAAGACAAAAACTTATATATCTCAAAAGATTTTTCCTAATTTTAAATTTTAGATGGGAAATTAGATCCATAAGAATAGGAAAAAGGGATAATCATCTTTTAAAATAAGGGTATTTACTAAAAAATTATTACATTTAAAAGTAATTAGAAATATATGCCATTATAAAAATATTTTAAATAAATTGAGAATAAATAAATTTATGGATAAATATTTTATTTTTTAGTTTCTGGAATAAATGAAAAGTATGATCTAGACACTTAATTAAATACCTTATAAGTAAGATTTAATGCTAACAAAAAAAAAATATAACATTTTTTGAATCATTATTAACGAAATACTCATAAACTAAAAGTAAATACAAAATTAATTACAACAAATATTGCTATGGTAGAATTGATAGTTAATGGAGTAGAATCTGTTAAGATTAAATCAAAATCACCATAATTATTAATAAGTACCTTAAAGAATTAGAATTACACAAAATCAACTATTATCTAATTTAAACCTATAAAAATAGCAAATTAAAATTAAAATCTTTTAGATCATATTGGCATTTTAATTGAATAATCAAAAGAAAATTAGATTTATAAGCCTATTGAATTTCGTTAAAAAATTTAAAATAATTTATTAGAGGAAAATTAGAAATTGATCAAATTTTTATTAAAAGGAATGGGTTAAAAAGTAGAATTTATATAGAAAAGTAATTTATTAAATAAATAAATTGATTTAATTGAAATTTAAAATGTTAATACTATTTCTTATTTGAATTCTAATTAAATAAGTGTAGCTTCATTATGTGGTTAAAAGAGAACAGATTTCTTAGAGTTTTTAGAAATTTCAGATAATTAAATCCATTATGAAAATGGAATATTTGTGCATTCTTAATTTTAATAGATTAAAATTTATCCATAAATATTTAAAGAAACTTTAGGATTAAAATTTTAATGGCAGCCTACAATTAAAGGAATCTATAATTTATTTTTAGGAGGTTTAAAAATAAATGGTCAATTTATAGTATTGGCAAATAAAATTGATTCTAAAAGATGCACAATAAAATTAATAGAAGATACAAAAAATATTAGATTATATTAAAAAATAAAATTTGCTATAAAATTACGAGATCATTTGAATAATATATATGGTGATATTGAATAAAGATTAAATGAAATATAACCTAAAGTTGAAACAATAAGTGAATTTTCAGAAGAAAAGATTGAGATTAATGGTCCAAATAAAGAAGGAGAAATAACATTATAAGTAAGTTTTTCTTAAAAAGAGAATGTCGAACATCAACCTGAAGATGTTTAAGTAAAAGTCTCTATATTAGATAAATATTTATCAAGTAATTCTAATATTAATTTTAGATTAATTTCATTTGGAAGGTTTAACATTAGAGATGAGGATTATAAAATATTATGAAAAGCTTAAAAGTCCAAAAGTAGAAAAAGTATTTAAAATAGATCGAGCTTAATTTCCAAATGAAATACTTAAATTAGCAAAAGATAAATTTTAATGTATTATGAAAATTAAGTTTGTTAATGAAGAAGGCAGTGATGATGGAGGATTAAGGAGAGAATTTTATAATAAAGTTGGTTAAATGATAAAAAGTCCTATTTTTGGATTTTTTAAAAAAAACAAAAAGAGTTAAACTTATTTTTTTTCAAGTTAATTTAATTAAAATTAAAATAGAAAATAATATGCATTAATATTTGGAAAGGTATAAATATAGTAAAATATATATTTTAGTTAATAGCAAATTCAATAATAAATAAAGAAATTATAGGTGTAAAATTTGCTCCTTAATTTTGGAAATTGATTTTTAATAAACCAATATCATATGAAGATTTAGAAGGTATAATGGAAGAGAATGAATTTTAAAATTATATAAATTTAAATTAGATGCAAAATGACGATATAGAAATGCTCTATCTTAATTTTGAAATTACTAAAGGGGAAAAAACTATTTAATTAGTTCCAAACGGAAATTAAATTAATCTTACAGCTTAAAATAGAGATCAATATTTATAATTAATAGCTAAATATTATATATGTGATGAATTTTAAGAAATTATTTAAGAGTTAAAAGATGGTTTTGAATCTGTCTTAAAAATTGATGTATAAATATTGTGTTATTCAATAGTTATTAAATGATTGTTTTGATGTTACAGAAATGCATACATTAACTGAAGGAGCTGATAATATTTAACCCTAATAAGTATTAGATTTAGTAAAATTTGAAGGAGGTTCAGATTAAATGGAGTCTTTTTTTAAGAAATTCATTTTGTCATTAGATGAGATTGAATTGCGTGATTTCTTATAATTCACAACTGGTTCTCCTTAATTACCTTGGAATGCTAAACCTACCATTTAGATTGAATTTTCAAAATAAGCAAAAGAAACTAATTTACCTAAATCATCAACATGTTTTTACAAATTGACTATTCCTTACTATTAGAGTTATGAGGATTTTAAAAAAAAAATGGAGATAGCAATTGAAAATGGTTAAGAAGGATTTGGATAATATTGAGTAATATCATTATAAGAATTTATATCAAATATTATTGTTATTAATTAATAAATATTTCAACAATATACTCATTAAAATACTAAAAATTAGAATTCTACCTAATAATAAAATAGACTTATTATTTTATTAATATGAATTTCTAGGAATATTTGAATGCTAAAATAAAAGTGGCTTTATCTAATTAAAATAATGAATATGGTTTTATTTATTAATAATTAAAAGTTTTTTAATCTATCTTAATATTGGTATACTTTTTAATAAAGTTATCTCTTTTTATAATTTTTTGGATTAATATTCCTTATTATTAAATTCTAATAACCATAGATTTTAAGTAAAATCATCTAGAATATTAGCAAAATCTTCTCTTTGACCTAAGCTAAATTAGAAAGCAATTTCTTATATTAATCTTATTACAACTTTAACTCTGTCTTTAATTTCTAAAAATGTTATAATCATATTAAGATGATGAGAATGACGTAATATCAAACAAAAAAAACAAAAGAAACCTTTATGTTCACAATGATTGCATATACATATGCCATATGGGAAATATCCATCATAAATGCACAAATGTTAGATTGTTTCAGACTTTTTGTAATTTTTCTTTTTCATGTAAATTAATGATATAAAAATAATTAAAAATAGATTGATTGATTTCAATAATAGATGATGTACTCAAATAAAAATAATTTGATTCCTAAACCAGCATTACCGAAATTAAAAATCCCAAGTTAATCAAAATAATTACTAATTTCATCATAAAGATCAAAATTTAATGATGAAAGAAAATTAGAAACAATAGTAGAAAAAAGAAAATTTTAAAAGCAATTAATTGATGTATTTATTCCTTTACATGATGATGCTTAATAAAGTATAATAAATTCTGATTTTTCAAGAAATGATCTCTTAAAACATTATAAATAATTACCTTCAAAACCTACTTTATTATTTGAGAAAGCTTTAAAAGGTCTTCATCCACTTTAATAGAGTGAATATAGGAGTAAAGAGTTAAAAAAATTAGAGAAGAAGGTTAAAGTTATAAATGATAGAAATCCGTTGTAGGATTCATGGAAATCTCCATTTTTATCATAACCTAGATTATATAAGTCTTCTAGAACAGATGAAATGAGTGTTTCATAAGAGATGGAATAAAATGCATAGAATGTAGTATTATTAAATGAAAATTTAAAAGGATTTGGATCAAGATTAAGAACATATTTAGACTATGATAAAAATACAATTTTTGAGAGATAAAAAGGGAATCCAAAATATTTATATAGAGATAATTATGTAAGAATGATAAAAAATAATACAACAAAAGAATTAGATTTAGTTAAAGAATGGAATTTATTAATAAATTATGATAAATTAATAGTATGTACTGGTTTTCAAAGACCAGTGATAAGATTATAATAATTTGGTACAATATCTTCAATCAGTCATTATTAGAGTATATAAGATTTTCATAAGAGAAATTTAAAGTAGACAAATAATTAACCTACACCTAATTCTTAAATATCACCTTAATTTATAGTTAAAAATTCAAGATAAAGTAATTCAAGCGAACCAATAGATTTTGGTAAATCTAATTAAGTATTATTGGATGTATCAGAAGTTGAAAAGATTTAGGATGATGTTTAAATAAGGAAAGATACATTTTTAACTTATTGTTAAGTATTTTGGGATTTGATAAGAAAAGAAGATGAAATAGTAGAAAGAGTAGTATGGGCATTTTGTAAAAGTGATTAATTTACATTCACTTAATTTAAACATTTCTATAAATTGATAGTATTTTAAGAAGGAACATTTGAAGAATATATTAAATTTACATTTGATTTCTTTATGGGATCAGATCGAAATGATATTCCATTCACAGAAATACAAGGTTTATTAAGATTATTAGCATAAAGAATAGATGGTAAAGATCATGTTTTAAGTGATTAAATTTTAATGGATATTGTTAATTAAATTCATAGACCATAAGTAATCTCTAAAGATACCTTATAATAATTGATATTTGAAGACAAGATTCCTCCAACTGTGATAGTAAAGATGGTCTATGAATAAACATGATAAAAGTGTGATTTATTAAATTTTATATTAACGACTACAATCAATAATGTATCAATAATTACAAAAAGAAGAGTTAGTCGAATTTAGAAATTATGTTCGAGAAGTAACATAAGCAAAACTAAATTAAACTGTAGAGAAAACTCAAAAAAGAAACAATGCTTAAAAATAATTAGAATTTATTCTTAAAAGCACATAATTACGTTAAACAATTTAAAAGCCTGAAATTACTAAATAAATTTAAAGGGTGAATTATGAACAATCTTACATTCCAAGATCTTCATCTTAACCTTTTGTATATTTTGATTCTAATTGTTGGAAAGAAACATTAAACTCATTTACTAAATAATAAAAAGCATACGTGAGTTTATCAGAAATGCTCAGAATTGCAAATGGATTTAATTTGATGAATAAAAATGAAATAAATGATTTGAATTGCAAGTATAATAATTTATAATTAGTTATTTGCATTGTTTACATGAATTAGATTTAACAATAACAACATTATTAAAAAGAATTGATTGAGTTAACTTATTCATACAATAAATCTCTTTATGAATTCAATTAAATATTTTAAAAACATATATATTTATTAATCTTTTTAGTTTATATATATTTTAATAAAGATCTATTTTTAATATTATCTGATTTGAATAAAAAGTTTATCTAAACTTAAACTTAACTTCTTTATTGAAATTGGTATAATTATAGTTCAAAATAAGAGTAGGATATAAATTACTTATAATAGTATAAATATAATATTTATATTAAATTTAAATAAATGGAAGAGGAATTTAAATAAAAGTGGGGTTTTGCAGCTCTTTTAAAGTATGCTTCAGAGAGAGAGAAGGATAAAGATAAACCAATATATAAATTATGGCATGGAATGAATTTAGAGGAATTAGGAGTACCTTTATAGGAAAATAAGTATATTAGTCTAATAAAATGAAATTAGATTACCTGGATAACCTACAAAGATTATATCACCTTTTATAGATGATAATGCTACCCAACCAGATCCACTTTCAAAACCTCATGATTGGATTAAATAAAAATTAATGCCTCGTCCTAATAGTGTGAATAGAAAGAAAGAAATGTATAGTTTATTTTCAGAAGAAACTAATTTCTATATATTTTATAATGTTATGGATGAAGAATAATAATTATTTGCTGTAGAAAATCTGTAAAATTGAATCAAATATTATTATTATAGGTACTCAAAGGGATGGAAATATAATATAAGGAAGGAATAGTGGTTTAAGGATATTTCATTGATTAACAAGAATTTATATTCAGGAAAATATTTCAGTATTGCAAATTGGAAAATAATGGAAAGTTCATAAATTGACATGTAAGAATCTGATTTGTGCACACTTGAATAATTCTTCAATAATTAAAATTAATGAATTTTATTGAATAATTTTAGAAAATTAAATGCNGAGAAAACTCAAAAAAGAAACAATGCTTAAAAATAATTAGAATTTATTCTTAAAAGCACATAATTACGTTAAACAATTTAAAAGCCTGAAATTACTAAATAAATTTAAAGGGTGAATTATGAACAATCTTACATTCCAAGATCTTCATCTTAACCTTTTGTATATTTTGATTCTAATTGTTGGAAAGAAACATTAAACTCATTTACTAAATAATAAAAAGCATACGTGAGTTTATCAGAAATGCTCAGAATTGCAAATGGATTTAATTTGATGAATAAAAATGAAATAAATGATTTGAATTGCAAGTATAATAATTTATAATTAGTTATTTGCATTGTTTACATGAATTAGATTTAACAATAACAACATTATTAAAAAGAATTGATTGAGTTAACTTATTCATACAATAAATCTCTTTATGAATTCAATTAAATATTTTAAAAACATATATATTTATTAATCTTTTTAGTTTATATATATTTTAATAAAGATCTATTTTTAATATTATCTGATTTGAATAAAAAGTTTATCTAAACTTAAACTTAACTTCTTTATTGAAATTGGTATAATTATAGTTCAAAATAAGAGTAGGATATAAATTACTTATAATAGTATAAATATAATATTTATATTAAATTTAAATAAATGGAAGAGGAATTTAAATAAAAGTGGGGTTTTGCAGCTCTTTTAAAGTATGCTTCAGAGAGAGAGAAGGATAAAGATAAACCAATATATAAATTATGGCATGGAATGAATTTAGAGGAATTAGGAGTACCTTTATAGGAAAATAAGTATATTAGTCTAATAAAATGAAATTAGATTACCTGGATAACCTACAAAGATTATATCACCTTTTATAGATGATAATGCTACCCAACCAGATCCACTTTCAAAACCTCATGATTGGATTAAATAAAAATTAATGCCTCGTCCTAATAGTGTGAATAGAAAGAAAGAAATGTATAGTTTATTTTCAGAAGAAACTAATTTCTATATATTTTATAATGTTATGGATGAAGAATAATAATTATTTGCTGTAGAAAATCTGTAAAATTGAATCAAATATTATTATTATAGGTACTCAAAGGGATGGAAATATAATATAAGGAAGGAATAGTGGTTTAAGGATATTTCATTGATTAACAAGAATTTATATTCAGGAAAATATTTCAGTATTGCAAATTGGAAAATAATGGAAAGTTCATAAATTGACATGTAAGAATCTGATTTGTGCACACTTGAATAATTCTTCAATAATTAAAATTAATGAATTTTATTGAATAATTTTAGAAAATTAAATGCTCAAAGCATCCTTAAGCATCTATTTCTAATCTCTGTTTGAATCAAGAGTGTAAAGAAGAACAATACTTTTGTTAAAATTGTATTAAACTTCATTTAACTCATTCAACTTAAATTATTTATATGAAATAAATAGATAAGCTGCTTAAACGTCATACAAATGTTAATGAGATGATATAAGATAAATAAGGATTGCAAGCTTATAATATATTTAAGACTTTAAAAAATGCTGTTGAAAATCGTCTTAATTAACTTGAAGATGAATTAAGATAACTTATAATAAGATTAGTAAATGATTAAAAGATAAATGATTATGGATATAAGTTTCTTCAAAGTTTAAATTAATTTAATTAAGATGATATAAAAGAATTAAGATTATTCTTAATCAATCATCAATAAGACATTTAAAATAATTAAATCAATTTTAAAGAGAGAGAGAGTAAATAATAATTGATATAACTTACATCCTATTTACAAGATAAATTACCTCACATTTAAAAGTCCCTAATTGATCAATTAGATTGTATTAATAGTACATTCTATACAAAAACAGAAAGAGTGGAAAGATTAAGAAAAGTTTGGATAGGTATTCATATAATTAATAATATAAATAGCTGATGATGGATAAAGCAAGCCTAGCATTTTTGATAAAACAACAATAAGAGCTAATGTATTTTAAGTTCGAGATAAACAATTATATTTAGTAGGAATTTTCTAACCTATGCTATATAAAGGAAGTTATAATTCTACAAATTATGATTCATAAGTAAAGACTCCTAAATTAATATATAAATTGCATGAAGATACAAATTTAACTAAATATATTTATAAATAACATAAAATCTTAGAACATGATAAATTGCAAATAGTTGATGGACATTTATATTTTATAGAATTCAGAAATCCTGTGAAATTATTACCAAATAAGACTTATACAATATCCATATCTACAAAAGAGGCTAAATTATTTTAAACTTATCATTATTCTATGCCTGTAATTGATCATCCACTAATAAAATGGTAAACTGAAGATTTAACTGATTCTGATATTTTCATTAAGGGACCTTATGTATAACATATCTATTCCTATGCTAACATTGATTAAATTCCTAGTTTAGTAGTTAAAATATGAGAATTTATAATTATAAGGAAAAATAAAAATTTATAATAAATGTTAATGTAAATGATCCAAAGAATCTACATTTAATCAATAAAATCATTATTAATTCATATGAATTAGATCTAAATATAATGTATATTGTTATTTGCATCATGAATTATATTCTTTATATTTTGCTCTTTTAGAAATAACAGATAAAAGAAAAAGGAATCATGGGATATGTGTTTTTGTAATATAATGTTGTTAGCTGATTTGATTTATTCAACTATAGATTCTCAATATTTAAAAAAAATATATTTCTCTTTTAGCCGTTTTAATAAAAATGAAGCCAAAACTTACAAAAAAGATTTAATCTGTAAATTTCTTGAAAAACCAATATTCATCTCTTTATAAAGTCATGTAATTAGAGTTGATCACTTGAAAACATGAAGTCTCATCAAAAAAATACTCTATTATACTGATATCCTATCTTTTGGTTTAGCTAACGAAGTATAATTTCTTAAAATAACTGAAATTAGACCTATTGACATGGTAATTAATGAAAAGTCTCCTAAAGAAGAAAAACTTCAAGAAAAACAGATATTAGTCCAAATTACTAAACTTCTAAAATATTCATAATTTTAATAACTAGATCTTGTGATGAATATTTTTTAAAACTAAAGTCAAGAAGACTATTTGAATAATATTATTAGCCGAGATTAAAATAATAATATATACAAAAATGATAATTAATAATCAAGAAGGCAATCAATAATAGCAACTAATTGAAAAATAATAATAATCAAATTTAATTGCATAATCAAAGGAATTTTAATAAAAATTATCTTCTATTCTAATTGTACAAATTTAAAATAGAAATACAGAAAGTTAAGCTAATAAAAAATAATTAGAAGTCTAATATTGTACCTTTAAAAATCTAAATCATAAATTCTTAATGATCCACAAATGAATATTGAATAGAAAATTAAGATAAAAAGGTATATTCAAATTATTATAAAATTAGCTAGATACGTTTTTAGTCCAGTTGAGTATATGAAGAAGGAAACAAAATATTAAAAGAACGAGTTTTGCATTTTTTTGTATTATTACTGTAAATAGAGGTTGAAAATAAACCTCTGTAATTGGAAGATATCCTCCTAATGTTTTTCTTCGATTAAATAAATCTACTGGTAGATAATCTTTTGATATCATTAATGCACTTTATTTAATTAAGGATATTCTGAGTAAATTAAAATTTATCATCTTAGGTCTTTATTTATGAAAGTTTTTGATTATTTAATTTAATTAACTACTAGACTATACAAATAAATATTCTTTAATAGTCTGATTACAAATGTTATTTTGAAGGGATTTTATTAATTAATTTATAAAATGGACACACTACGATTGAGTTCTCCTTAAATTGATTTTGAATATAATAAATTAGACAATATGCATTCTACCATCACTTTATATAATGATACTCAACATCCTATTGCTTATAAGGTATTTTTTTATTTAATTCTGATTTTTAGTTTAAGGCTACTAATCTTAACATTTTTATGGTTAGACCTCCCTAAGGAATTGTTTTATCAAGACAGAGTTAATTAGTCAATATCACACTTCATAGCAAAGTTCTTGAAAATAATTCAATTAAAGAATTCAATGAAAAAATATAATTGATTACAACCATCATCCATCAAGGTGTTCAAGGTGTTCAGGATATTGGATCCTTATTCTTAGATAAAATAAGGAGATTTGAAAAACAAAGAATTAATATTGCTATTCTTACCAAAGATAGAAAAATTGTTGCATAAAGCCAAGGAAATTCAAGTCAAATGTTTTAATCAGTTAATAAATAATTTGGATAGGTTGAACCAGCACGTGTCATTGCAATTCCTACAGCTGATAAGGCNGCAACTAATTGAAAAATAATAATAATCAAATTTAATTGCATAATCAAAGGAATTTTAATAAAAATTATCTTCTATTCTAATTGTACAAATTTAAAATAGAAATACAGAAAGTTAAGCTAATAAAAAATAATTAGAAGTCTAATATTGTACCTTTAAAAATCTAAATCATAAATTCTTAATGATCCACAAATGAATATTGAATAGAAAATTAAGATAAAAAGGTATATTCAAATTATTATAAAATTAGCTAGATACGTTTTTAGTCCAGTTGAGTATATGAAGAAGGAAACAAAATATTAAAAGAACGAGTTTTGCATTTTTTTGTATTATTACTGTAAATAGAGGTTGAAAATAAACCTCTGTAATTGGAAGATATCCTCCTAATGTTTTTCTTCGATTAAATAAATCTACTGGTAGATAATCTTTTGATATCATTAATGCACTTTATTTAATTAAGGATATTCTGAGTAAATTAAAATTTATCATCTTAGGTCTTTATTTATGAAAGTTTTTGATTATTTAATTTAATTAACTACTAGACTATACAAATAAATATTCTTTAATAGTCTGATTACAAATGTTATTTTGAAGGGATTTTATTAATTAATTTATAAAATGGACACACTACGATTGAGTTCTCCTTAAATTGATTTTGAATATAATAAATTAGACAATATGCATTCTACCATCACTTTATATAATGATACTCAACATCCTATTGCTTATAAGGTATTTTTTTATTTAATTCTGATTTTTAGTTTAAGGCTACTAATCTTAACATTTTTATGGTTAGACCTCCCTAAGGAATTGTTTTATCAAGACAGAGTTAATTAGTCAATATCACACTTCATAGCAAAGTTCTTGAAAATAATTCAATTAAAGAATTCAATGAAAAAATATAATTGATTACAACCATCATCCATCAAGGTGTTCAAGGTGTTCAGGATATTGGATCCTTATTCTTAGATAAAATAAGGAGATTTGAAAAACAAAGAATTAATATTGCTATTCTTACCAAAGATAGAAAAATTGTTGCATAAAGCCAAGGAAATTCAAGTCAAATGTTTTAATCAGTTAATAAATAATTTGGATAGGTTGAACCAGCACGTGTCATTGCAATTCCTACAGCTGATAAGGCTTAAATTGAAGCTGAATACTTTTGCAATAAATTTGAAGTATTACAACAAGAAGTCACTAAAAAAGAATTAGAATTGGTAACTAATATTTTAATTAGAATAGCAAGATGTATAAAAATTTAACAATATTTTGATTGAAAGAGCAAATATAAAATCAGCATCTGGAAAATTGGATAAACTCATTTTCCTCATGTCCTTTTTTTTGTCTTTTTTATTAAGTTTATATTACCAAAATCAAATTATATAAGCAATCAAATTATGAATTTATTTCAGTATTATTAATATTTTGTAAAATAATAATAATTTAATATTCTAACAGATCATCAAGCTTCAACAAAAAAATTTCATTTAGAAATTTTGCTACTAAATCTGTGTAATATATTATTTTTTGTACATAAATATTTTATCTAAAGAAATTTACTTAAAGAGAAAGGTATTAAAATTTTTGGAGATAAAAGAAAAATTGTAAATTAGCTGATTGAGGTAGCTGATTAATTACCCAAAACTTAAATACCAAAATACCAGGGAACTTATCTAAATAATCAAAATTTAACAATATTTTAAGTATTTTAAATTATTATATTCTTAAAAAAATCATAATATATAAGTAATCAAGATTTAGTGATCTAAAATTCATGTTAAAATTAATTATTATTATCCTTTTTCGGTTTCTATCAAAGGCAAATTTTTTAATGTAGTATATAAAGCCAAAAATTAGAAATTACTCGAATTAATTAAATCTTCTTTATTTTATCATTCATGAGGCTTCAGAGTAAGAGTGGGGAATAAATATTAAAGAATAAAGCAAAGAATGATAAAGAAAGTTACAAAAAAAAAGAGTTTTCGATCAGTTTAAGAAAGAAATGGTCTCTAGAAGAAGATAAAAAATTAACAACTTATACGACACTCTATGGTCATCATTGGCTTAAGGTAGCACAATAAATGGAAGAAAGAAATGCTTCTTAATGTTGTTAAAGGTGGAAAAGAATAAAAAAGTGCTTAGGTTTCAAACCAAACAAGGCTAAACGATGGACTTAAAATGAGGATGATGCGTTATTAAGAATTTTTAAAGAGATAGGTCCATAGTGGAATGCTATAGCTAGATAAATGAAGATCAAAACAGGTAAATAGGTGAGGAGAAGGTATAAGAATTTCCTTGATCCAAATCTTAATCATGGACCTATCAATGAGGCAGAGGATGAAAGAATATTTTAGAATTATCTTAAGTATGGATCCTAATGGAGCAAAATAGCATAAGAAATGCCTGGAAGATCTGTATAATATTGTTCATTTATAATTTAGGAAAATATGGTAAAAAATCGCTTTTATTCATATATTAAGGAGAAATACCTAAATCAACCTAATCTGTATTTCAAAGTCAAACCACTTGACCAAGAAAACTTGTCAAAAGGTTCAAACATATTTCATTAATTTAAACATGAGTCATAAGAATAAAGACATCTTTAAGATATATTTAATGATTCTAATGAGATTGTCGATAACAATTAATCGAGTTTTTTTTGGAATTAAGAATCAAAAGCTCAAATCCATTACCTATTCAAATGAATAAGACTATGCAAAATGAGTTATAATATAAATATTGTGATTAATTCGATAAAAAATACTTTTTTTATTCTGATGGTGACTTGAAATAAAACTGAGGAATTTATAAAATATTTATCAATAAATCGCTCTGCAATTTTTTTGGGTTTTTTGTTTATACTTAAATATACGACCTCTGTTTATATTAAATTTTATTAACCTAACGCAAAATAATATTAAATATAAATAAAATCTGTTTTTTATTCAAGAATTCAGAAGAAATTATTGTTTGTAATGGATTCTTCTATGGTGTACATCATTCTAGAAAAGGTTTTAAAAAGATAGAAATTACTGAAATTATTTAAACTCGGCGAATTTCTCAAATATTTAAATCTTTATTTTTAAGTAAGTAGCCCCTAGCAGCTACATTCCCGAATTATAATTAAATTTATATTATGATAATCAATAGGATTGAACATGTAATAATCTTTTTTCTTTTTGTTTGAAAAATTTTGTGTAGGCAAAATATCCAGCAATTCCAAGAATAGCAATTCCAAGAATGACAATTAAAGTAATCCACCACCAATTACTTGAATTTCTATAGTGTTATAAAATATAATTACGAATCATCATCATTTGGATCAGGAGGAGTAGGACCAGGAGGAGTGGGACCAGGAGGATCAGGAGGATCAGGAGGATTCTTTTTAGTTATATGAAAGTTTCCTTTAGCAGATCCATAGTCATTTCTAGCAGTGATGAATACTTTTTGTTCTTTGATTTAATCTCCCTTTTAAATGAATAATCTTGGGAAATCATTAATTCCATATTTAATAAGCATATTTTCTTTTTATGCAATATTAAAAACTAGATTTGTATGAAGAACAGGCTTAAAAAAATTAGAATAATAATATTACTCTAGCTAATTGTACGTCTTTTGAAAGAATCATTACAAATTAAGTTGAAATTGATGTCATTTACTAATCTTGTTCCCCTCCAATTAAAGTTATAATTTTAGTGTCTTCTACTTAAATAGCATTATGATTAATAGATGGCAATAAATAAACAGCAGCTAGGATAATATTCTATTTTGAATTTGTATATGCAATAGCAACATGATCTTCAAAGAGTGTAAGCTTATTGAGCTATTACCATGTTCCATAATTAGCAAGTAAAAATGGAACGTTAGCATCATATTCTACAGGAGCTCCTTTATTAGTAGGATCAGAAATATCAAAAACGAATGTGACAGCGTATGTAGCCATAAGATTTGTTGATATTAAAGTTGTTGTATAAAGTTTTTTATCTTATTTCGTTGATTTAACTGCTCGAATTTAATAAAAATGAGTCTAACTTTCTATTGCAAATTTATTTTGAATTAACTAATAAATTTCAAATTTATCATGTTAAGAAAATTTAATATTTCCATTATCCCAAAATAGATCGACAAACCATATTCTATATCTAGCACTGGATAACAGAATCTTGTAGTAATTAACATTACCAACATCATATTTTATAACATCAAAATCTGAAGCTTAGAATGGGAACATAGGTTCAGTACTTAAGAATTTTGAATTGATAATCTTTCCTTAATCTATATCCCATGTTTTAGTTTCTAAATTAATGTTGACTTTGTGAACTCTAACATTTCCTTCAGTTTAGGTAGGTTTATCATTATTATTATCTAAAATAAATAAGATACCATCTTTGTATAGCAATTTTGATGGACGTTAAGCATCTGAGGTAAGTTTTTAAACTTATGGTTAAGCAAAAGAGCATGATTTGCCATCACAAAATGATAGATAAATATAAACAACCCCTCTTTCTACACATCCACTAAATACAGCTTTTCCATCATCAGTTGCTGTGATGGATATGCAATCAGCACCAATACCAACTGGCAATTTATGTGTTCCAACCCATTTGCCACTAGCATCTTATAGGATTAATGAATCACTTGTTTAAAAGATCATTTCAGTTCCTACAGCAATTCCATTTACAAAATGTTATTAATATTATGATCCATCAGAAATATGATAAACTGGTTAAGAAATTTGTATTAAATGTGATTCGCATTAATCACAATCAGCATCATATTTAATAACTTATCCAGATTACCATCCAGTAGTATTTATTTATAAATATTGATCTGTTGATTGATTAAAGAATACAAATTGTCCATCTTATTTAGAGAGTTCATCTTAATTAATGTTAATTTAAGTTTAAGTGTTTACATATTTGATTTTGTATATATTAGATTTAGGTTTAATTACTGCTTAATTAGTAATATTGACAGTAGCATTTAAATTGGTTACATATTAATTGGAAAGATGAGATGGTTATAATATAGCCACAGCATCTCTTAAAAATCCAATCATTTTTTATACATTTACTTGATTGTTAACATACATGTACATTTAATCATGTCCAGCAGCAGCCATATTCATTGGTTGGCCATCATTAATTTTTAAATGTGTTTTAACTACTTTATGTAATGATAATTAATAGAGAACATCTGATTCATAAACCAAGATTACTGTTTCTTAAGTCTATGGATCTAGAGCACGTACAAATAAGAATCCAGTTTAATAGCAGAAATCAGTAGTTAATGGAGATTGAATGACATAATCATAAAGTGGTAGTTCTTTCATCAAATAAATATTGTTTAATTTTTCATAATTGTATTCTTAAATTCTGAATCCTAAAGTAGGACTTTTTTAGACAATGAATATAGTTTTCATTCCAAGATATGCTCTAACATCAGCATCAGGAATGATATCAAAAATTTTAATCAGAGTAAAGGTATTTCTCATATCTCCAAAGAATATGCAATCTTTTGATTATATCAATACAAATTCACTTTTAAGAGCAGGATTACCAAAGACTCTTTTTGGTTCAAATATTCTTTCACAGCCTTAATCTTTCATTGTTTAATAAGAGATAATATGTTTAGTAGGAGTAGGGAAGAATCCAAACCAAGCATCCACTTCTTTTTTGTTAGGTAAAACAACATAGATAGCTTTTCTTAATACAGTAAATGAAGTAATCTTATTTTCAGGTAATTAGTCATAATTTATAAAAAACAATGGAGATGATTAATCATGACTACTTTCATAGACTGATATTTAATAATCATGTTCAATAAATTACAGTGTTAAGACATCTCCTTCTTCTGCATCCCAATCAAATTATGAATTAGTTGGATCTAATTTATTTGGAATTTTAAATTTAGCATGTTCTTCACAATGAACATCTCTTGATAATTTGTCTTAAGTGATACATTCAAATATTTCAATTTATTTATTAGATTCTAATTAATAAAGGAACCAGAATTTATAATTATCAGTCCAATGAGGATCAATCAATACATCTGCATAAGCTACATCCGATACAGTAGGGAATATTAATCCAGTTACATTGAGTTCCCAAACTGTGTGAATATCTACAATAACATGATCTTTTTATGAATCATCTCCATTTGCATATATTAAGTTTGGTCCTGCTGCAAATTCCTAAACTTCGATTGGTTCTGATGGATGTTACATTACTTATGGAAATGGATCATGATCAACAGCATAAATATTTGTATCATTTTCTTTTATTATTTAATATTTTAAAAACGCACTACATTTTTTTTAATCTGTTCCTATGGCTGAAAAATATAATTCATTATCTCCAAGTGTTGCTTCATAAGAATGGATAGATATTCTTGCATATCCTACTTCATATCTGTAAGTTAATGAAGTTGTAACAGCAATTAAATCTGGTTCATATGGGTTAACTAAATAGGTTTTAGTCATTAATGTCTCTGTATGTATTAAGTATTAATGATCAGAATTATATATATAGAAATTATTTCCACCTGGATTTACAATCAAAAATTATTGACTTGCAAAAATAAATGAAGGATGTTTTGCTTCAAATGCATCTAACCATCCTCCTTTCTAAACACCATCTATATATTCTACTACTGATTTCTAATGTAGTACTGCTATATGAATATGATTTATGCCTTCGAAATCTATTTTATTATTAACATCAAATGCATAAGCTAAATCAGTTCCACTATCTATTTTTTTCTTAAATTTAAATTCAGATTTTGAATTTACATAATATACATAGATCCCATTATAAGCATCCAATACATAGATATCACCATTTGGCATTACTTTAAAATCAATCAATGTAAATTTAAAATTTGCTTAATCTTCTTCTTTAATACCTAGATCTTGTATTAATAATCCTCTATCTAAATGTTATGTGGTCTCTACAATATCATTCTTATCATTGTTTCTTAATAAATCAATAATACAATCTCCATCCAAATTTGTAATACTTGAGCCTGGAGTTCCATAAGCATATTAACCTCTTAATAAAATCCTGAGAGGTTCTTCATCATCACCAATATTTTAAGCATTGTAAACATGATATTAAACCTTTCTATCAATAACAGTCTTATATTTTCTAGAATATGAGAATTCTATTTTTATTTCAGGAGGATCACCCTTCTTTATGATATAAACATAGTTTTTTGCTGGTACAGGATCATCACCTGTTTGTTCTTATGGTTCAACACAATCTACCAAAAATGTGTCTCTATCAATATATTCAAGATCCAAACATGTAATTTACTTATTCACTTATTCGAATGGAATTTCATTTGTAAATTAAGGAGCCCAATCCATTTATACTTGTTTTCTAATATATTATATTTATTAATCATTACCCTTCTGAATAGTAAAGCCACCAAGAAAAATCACCAGAATCTTGACCCATAAATGCAAAATCGTTGGTCCAGGCTCCAGTTTCAGGAATATCATAAGCTCTTATTGCTATTATTTCAATGTGTGCTAAAATCGATTATTTTTATATTACGAGCAATGTGATCCATTTCACTTAATTTATGTAATGGTTATTCAAGTTAGAAAAGAGTTGATGGAGTATCCAAATAATAAGTTAAATTATCCCCTACTATAAATTTTCTGATATCCCATTTATAATATTCTTTTTCAGTAGGATATACATGATCTGATTCCTCATGAGTAACTAAAATTAAAAATTTTCACATACAACAGGTTGGAATGACCATTATTGGCAATAATGCCAATAGGTACATATGGGTGAACATTAAAATAAATTTATTATTGAAGGATATGTTTAATTTTTCCATATATAATGTGACATCATAATGTAAATATATATATATTCTCATTCTTAATGGTAACATATGATTATTTTTATTTCTTGTAATGACATCAAAACTCTTAATTTTGATAGTGATTGCAGTAGCTGCTCATGAGTAACTCAAACTCCAATCATGCGATACAAAATTAACTAACATAAAAGTATTTCCATCTACAGGTGAAACCTTAGAATGGGATTTGAAGGATACTTTCTTTGAAGGAGCTTTTTTGACTTACAGTCTAAGTCCACCTTAATCAATGTTTCAAATTCAAAAACCATTTGCTTAATTAAGCAGTCCAAAACCACATTTTGAATCAATTAATAGAGTGACAGCATCTCGTGCTTTAACAGAGAAAGGCCAAAGAGTGTGGATGAATCATTTTGTTTTTATTGAAGTAGAATTAGATTCTATAGATTTATTTTATGCAGAAGGAGCATAAGGAGATAATGCTACTCCACCTTAATTCAATAAGAAATTAAGTGTTATTACAGGAAGTGCTTATCTATCTTGTCTTGGTGTAGATTATTTGAATAAGGATCAATTCATTCTAGATTGTATTGATAGTCAAAAATTACCATTTACTAATAAACTTTTCATTGTTGACAAAAATGGTAATTCAAGAATTCATTAGAATGGAAACTACAATAATTACAAGGTTAATACTAAAAGAATTTCATAATCTATTGTCTTTACCAATAAATTAGGACATGAACATACTTTCTTCTTTAGAGCAACTCCTGCATATGCAACTGAAAAAACAGGATTAGATTAATCCTCTCTTCTTGAAGTATTCTATATTGAAAGTGATGGCACACCTAGATTATAAAGTGTTTTAGATGCACCAACTTTAGGAGTTATCACAGATGTATAAAATCCAGAAAAATTCATTTTCTCATTAATTGATTTCAAAGTATTTCCAAATGGATTGATTTATATATTAACAGCAAAAGATGGAATCTATGTCTTAGAATTCTTAGGAAATGGTGAATTTGCCTTTGTTGAAAGAATTGTAACTTCAAAAGATTAAGCTTATGAATTTGATGTAGATTACTTATTGTAAGAAGATGGTACAATTAAAGAAGTCATAGCTATTTTATATAATGATTATGTTTAAGTTGTAGAAGGTAAGAAGCCTATAAATAATTATATTTTGGATTTTTCAGCATCATACCCAGCTACTTTAGTAATTTCATAATAATTCTTGATAATTTAATAGAAAGGAACTACATATTTGTTCAGTACAGAACATGAAGATTTCATTCACAAAGAGGTTTTGGAAGGAGCAAAAGGATACATAATAAATCCATATGAAACAGAGTTGATATCAATTACATAGGTGGATTCTAGAAGATATTCATTAACTCATGGTTTGTTAAGATTCCCAAGCACTTAGAGCACAACATCATCATTATAACAATTTTAATTGATAGCAACAGATACATATTCAAAATTGTGTAAGGTGACAATAAATTACAAGGTGTACAATGCTAGTGATTATACAGTTTAGCCTACAGATGAATTATAACTTCCAAATTTGATTTATGATATACCTGAACCATTCAATATTGATCCATTAGCATCAGGACCTAATTTAAATTATAATCAATTAGTATCTTAATTGGATTCTACAACAGTGACAGCAAAAATTACTTAATTACAAGAAATGCTTCTTGAATCAATAAGTTTACCAAGTCCTTCTTAAGTGATTTACTCTGATGTTTTGGTATTGGATCCAAATGATGAGAGTTATGCTCTACTATTATAGACATAAGACAAGAATGTAACTATGTATTAATGTCACATAAGAGATAAATTCAAGGCAAGATCAGTATGTTAAGAATATTAGAAATTTTCATTAAAATCTACTTTGAACTTGAATAATTTTATTTGGTGGTATTAAGGATTCAATATATATCATTTAACATTAGATAATGAATATTAAGCCACTATTAGAATGAGTGGTGTTAATGGAACTTCTGTAATAGAATCAATACTATATCCATAAGAAAGTTAAAACAAAATTTCAAGTGTGACTGTATTGAAGGATAGATTTTATTTTATTTTGGGGAATAAGAAATAAATAGATATTCGTTCAACATATAGTCCATTTGAATTAGAATATTCATTAACAGAAGTGATGATTAGAAATAGAGGATTTACAGGTTCTTGGAATCCATAAAGAATATTTGGAAATAGAGTTCATAATTCTTATTTGATGTTTATAGCTAATGATGATAATGTGATAGTAGCAGATTATCATGCAGAATTCACAATAATAAAGGCAATAATGTTGAGTAAGGGATCAATAGATATTGCTGTAGGATTAGAGAGTTTCTTTATAATATTAAAATCTAGTACTTAAAATTTGATATAAGAATATGATCTTTAAAATCTAAATTCAATTCATTTAATGAAAAATGTTCCTTTATATTGGTACACTTTATAGACTCCATTATAAACAGATTTTTGTTCTGATACTGGTGTCTTATTTGTGAGAGCATATGATAGTAAGAGTGCATAAACAGTTATTTTGGTGTATGGTCCAGGTAAAATATTAAGAGATTCTTTGATGAAAGTAATTCCTTTAGGTAGTAAGATAACAGATGGAACATCATTAGTTATGTCAACAGCAGGATCAAATTAGATGGTATTCTATGTAAATAGTGGTACATTATAGAAAGTATATTCTTATTTCAATTATCCAGTTTTAACAATATAACCAAATTATGATTCTTAATACTTTTCAGTGTATACAATTAAATTTTAAGTTACAAATTATAATGATGTAACTCCAATTACCTATAATTAAGTAGTAAATTTAGTAAATACTTAAATAACTATAAGAGTTGAATAGAATGTTCTAGATTATAGACCATTAAATGCAACAAAATCAGAATAAAATATAGATTTAGTTGCAGATTGGTTTTAAGGATAAGCAGTAGAATTAGATATAGATTGTAATTAATGTGATTCTTATGTTCGACCAATACAGACTGTTTAATAAATGGGTTCTGGTACATTTAATGGTTATCATATTATTGATGCAGCACCATACAAAGGTTCAAGAACAGTCTATTTAGCTAATAAAGAGACACTTAGAGTTTTGATTGCAGATAGTGAAAATAATGAGGAAACTAGTTATTCTATATCTTTATCAACAACTTAATCATAAACATGTGATCATATTGTTGCAACTGAAGATGGTGTTTATATTTTTGCTACTTGTTAACTCAATAATAATAAAATATTCCACATTGCTAAATGTTCAACAACTGGATTACTTGAATGTCATCAATTTGGTAATATCCAAACTATTGATGGTGTCTTTACTGTCTCTTAACTAGCTGTTTAGGGTTAATATATTTTTGTTTTAAATGCGAACCCTTAAAGACCTAAAAATTACGAAGGATCTCTCTAAGTTTATAAATGGTCTTCTGATTCACAAGAAGTAACATTTAATCTATAAAAAACATTTGATAAAGGATTCTTTGGATTTGAATCTACTTATTTCAGTAGTTTCTATATTGCTCCTTTCAAAGTTGGAGTTACTAATTATCTTAAAGTCTTTATTGTTGATGCCAAATAAAATCTATTTGCCATAGATGGTACTTTAAGTACTTTTGGAGTTATCACATGGTAAGCTGCCTTCTAATAATTGAATCTATACACTTTCATTAACCAAGGATAATTTGTTACTTAAGCAACATCATATTATTAAGTCTTAGAATTAGCTACTCCCTAATATTAAACAACAGATCTAACACTTAGAATTAAAGTACTTATTACTACTGATTCATCTGCTCATTATGCTATTTCATTAACCTTTGATGCTAAAAACGTAGCAAATGGATTACCCTTAATCTATCAAAATATTATCTATCTTTTAAATCAATATTCTAACTGGACTGCTCTAAACAAAGCTACTATTGGTAATGATTATGCTGTCATTGCATATACTGATAATAGTCAATTACTCTTAGCTTCATATCTCTTACCCAAAGATCCTATCTAAGGAGTACCTTTAATTAAATTTGTAGGAGGAACACAATCCAAATATGGATATCCATAAGTTTCTGATTTTGTAGCCTATATACCTAAAAATATACCATTCGTAATCAAATTTTATTTATTATTTCTAGCCAAGACTCTACGCTAACATTATCACAAACTTTGAAATCAAAGAAAATTTACTCTAAACTTATTATTTAAATCCCACTTTCCAACTCTATGTTTTCAATGTTGGTGGTGAATTAACTGAATAATATGTTCAACTCACACTCCTTAATGCATTCACATCTGATACAGGTTATGTTTTATTAAGATAACATAAATCTGAATAACAACATCAACAAGATAAATCATTATGGGAAACTGTCACTGATGTTCTTTGGTGACAATTACCAATTTAATGAGTTATCAATATCAAGTTAAATATCAAATTTTTATTATTTATTTCAACGATCTCTTTTTCTAAATTTTACACATCTATTTTTCTTTAATTAAATAATTCATTAAAAATAGTATTCTATCTAAAATTAAGTTTTGTGAAATATTATACATTTCACATATATTTTTAATAAGGAATCATTTTCTATAAATCATATGATAATGCCTTTTAAACTCAAATGTTAGAAAAAAAAAATATAAATTATTTTATACAAACTAAATACTTAAAAATTTTTACCTAAAATCTAAAATCAAGATTATAATTCTATATTTCATTTAAATTTCATCCTTACATTTTTATTTCTATTTTTCTATTCTAATTTTATTTTTTTCTTCTCAATATTTTGTTTTTTTTGTTAAAATTTTATCTATAATCTTTCACTTATATTTCAAAATATCTTTAGTTATTAAGAAGCCATTATCTAAAATATTCAGATTTAAAAAGATTTACACAACATATCCAAAATTTACTCTAAAACTAATATTCTTAGTTCTATTATCAACTTTAAAAAACCATTCATCTTAAGTTTTCTTTGAGTTTTAAATTTAATCAGATATTTATGATTAGTCAATCACCAAATTATGGAGTATATTGTTTAAGTTTATTTAAGTACATTAATAAATTTAAAATCAATTTATAAACTTTAAACTTATGTTTTTTTTTAAGGAACATAATATTTAATAATTAAAATCTTTTTACAAAAGTTTGGTATACAAATAGAGTAATTAAGCATATAGTAATATTAAATTTGGTGAAGCACAACCACTTTTTACTTTTCATCGTTCTAAGTAATTTTTCTAATAGTATTTCAATTTTCGATCAATGACAAAATCTCTGAAAATTTTCTTTTAAATATAAATTAAATTAATTTATAAGAAATATATGAAAAATGAATACATAAATAAATAAAAATTATACATAATTCATTTATATAACAATTAATAATTAATAATGTTATTATTAATTTCAATATTCCTTAGACAAATAGAAGCATGCAGTATTCATTTTAAAAATTGATTAGATATATTAAAAAATGATTTAGAGATCAGTATTTCTACATATGAAAATATGTATTGGGAAATAAAAGATGAATTAATTGAAGGGGAGATGACAAAGTTTCGATTAGAAGGAGATAAGAATGAGACATACTTCAAATTGTAATAGCCGAACGATATATATGATTAGAAATTTTTTCCTTATTGTATGAAATTCAAGCTTAGTTGTAGAGATTTAACAAATATTCAAGGCTAGATCATTGAGAAAAGGAGAATTTTGGTTAAATGAGTTTAGTTTATTAGGACAGGACTCCTAAGGATTTCATATATACTTAATATAGGATGAAAGATTTGAAAAATTGTCACTTTAATATGCTTGTACAGATTTCGATTATTTGGATTAAAATAATTTTGTGATTGTTTGTCACAATAATGAAGAATTATTGATTGAAATTTTAAATAAAAATGGAACCATCCTTTATGTTCATTCAACATAAACCTATTAGTAGAGTAAATACAATTTGGCAATATATAGAAATAAATAAAAGATCTATCTATTAATCTATATTCCAGCATATGTAGAAGAAATTGTTAGCATTTAATCAATAATTAATGTCTTTTTGATAGAATCCTACCAAATTATTTAAACACCATATTATTTGGATAAAAAGAAATTATCAGAGTTGTTTTAGAATGAACTTAAATATTTTTCTGTAATTGATGTTTAAGTTTATTCAAGTAATTTATATGTATTAGATTATAAATTGGGACCAATTGCATTAGTGTTGGATTCAAAAGGCAATTTTACTTATGCAAAATTAATAACTTCATCTTTTTACATAACAGAGTATTATGGTTTTTCAATAAGAAATTAAGATGAATTGATTGTTTTTGGATTTGTATAAAAAAATTAGATGAGTATAAGAGTTCTAAAAAATGGAAGATATGATAATATTGTGAGAACTTTTGAGAAAGATGATTTTTCTTTAGGGATATGTACAATGCAAATAACTCCTAAATATTATTTGATTAAGTCTAATAAAGAATTGATGATTTTTGATGATTCTCAACAGGTAGATCAATTGTCTATATAGAAAGAAGTTTTTATGGCAAATCCAAATTTTAACCTATATATTATATTTGGTCCAAATAAGGCTGAATTTTATGAAATCAGCCCAGGTATATTAATGTTTTAAAAATAATTATAAAAATCAGAAAGTTAAAAATATTTTAAATTATTAGTTACATAAAATGGCGATTGCTATGTGGATATAGTTTTAGTTGTTTATGATAAATTAGATGCAAAAATTCATACAAATTATTAAACAAACTTTTATAAGGAAAGAATATTTTACTATCCTCCATATCCTTAAACATATTACACTTGGCCTAGAATAACAAATGGGCCAAATGTATAATAATCAATTGTAATGCAAAAAGATTCAATGAAAAAGATTGATCTTAAATTTCTGTCAATATCTCCTTTGACTATTACAGGAATAAGTTAATTTGATGAAAATAATGTAGTATTTAGTCTTATAAATAATAATTTGGGTCTTAATCAATATTTAGTTTAAACTGAAAATTTGAGTGCTTTTATATATGTATGCTAATTGAATGAATTAGAATAGAAGTGCTCTTAAAAGAGTACATTCTATCCATTAACAAAATTGGTTGAAGATAATATAAAGTGGACTGAAATTGGAATGTATGATTCATATATTGGAATTAAAACCTAAAATAATCATGTAATTACAATATATAGACTTGGAGATTCTAAAATAGTTCAAATATTTCAAATAAAAACATCTTTGTAAGATGAGAAAACTCAAATCACCGATTTTACAATAAATGAAAAATTTGTTTTTGTATTAATTGGAGGATGGAATGAAATACAGATATATTCTTTAACTGGAAAAAAATAAATTGATACTATACCAAATATATATAATGCTTAGAAAGTTTATATAAGTAATACATTTAATAAGAATCTATTATTTATCAAGTGTAATAACATAATAGTAATTGGACATTATGTAATTGAATTTAATGTAATCTCTCAGATATAAGTAACAGAATAATAGAATGTTCAGTTACTCTTATCTATCTTTAGATCTACACTTGTAATTGTTTATAAGACAGTCACTGAATAAGGGATTTTGTAATATCTAATTCACAATTTGAACTAAGTAACATTACTTAGAAGGTTGCCATTATATTATTATTAATTGCCACAAAAGCTTTAATTGGCTTCTAATCCATTAAAGAATTTAATTCTAGTTACTGCTTATTCAGTGTACACTTAAACAACTGTTATTTTAATTTATTAAATAAATGAATATTAGAGAAATTCACTATTGACAGTTATTGACACTTTTGATTATTTTGAAAGTGAGTTAAATTATTGTGTTGCAGGTATTGACAATAGTGTGATTTAGTTTATTTATAAAGGATAAGTGTTTAGTTATCTTTATTTTGAGTAACCAAGAATTTATATCAATTATTTGACAGATAGAAGTCATTATTAATCTTCATTAATGTTGTAATAAGAGGAATGGAATGATTATTATAATTTTAAGAGGGAATATCTTAAAGAGATTATTGTAGTTGATATGTAATTAGAGATGAAATGGATAATGGAAAATTTAACTTTAGAATTATAGGAATCCATAGGTAATTAGATAATTGAAATAAATAATAGCTGGATTTAAGGTTAAAGAATATAATTTAAATTGTCTTGTATTTTATGTACAACGGATAATGATAGTGGTGAGATTTATTTGTTAAATTAATTTTAAAAATCAAATCGACAAATATAATCAAAGTTTATATAGTAATTAATAAATTTTAATTAAAATTATGTTTTAATTTTATCAGAATTAACAGGTACAAAATAATATTTGTAATTTTTAAATAATTATGGAGAGATTTCAAATGAAATAGAATTATAAAGTGAATATAATAATTATGTTGCTACAAGACTATTTTTATTAACAGAGTAAATATTGGTGATTTTGTATGAGAATTTAACAGCATAAAAACCTGAATTAAGATATTATTATTGTTGGGAAGAGAGTGAAAAATATGATTGTAAATTTATGGGGATTTTAGATATAAAGGATAGAAGAATAATAAGAGAGATAAGATATTTGAATAATGTATAAATAATTTTAACAGAAAGTTTGACAGAATATCCAACAGTATATTTTTATAGTTTGGAGATGGATAGCAAATATTTTAAAGTGAAATAATTTGATTTGAAGATAAATAAAGATTATTTTCATGAAAGTTTTAATGTGACATCATTAGATGTTTTGAAAATATCATAAGATGAAGGTTGTTTGGTATTTTCAGAATTTCGAATAGGTATAGTAGGAATAAGAATGAGATTGAGAAAGGATTAAGTTAATCTAGTTTAATATGAATATATGGAATTGCCATTTAATAAATAGGGATTGGTGGAGCCATAAGAAAATAGATTTATAAAGATAGAGATTTTAAAGGAGGGGATAAATCAATGTAATATGATTTTGATAGATGAAATAAATGAAAGTTATTAAATAAGGATGGATTATGGTGGAGGGAGATTGAAAATTGAAATAGTTTAAGTATTTTAGAAGTTGGGTAATATAAGAAAGTTTAGTACTATTGGTGTTTTAGATGTTTATCTGGTATAATTGTATAGATATGAAAATAAGAATTATTTTTGTCTTTATGAGATAGAATAGAATAATGATGTTCGTAATAATGCAGGTATATGTAAAGCTGGTTTGAAATAATCTGGAAATGATATGATATTATCATAGAACTTTATAGTAAGAAGAAATCATTTAGGTATAAATGAATTATTGATAAATGTGTATGATGAAAGAAGTTTATAAATATATACAATAAATTCAGCAGCAAGGATAATGGTGAAGAATGCAACAGAGGTAAAGAATTACACATTGAATTTGATAGCAGTAAATCCATACAAATAAATATAATTGGGAGTAAATATAATATTAGTAGAAAATAATGAAGGTGATACGGAAATGAAATTATTTTTTATACTTTTAATAGTAGTTTTGGGAATATTGTTGATTGGTATAATATTTTGTGTAGGAATCCATATGTGTATTAATAAACATCGTAAGAGAAGAAGATCATATAAAGCTATTTAATGATTGTTTTTAAATATATAATTATTAATTCGATGACATAATTCATTTGCGTCATGATTTTGTCTGTTTTTTTTGTTTTACTTGGTAAGGCATCAGAATGTGGTAAAGTTTAATGATATAATAAAGAATCTTTGATATAGGAGTTTTCAATAATAGGGACAGTGAATGAGTCATTGTCTTGGGATTTACATAAGACATTTTTTAGAGGGAGTGATTTAAAATCGAATGTTTCATTATCAGGTATGCCATTTGCAAGTACATCTGATCCAATATAACAATTGGGATATGGCACTAATCATGGAGATGAAGGTATATAAAATATATTGAATAATATTTTTAGATATAGGAGTGATACTTACTTTGAAGCCATTAGTGAGTTAAGAGACAAGAGCATGGATGAATGACTTTATTTTCTTAGAGTAAAATGAAACAGATGTAGATATTCATTATTCACTTAAGTATAAATTATTACCACAATTAGTCATCCATTACATACTTCTTAGACACCATACTTTTATGATTTTATTACAGTACATAAGAGTCCTGCACTAGTATGCTATGATGCAGATTTTGTTACTGAAACAACTATCATTGTAGATTGTTCTACAAATCTAGCTGGAGTGGCCAATGGATTCATTTTCATTGATGTTGTGTCTGGGGAAAAACATATCTAAAATAATGATAATCCACATAATTATAATTTAACTAAGGCTAGAAAAATTGTTACACTTAATTATACAGCATAAGATTAAGAATTTGGATCTGTTAAAGCAAATCCTAAAATATATTTATTTAGAGGGGAACCAGCATGGGCTACTGAAAATTATACTAAAGATAAATTAGATAATGATTGTGAACTTGAAGTATTCTTAATTGATTTTAAATCTGAAGATGATTAAAAATATATTGCTATGTTGAATACTACTCTATTAACTAAATTATTACCCTAACCAGTCGATAATTTCACTCTTATTGATTTCTAAATTGAACCTAATGGAGAATTATATGTTTTAGATGCATTTCATGGAGTTTATGTTCTCTAAATTACTAATACCAATCAATTTAAATTATTGTAACATTTTGAAAATCCTACTAAAGAATAAATCTATGCTTTCGATTTCAATTATTTAGGTAATCCTGATGGAACTTATACTTAACATTTAGTTTTAGCTTATAAAAATAAAGTTGTTGTTTTTGAAAATTTCATTCAAAAATAAATTTTCTAATTACCTCATCCTGCTGTCTATGGAGAACTTAGACTCTCAATGAGTTAAGAATTTTTAGTTATTATTCAAAAATAAGGAACATATCTTTATCATATAAATGAAGCTATGTAATTATTTAAAAATGAAGATTATTTTGAATAGGTTTTAGTTAATCCATATTATCCTGATTTAATTGGAATTAATTAATAAAAAGCATTTAGATATGCACTCAGTAAAGGATAGTTAAATATGTTTTCATAAAAAAAACCATCTGAAACATAAATCTAATTCAATCTTAATTCTTGGCCTCAAAATGGTGGTAAAATGTGTTCTGTATTAATCAAATGTACAATTCTACCTGAAAATGATACTAATATATATAGAACATCAGATGATCCTTTCCCAGATGAAATTGTTTATCCTGCTAAACCAATTGTTGTTGATTTATTAGCATCTGGTCCTAGTCTAATTTATTAATAATTAGCTAATAATTCAAATGTCGATCTCACATTAGATTCTATGTGGGAAGTATATGTAAAAGGAGTTGATCTACCAGAAGCTAAAGATGTAGTCTACGCTGATTTGTTAGTCTTAGATTAAGGAGATAGAGTTTATTTCCTATTCTAAACACCAGATCAAAATTGTACTATGATTAGATGTAGCAATCATGATATCAAAAATACTACATTATAATAATGTAAGAAGATAGATGAATTTCATGTCCCATTTATCTTAAATAAAACTAAGAATTCATTCACTTGGTGGCAATCCTATAACATGGTCACCTATGTTTATAAAGAAACTGATTTCTTAATTAAAGTCTTTACTAGTGCTGGCTCAAGTCAAGAAACTAGTAGAATTGAATTTGATTCTTAAGATTCAACTAATAAAATATATTCAGTTGCTTATCTTTAGAATGCTGTTTTCATAGCTTAAACTGCTAAATATTAAATAAGTGTTTGGAGTGTAAGAGGTGATATCAAAGAAATTTATGTAATTAATTAGAAAGTTTTATCTTCACAAGGATATAATGGAACATTCATTCCTGTTGCAGTTTATGGAAATCCTAAAATTAGAGGATAAATTGTCTTCATCTAAACTTAAGAAGAAGTCTTAATTGGAGAATTTGCTAATGGTAATAATATTCATATTTTCCATCTAATGAGAACTATTCCCATTATTCCTAAATCTCAAGTTAGTATTGCTATTGGTCCTTTCACTTTTACTATTGTACAAAAAACAGCAAGTGAATAAATCTTGGAAGAATATGATTGGTAACATCTTTAATTAATCGATTTAAATAAACGTTTACCACTCTATAAATACTAATTATAAGAACCATTAAATATTGATTATTGTTCTTAATCTGGATGGTTATTTGTTAGAGCTATTGATACTGTTGCCTAAGAAACTGTTATACTTGTTTATGAACCTAATGTACTCTCTCATGTCTCATTACATAAAGTTATTCAAACTGGTTACAAAATCACAGATGTCTTTGATATGGCAGTTGATGGTAATCAGTAAATGTTCATCTATTTCAATGATAACAAAGTCAATAAATTTATAACTTTATTATAAGATGCTGTTCTTACAATAGAACCAAAGGAAAATGTTACTGATTATGTTAACAAACTTGAATCTACTGTTCAAATTAGTAGTGCTTTAGGTGGAAATTCTCTACAAATTAATGAGAAAATTAAATTAATAAATACAAACTCTAAAATTCATGTAAAATAAAAGACCCTTGATGAAAATAAGTATATGTTCTATTATCATAAAAATGATGCTGATTAATCTTTGGAATTCAATACTAATTGGTATGTTGGATAGCCTTATGATCTTTTCGTACTTTGTCAATAATGTGGAGATTAAGTTATGATTGAACCATAAATTGTTAAGAGTTCTAATGGATCTGATATGAAATATGTAATTTATGATGGATTTTAATTTGATAATGATACACTTGTTTATTAGGCAGATAAGGCTTTAATTTTCTAACATAAAAATGGAAGTTTTTTGAATAGAATAAGTCTTGAAGCATCACTTGGTGAAGCATAAAGATGTGAATTATTGACAGTTACTAAAGATAGTAAATATATCATCAGTACAGTTATTGGAAGTGGAGATGTTTAAGCCTTAGTAAATGAATGCACAGGAACTAAATGCTAAAAGTTTGATTAAGGAATAGTTACTTTAGCTGGAGTATCATAAGCAATTAAAATGCGATTTGTTTTTGGACGCAATTTTATTGTTCTGAATACAGATCCTGTTAGTTATTCTAAATTTGAAAGTAGCATTATTGTTTATTCTTTTAACACAAGTGGTAGTGCTTTTAGTATTCTATCTTAAAAAGTTATCAACACAAAATATTTAGGTGCAACATCAACTGTTTAGATTGCTGATTTCTGTCATCTTACAGTAAGCGAATCGATATATGCTATTTTATTTACTGATATTAATAAAGGAATTTGGATAGTCAATCTTGGTTCAAATGTTGATGGTTCTGTTACTGAACTCAATAAAGAATTAATTAATCTTAGAGGATATGAAAATGAATAATACTATTTACGAGATGATACTCACTTCCATTAAATTAAGATATTATCTTAAGAATAATCTGATAAATTATTCAAGATTTAATTACTTATCACTACATCTAATGTTGCTAATTACATATTTTACATTGAATTAGATATATCATCCAAAACTGGAGTTTCATACAAATCATAATCTTTGAAATTATAATAAGTTTTGTTTAATTATGGAGATTGGAAATCAGCTAACAAAATGTCATATGCAGCTAATCATGTTAGCGTAGCTTATACTGATGGAAATGAAGTTTTATTGGCTGTCTATAAGATTGAAGTTAAAAAACTTGATGAAGTTAAAACAGTCCCTTTCATTTATGGAATTAGAGCTGATTACAATTCACCATTACCTGCAGATTTTGCTATGATATTGTCATAATATGAAAATTAAGTAAATATTTATTATATTTATAGACATATCTTTATGCAAATATTGAATTTGATAGTCTATTCTCTGAACATACACTTTATAGATATACAATTAATGATAAACCAAAATTGCTATTAAAAAATTGTTCCACTTTAAATGAATAAGTCATGGATCTCTATGCAGTTAATCATTTTGGAGCTTCTTTTGGTAAAATTATATTATGGGATTTTGAGAATGTTCCAGATATAGATGATTCTAGTAGGTAATAAATTATTCTAATATTAGTTCTAATTGGTGGTGGATTACTTTAATCGTTATTTTTGGAGTAATTATCCTTGGGGGTGTAGGATACTTTTTGTACAAGAAATTTGGAAAGAAAGGAGTTGAACCTTTATTAGGTTGATTCAAAATAAAAATATTTTAAATTCATAATTATCAATTTTCATTATTATTTTTATTTGCATTCACATCCTATTCAATAAAATGGATGTACAAAATTTCTTAATTTATGCTAAAGCCCAATTTTTCATTTAATTTTAAAAAAATTCATTGAAATATTTCACAAAAATAATCAAATTATTTGAAATTAATAAACTTATTGTTTCTTTTTATTTTTAATATAGTTATTATTTTGCTATTGATTTTCATCGATAATTTAATAATTTTTTCTTTTTACTTATAGCTATTCTTTTATTGTACATATCAATAAATATATTATTCCTTCTTTAAAAACTTATAGGTAAAGATTTATTACAAATTAAAAATTATTTTTAAATATTATATATTGTTTAAGAGGATAATAAAGATATTAAAGTTACACTTCTAAATATGTTTAACATTTATAATATATATCATTTTATGCAAAATCTTAAAATTTAAACAAAAATTTTTAATAAATTCATCATTATTTTGGATGAGGTAATCGTATTATTTTAATGACTTAAAACTTTATCAGAATTTAAATACTAATTTTTCTAAAAACTGTCTTAAAAAAATAATTAAAATATGTTCACAATCTTGCTTTCATTAATAGTATTGTTAAATGGATGTTCAGTTTGGAATGATGATACATTTTACATTATTGGCACTTTAGGAGAATAGCTTGATATAAATCTGAATGAGATTTTTAGAAATAAAATAAATTAAAAGTACACAGTCTCTCCCCCTTCTGAACTTTATTCAATCTCAAGTTCATTGGAACTGATAGAAAAGAAAGCATATTATAGTATTGAGTAAAAAGAAATAATCTCTTCTAAATTATACAAGAATTCTGGATATTTAGATGTTGCAAATTACATGACCATTTTAAGCAAAACAGAAAATAATTATTTTATTGAATACAATTCTGTAATGTTTGAAAATACACCAGATATTGACAAAGTTGTGTAATTAACTGTTAAACCAAATTCAGCATGTTATGATATAGTATAAGTAAATTTATTATATATTATTGAATGCAATGATGTTGAAGGAGATTATTTTGCTCTTTTAAATCAAAATTAAATTTCATATTTTACGATTAAAAAATTGGAGAGATCATAATAAAGTAAACTTGATTAATTAGATGATTTAATTTTAAGAACTTTATACCATTCATTAGAGTTATATTAAATATAAAATGATTAAATAATTTTATTAAGTACTCTTGATTCAGAATTATTAAAATAATTAACAAAAGATGACACATTTGAACTTTTAATTGTTGATTTTTAATTTCATACAAATAATTAAATAACTATTTTGAATAAAAAAGGATAATTTATAAGATTAAAGTTTATGATTTAATCCAAATAATGGGAATTATATGAATATTTATTGACTTAAACAACTCTTCCTTATGCATATGATTATTCCTGGAAATTTTTATAATTAGTTATTATTTCAGATAAAGCAATTTATCTTCGTTAACTTTCAACTTGGTCATAAAAAGAAAATTTAAAAATTGAGTCAAATGATAAAGTTTATTTGACATAGAATTAAATTATCTTATTGAAATAAAAGTAATTACTAATTTTAAATTAAAATTTCTTAGAAATATAAGAAGTAAATCTATAGACTTAAGGATTTTTAACATCATATCAAGCATTTGATTCATTTTCATTATTTGATTAACAAAATTTTTATGCTTACACTGTAAATTAAGATGATAAAAAAATATTAAGATTTAAATCTAATTAATTAATAAATGATTACATATTGTTTAAAATATCTTAATAACCTATATATAATTTATGTGAAATAAAATGCTATTATAAAGTTGTAGATAAATCTACTAAGGATATTTATGAATAATTTTCAATTTCTAATAGTTTTTTCAAAGGGGGATTTCTATTGGATGAATAAGATTCAATCTAATTTACTTAACCATTTGTTGGAAACAATTTAAAATTGGAGTTTACACCTAATTAAATTGTTACTTTATAGTTTAGTAGAAATTAAAAATTAGAAATTCTTAATGCTGGAGATCCAAAGGAAGTAATTTACAGAAGATTGATTCCAGAACTTGGTCTTACAAGTTATATAGAGTAGAACAAAGATTTGAAAATAACAGGATATCTTTGTAATTTAAAGGATTAATAATTTTAATGTAAGACTTTCATATAAACACATGATTTTATCAAATTATTGGATTCTCCTCTTTAGTAATGGTTTGCATAATTTTATACATATTTAGCAGTTGGAAAAGAGAATAATATTGATCTATATTGTAATTGTAATGATTAATTTTAAATATCTCTATTAACAACTTTAACAATGGAGAGTAATATCAAAGATATTAAACATACGCTCTCTTATTTATTAATATTAATTGAAAAAGAGGTACTTGTCTATTAAATTAATAATATGAAATAAAGACTTGTTCATCGACATTCAGCTGAAAAAATCTTTACTTCTACAATTTAAGATTTAGTTTGGATATATGATAAGAAAACCTTATATCTTCTTGATATATCAGATAACTCTAAATTACTTTGGTTTACATATTTGAATGACTATGATGATATTGATATAGGTATAGCTTAAAATCAATTTATTTTGCTAACAAAACAATAAAATTTATATTAAGGATTTGTTTATGATTATAAATATTAAAAATTTGCTTATATTGTAAAAGAAATAGACTTAATAGGCTATACTTAAGTAAAGATTTGTTAAACATGTAACTAATATTCTAATTTCGTATATTTAGAAGCTTAAAAAAATGGATTTCAAGTATTGTTAATTTACAGATTAGATTAAATTGCGATTAATTCTTTATTTTTAGAACTTTCACTTTTAGCTGATAGTTAAATTTCATCAAGTGGATAAAATGTATTTATAACTAACTCTAAATCCTAAATATTATAATAATATCTTATTCAAAATGAAGATACTTCTTCTATAAGTATTTAAATTGATGAAAAATATTAATAAATTAAAAGCTGTGAAATTATTAAATTAAATGGATTAGTTTCCAATTCTGAGAAAAACAAAGAAATTAAAGAACTTCCAATATCTTTAATTAATAGAGGAATTTAATTATTTTAAATTGTTAAACAATTAAATTTTACTTATCAGAATGATGGAAATTTAAATCATTGTTTTGATTTAGGATAATCTTGGTATAGTGGATAAGCTTTTGATATAGAATTATAATCACCTTTTGGTGATATCAAATATGAAAAAACATTAATTAAACAAACAGAATCTATTGATTATAGTGAATCCATTATAGAATTTGATAAAAATAACTTACTTTAATTAATGAATAATAAAATTATTTTACTTAATAAAGCAGATTTTAAAACTACTGAATTTCACTTAGATAATCAATATTCATTTACTAATATTCTTTTTATCAAGGATAATCTTATATATGTAGAAGCTATTTAAAATTAATAATATGTCCTTAAGCTTATATAATATAAAAATTCTTAGTTTTCTTTATAAGAAGGGTTAATTAATACAGATGCTAAAATAAAAAAAGCTTATTTAAATAATAATTATTTTTTTATTTGGGTCAAATCTAATGTTTTAGAATATGATACAAAAAATGAACCATAAAATTTATAAAATTATGCTCTTATTAAAAATATACCTATACCATCTTAAGAGGGTTCAATTGAATTTTAGTATATCCAAAAAAATGATGTTTATTAAATTATATTTTTGGATCAAAGTTGTTTACTTTAATTTTTTAGTTTTTAATAGACTTCAAATAGTCTTTATAATTCTGTTTAAGATATAGCAGAAATTTTAAGAAATAAATTACTTTATGATCCTTAGAATTAAAATTGCAGACAGATGTTTTTAAAAGAAGATGAAATTGTTGTTGTTATCTCTGGAACTCCTTCATATAAATTTAAATTTGTTATGTAATGTAGTTAGAATAATATTTGCGATATTACTCAATTTAATTTAATATCAGAATTTCAACAATATGGAAAATCAGAAATAGACTAAAAATATCCAAGTAGTTATTTAAAAGAAAACATTTTATCTATAAATTATTAATCCAACCAGGGTTATGATATATTACTTTATGATCTTTAAAGTTTAAACAATAATATTGGACCAAAATTAGCAATAGCTCAAGTTTCTTCAATAATTCAATAAAAACCAATAATAACTTTTGTTTACAATTATAATGAATAATTACATTTATTAGTTTCAGCAGAAAATAGTTAAAAATTGTAACACTATTTATTAAAACGATCTGCTCAAGTTTGCATAGAAAAACCTTCTGTAACTCAAGAAGTAAAATTTTTATTGAAAAATTCAAATTAAGAAAAAATGGTAAATTTATAGATAAACATATCACCAAATGTTCCACCTGATCCAGATCCAACTCCTGATAATAACGAAGGATTTCCATTATGGGCTACTTTGACTATTGTTGCAGGAGTTGTTTTATTAGTTGGAGTTGGAATCTTAATATGGTGTTATAAGAAAAAAAAGTATATAGATGATACAGAATAATTGATTCAATGATCAAATTATAAATAAAATAAGATTAATCATTAATAATTTATCATTATTATTATTTCGTTAATTTATTTTCAATATTAATCATTTATTAAAATTATAAATTAAGTTTTTGGATTTTGTTATAATTTTGTCATGTTAACACATTTTTATTAATTAATCCATATTTTTATTTTAATCTATGAGTATATATTTTAAAAATAAGAATAATTAAATAAACCATAAAGATATATAAATGAAGAGAGTTTCAATTTTATTATCATCCTGAATATCAAATACTATAAGAAAATAACGATTTTGCATTTGATTTATAAATTAAGAAGAAAAAGATTTATCAGTTCAATACAAATTTTGGAATCAAATTAATACTTTTTGGAATTAAGATAAATTTAAATTGTTGTATGAAGTATTAAAAAGTTAGAATAAAATAATTGCTACGATTTTAAATTTCTTATTGATTCTAAAATCTTCAGCAATAATGAGAGATAGCATGATGAAAGAAAGTGTCTTTTCAAAGTGAAGTTTATATTTTAGTTGCATGAGCTTGTAGAGTTTTTTAAAAAAATTGTAAAATCTATTCTTTAGTGTGTGGATATCATAAAAATTTTTAATTTGCTAATTTTTAATTTAAGTTATACTAAAAAATTCAGTGATGATATGGGATATATTTATGTGATATTGAAATTATCATAAATCCAATTCATTTAATACTCAATATTTTAACCTTAATACAATTCGATACAACATATATAATGATAATCAATTAATTTTTGTCAAGTTTAAATGATAATATTATTACTATTAGAGATTCAAAATATATATATATTTATATTATGAATATCATATATTAATAATTTTAAATATAATATTTTTCATTCAAACAAAGTAACAGAATTAACTACTTTGTTTTTTGAGCGAATCTTAATAAATAAGTATGCTAATAAAGCTATCATAAAGATACATCCAATCAGTATCATAATAATCACCTAATATAAATTATAGATATTACTAATACTCCTAAACCTTCTTTTTTAGATTAATTCTCAATTACTATTTAGATAGAATTCTCATAATAGTAGTTACTTGCCATTAAAGTGAATTCATGATTTTTGACAGTACTATTAATAATTAGATAAGAATTATTAAATATTTCAGCTTAGAATATAGTAAATGAGTCTTATTGATTAAAATAAAGTTTAATATTCTCTTCCTCATTTTCTAGTAAGTAGATAACTAAATTTAGATTTTTATCTAATTTAATAGTAATTGATCCATGAATTAAAACAGGGTTTATTTTTAAATTGTCAGATTTATTAGTAGGTATTTTATAGATGGCAATTAATAGATTTTCTTAATCAGGATAAAGATATGCAAGAGCTAAATAAGACTATTTAACTTAAGTAAAGGAAATGAGAGGCCATAATTAATGTGTATGTAAGAGATAAGAAATAGAAGTTTCAGATAATTTGGATCCTTTAAATTAGACAATCAATCCATAATGAAGGGAATTAGATGTTATAATTAGAATATAAAATTCAGTATAACCTTCAATATGAAAATCTTTAGGATCTTAAGTAGATATTGTGCTAAGATATAATTACATTTCAACTTCAAATAAACCATTGCTTTATAGAAGAGTTTGTAAATTAAGATTGATTACATTAGATTTAATCTACATATACTTCTCTTAAGCCAAATCTACATACAAAACACCATTGTGACTTTCAGTGAGAAATAGTTTATAAATGAAAACGCCATTTACTTAGTATTACTACATACTAATATATTTAATATTGAAGTCTTGATTTGCTCTTTATTTATCTATTTTATCTGTTAAGGAAAGTTAAACCTAAAATTCATTCTTTTTTATATCATATAGATTAAGTAATGTTTATAGATACTTAGGATCTTAACTTAGAGTAATCAAAGTTGAATTGATAATCATTATTTAAAAAATGAATTCATTTTCTTTCATTAATTATGGATTTCCATATTTCTTACATTATTAAGCACATTCAATAAATTATAAATATTGGCCAAATGTAGTATAATATCTGAATGCAATTAATTTACTTACATGAGAACTACAAAACACATTACCAAGATCTGCTTTTAGATCACTTATATCTATTGAATCATAAAAATCTATAAAATTATTATTAACAAATTAGATTGAACTTTGAGTCAATATTACACTTATTTAATCAATTTAACATTAATCAATAATTTTTGATTTAAATTTACGTTTTATATCACGTATCTCAATAGATTGTTGTAACTATAATTATGCATTCTCAGTTCTTAATTATGTTATCAATCCTGTAAAAATTGAATTGTCTATTGGAATTTTAATATCTTCTGTTATTTTTAAAGTTATTCCATCATTCTTTTTATTTATAATTGTTTCTAAATCAACTAATTTAATTGTTTATTGATATTTTTTTTAGATTGGATAATCTATATTAAAAAATGATGATTCCACTTGTACAGTATGTATAAATAAATTATCCTTTTGATTCTCTACATTTATTGTTGATCTTAAATCATTTGTTAGTAAATATATTAAATCAGATCTCTAAGAATGAATGTACATTAATTTCATATTTATACCACTTACTGAACATAATGAATCTTAATTATCTTCACCTATTTTGATCATAGTCAATAGAGAATCTCTCAATTCAACTAACACTTTATAAATCAATATCACTCTTTGTTTCAATACTGGACTATAAGCAAAAACATAAAATACATCATCTTAATAGTTATTAATCATTTATTTCTCAAGCCAGAAATGATACGTCTCAAATTTCTTTTAAAATATTATATAATGAGGATCCTTTATCAAATATTCCATCAAAGATAATTCAGCTTCTATTTCAGCTAATACAATCAATACATTATCTCTTTAAATCTATATCGATAAACTCATTGCATTCTCAAAAACTATTTTATTTACCAATGTACATTTTATGAAACATTAAATTACTAATACATCTGCTTCATTTACAATTAATATAAGATTCCATTTTTTACACACTCTTATTTAACTAGGTTTAAATTCAACCAAATAATTCTAAGTTTGTAAAAATGTTTAATCTATTTTAAATTAACCTATTCCTTGTAATTATTTTAAGTAAATTATCTTTCCTTACAAAATTATTAAAAAATTATTAACCTAAACTATCTAAGTTATTTTCAATTAACTTTATTTTATTGTTTCATCTTATTAATAAATTTTACTCACTAAACTTAATTTATTAAAATACCATTTGTATATAATAACTGAATTTTAATTTACTACATATATAAATACCTCTTTTGTAGATAAATTATAATCATATTCAATTTAATCTTCATTTATTATATTATCCAAATCAATATTGTACTCTTTTTCACAATTAATCTTTAATTTTTGTTTGTTGAATTCACAAGATAAAAACTCAGTTTATAATTGCTTCTATTTATAATATTATAAAATAAAATGAATCTTTTAATTATTAAGTTGATTAATCTCAATATTTATACTTTCAAGCTTTAATTTGTATTCATTTAACCCTTAAATTGGTATGATAATTTTATAATCAGTTAAAATGTTAATTGATTACCATTCATTTTCTTTTACAGTAACAATCATTTTCTGGTTTGGTCCTGATATTGAAACATCATTTAAACTATAAATAGATGGAAATTTTGGAAAAAATAATATATTAGGATATGGATTTGGATATGTATAAGGTTTAAGTAATTATGAATTAGTACTACTTGTTACAATATAAGATACTCTTGCTTCACATTCCATTAAATAACTACTAGCAACAACTGAAAATTCTACAGGTGTCTTTATTATCTCTTTTGGAGGTAATAATATTAAATAACCGTCTGATAATATAAATCTACTTATTTAATTTTCTTAAATAATCATCATATCATTTAAATCGGAATTAAATATGAATTAAATAAGATTAAACTCTTCTTAAAATGTTAGAATTTTATTTTTCTCAGTGAATTTATATATGATGAGATTTTTTCCATCATAAATTGAACAATATTATTGAGATACTTGTAAATCTGCTTTCTCAATATTAATACTATAATCTAATTGATATTATTCGTCAGTTTCTATAAAATACAATCTGTCTTCAGAAATAAGTGAAACAACAATAAGATTTAAAAAGTTATCTAAATAAGCACTTATTTTTAGTAGATTTTCTTAGAAGAAAAGTGATTTTACTAATATAAATATAGGTTAATCATTCTAAATTTAGATAGTTAAATATATCATAATATTCAACTTATGTGCAATAATAATTTAATTAGCTTTAATAGTGATATCATTTATTTCAAACTTTTAAACCTATTACTACATTAATTAAGATAATGTCTCTGAATTTAATTAAATCCCTGATTTTTATTAATAATAAATATCAATTATGCATTCATCTGAAACTTATATAACAATCACTACATCATTTACTATATTTATCATTAATTAATTTGATTTCTCCTTTATTGCATATTAAAATTCTTATATTGATTTTCCTATTTAAACATATTATAAATAGTAATCATTTTCTTCAACACATAAAACTACAAAAGAAAAAGGGCTGTCTTATACAAAATCAATGCAATTTCTTCGAGGTAATAACTGAATTATGTTCTCAAATATTGGAGCCTTCTGAAAATCGCACATTCCATATTGGATATAAAATTATTGGTCAGTTCCTTATAACAATGCTAAAAGTTCTCCCCATTATTTAACAATAACATGATTTTAAATAATTGGTTGAGTTTGAACGAAATGCAAACGTTATTATAAAGAAAATTATCGACTATGAGAACCAACTAAGGAAAATCTCAAATTGGAACCAATAAAATTGTCATTCATATTTAATTCAAATCGTTCTCCTATTGACAATTCAAAATGGTGCTCATCATTAAGAGTAGCTTAAAATTGTAAATTTCNTATAAATCTACTTATTTAATTTTCTTAAATAATCATCATATCATTTAAATCGGAATTAAATATGAATTAAATAAGATTAAACTCTTCTTAAAATGTTAGAATTTTATTTTTCTCAGTGAATTTATATATGATGAGATTTTTTCCATCATAAATTGAACAATATTATTGAGATACTTGTAAATCTGCTTTCTCAATATTAATACTATAATCTAATTGATATTATTCGTCAGTTTCTATAAAATACAATCTGTCTTCAGAAATAAGTGAAACAACAATAAGATTTAAAAAGTTATCTAAATAAGCACTTATTTTTAGTAGATTTTCTTAGAAGAAAAGTGATTTTACTAATATAAATATAGGTTAATCATTCTAAATTTAGATAGTTAAATATATCATAATATTCAACTTATGTGCAATAATAATTTAATTAGCTTTAATAGTGATATCATTTATTTCAAACTTTTAAACCTATTACTACATTAATTAAGATAATGTCTCTGAATTTAATTAAATCCCTGATTTTTATTAATAATAAATATCAATTATGCATTCATCTGAAACTTATATAACAATCACTACATCATTTACTATATTTATCATTAATTAATTTGATTTCTCCTTTATTGCATATTAAAATTCTTATATTGATTTTCCTATTTAAACATATTATAAATAGTAATCATTTTCTTCAACACATAAAACTACAAAAGAAAAAGGGCTGTCTTATACAAAATCAATGCAATTTCTTCGAGGTAATAACTGAATTATGTTCTCAAATATTGGAGCCTTCTGAAAATCGCACATTCCATATTGGATATAAAATTATTGGTCAGTTCCTTATAACAATGCTAAAAGTTCTCCCCATTATTTAACAATAACATGATTTTAAATAATTGGTTGAGTTTGAACGAAATGCAAACGTTATTATAAAGAAAATTATCGACTATGAGAACCAACTAAGGAAAATCTCAAATTGGAACCAATAAAATTGTCATTCATATTTAATTCAAATCGTTCTCCTATTGACAATTCAAAATGGTGCTCATCATTAAGAGTAGCTTAAAATTGTAAATTTCATACTGCACTTCATTTTTGCACATCGGAAGAATTAATATAATATCAATAAGCCTAAAATCATTTTACAATATTAATAATTAAAAATTTTGAATAAAAAAAAATATATATTCATAAACAATTATGAATCATACTTTTGCAATTAAATGAATAATTTATTATTGTTTTATTAAATGAGAATTTTATTAAAAATTAGATTGAATTAAACAAAATTTTTATACATAATTCTTAATTCTTTTATATATTATTGGTTAATGCTAATAATATAATTTAATTCTAATTTTTAAGCTAAATGTTATATATTTTCAATTAACTAAATATAATTCATTTATTTATTCATGTTTGATGAATATTATGAGGGAATATCTGCAATCTCATAATTAATTAAAAAAAAATAAGAAAATTGCACATTCTTTTTAAATTATCTCTTAGGTAAAATTAACAATCAAGTTTATGTCTTTTAAATAAAGTCAAATATAATTTCTCACAATTTTAAAGACAATAATAAATAAAGAAAGTTAACTTATAATTCTGAAACATTTTCTAACTTAATAGAAAAAGGTAAGTCAGGCAAAATATTTTTTAAATAAAATCTTTATTTAAATAAAGAAATAAACCACAATTAATAGGAATATAGATTTAAAAGACAGAACTGAACGAATATTTAATATTTAAACTTTAAATTTGTTGAAATAATTAAAGATGAAGTAATTGAATAAATGAATATATGTATATTTAGGTATATCATTTTCTCTAACTACTTTCTCCATAAATAATTTATTTAGTTTATACTACCTACTTAGTTTGTATGACTTTTAAGTTTTCATTTAGGAATACCTTATTCCCTTTTTACTTACTCTCTTTTTATTTAAAACAATATGATGCTTCTTCACTTTCATTCACAAATGGGATAGGAAGTTTGAATATTCTAAAATAAAAGATAAGATTCCAAAACTCAGTAGTTTGTTAAAATTTTAAATCAAAAACTTTTAATTAGTCCAATTAATAGTTTAATTAATGAATGTTAAGTATTTAAAATTCTCCTACATCAACAATATTCATTTTTGGGATAAATTAATTTCCACATCCTTTTTTTTTTGAACATTTGATTGAACTATTTAAGTAAGTAGGCACAATCTTATGAAGTATTTCTTCAATTGAAATTTATCTTTTGCAGTAAGAACATTCATTTTGAAATACAAACTATTTATCATTCAAATCATCATATTGATGAATTTGTACGTGTTCTTTCAATTAAATGAAATCTTCTATATTCGGAATTTCTTTATTTAGATAAGTAGCTAATTCATAAAATTCCTTGCTATCTAATTATGTCATATGTATAATTTGTAACCATATTCTATAAACTTATGCTTACAATGCTGTTTATTTATTTCTAATATAGTAATAAGGAGTAAGATAAGGGAAAAATGATTACTTTTAATGAATTATTAATTAAGAATTATTTTAATCAGTAATATTAATAGTTTTAATATCTGCAAATATTTTAGTATTACTGTTTTCACTTGTCTATTAAAAAGAAGAATTAAAATATGTAATATAAGTATCTAATTACCTATTTGCTTAATTGTTATCTATAAATGAACATAAAAGTTGTGTTTTTGAGAAGATTTCCCAAAATTATCCTTTGACTGGATATTAAGCTTACTTTTTCTTTTAAAAGGAGACATTCCAATTTTTTTATTTGATATCATAATCAAATGCATGATTTAAGATTTTCATATTAATTTTAAGAAAAATCTCTTTAATGATTTTGGCATTGGTTTCATTAATTTCTTATTTGACAAAAGGATCTAATTTTTTCTTTAATTTATCGAAGAGAGGAAATTCAGGAGGAGGACAAACATGGAAAGCAACATTATAATCTAGAATAAATTTATATCCTTCAGATTCACAAGCAGGTTATGGTAGGGTTTCTAATAAACCAACAATATATGGCTCTGGAGTTTCTATAATTTAAGAATTGTCATAATTCAAATAGCAAATCAACAATTTTTAATATTGTAAAGGATAAATAAATGTCATTAAAGCTTCTATTACATAACCAGGATGTAAAATAGAACTTGAACATAATCTAATTTTTCTCTCTGTTAAAACTGCAGTATAAAGTTATATTATATTTTCAACAGTTATATTACGTATAACATACTCAATTGATTTCAATTAACAAGTAGGATATTTGATATGTTTTTGAAATAGAAATTGTTGGTCATTGATTATTAATTTAAGTGAGATTTTTTCAAGATTTATAACGTATTTTACCTGTTATATAACTCTAGCTAAATAAGACTAAAATTCATTTTTTGATGCTTACTTCTATTTATGAGTCATCCTTAATGGAATATAAGTAAGTGAGCAACTAGGAAAATTAATTAGTAAAATTTTGATAACTAATTAAGGCCATCACTTTTGGGATATAAAAATTGTTATAATTTTCCAATTTAAGTTTTAGAGCTTACTTTTTTTTAATCTATTCATAATAACGTAAACAATAAATATAAATGAGATCACCTTTGGGAGATTACATTAATTAATAATAAGTGATGATCTAATTAAAAGATTAATTTTGAGTCTTCTATAAAATTTAAATTCCTTCTGGAATACAATAATTACTTATTGCAGGATTATCATTAAATAAATTTTAATTATGTTTTTGTTTTTATGATTCCTTGTAACAAAATGGATATAAATCAAGTATTTCAGGAGTGTAAGTCTATTCTAATGGAGGTTTCTCTATTAATAATATGAATAAAAATAACTTACATCGAATTATTTATAATTAATATTTACTAAAAGATAGAAATTTCACAATATCTTAAATATTATGGTGTGGATCATAGTCTTCTAAAACTAAGTTTATTATTGGAACATAATCTGTTTTTCTAGTATAACACAATACATAGCATGTATTCTATTCAGAAAAATAAGGACTCATATCAAAGCGCTCTTGATCTTTGATGAGACTCCAATCTGTCATTTGTGTTGATTTCATTACATCTGCCTATTTCATTATTGGACATAAGTTGTATTTGTATTTAAAATTTATTTGGCTTTCTCTGACTTCAGCATACGTAAATGCAATATTTGTTATTGGATCTTTATTTGCTTCATTATAAATGCAATGTAGATATAATTTCCCATTCCCTAATATATCTAATGATTCCTATTATATAATATTGTGTTCATTAAATATTGTCATCTCCTTTTTATCATGCAACTAAATTGATGTCAACATCCCTATTAAATATCCACTTTATATTACTTCTTTAATTTTTCAACATCGGAATCATTTTCTCTCCCAATCCAACTAAACAATAATTTAAAATCAGATTCTAAGCATTTTCTTAATTTTGTTACATAAAATTATAATTATTATTTCAATTCAAAATCAAATTTATATTCTTTCCCTTATTTCACCATCTCAACAATCAATACATCATCTCTTCTTTATGACTTAATCATAGAATAACATTTTTAATTTCTTCAAAATAATTAACTCATTCTATATCACAATTATTCCATTATAAAGAAATTGATGTACAAATTATTAATTATTTTGCAAACTCATATCATCATATTAGGTTAATATTCTCTTACTATATTAAATAATTTTATTTAATCAATCATTAATATATACTATCTAATCTAGATTAAGGAATTCCTTAAAACTAATAAAAAAACTTTAATTAATCAAAAAATAAATATTTAGATATTTCATTATCCCTATTTAGAAATATTAATCATTATATTAAAATGAATTAAACAATTTATTTCAATAAAATAAGTTTAAACTGATTTTAATACTTAAACTATCTGTATCAGGTTTAATAAGAACTTTTTTTATATTTAATTTATTGGTAAATTTTTTTTGTTTCATTGAAAGAATGAAATAATTAGATTCATCATAATTATATAATTATTTATGCAAGATTAAGTTGTTAAACCCATTTATCTGTCTGTGAATCAATTGACTGATTTATTCAGTGATCCTCAATAAAATTCTGTAATTTTAGATGATCATCAAAATTATGACAACAATTTTCCAAATCAAGATTCATTTGCTGACTTACCTCTAGAGTTTAGTTTTTCTGCTCTAAATTTGATTAATTCCGAAAAAACTATTAAGGAAATTTAAAATAAAGAGAAGCCTCCAACTAGTGTTTTAGTTAGCAAAGAATACTATTAAATGATAATGTTGAAAATGGAACTGAATAGAAAATTGAGTGAATAAAATTAATAAATGATCAAAGAGAACTAAGAATTAATATAAAAACGTAAACAGCTTGAAGATCAGAATGCTGTAATGCTTGATCAGAACTTTTAAATTAAGAGAGATATTTCAGAAATGAAATAAAAATTATTTATTTCTTAGAGTGCTTTACCTTTAAGGAAAGACAAATAAATAATCGAATTAAGGAATCAATATAAAGAACTTTAAGTAAAAGCATCACAAAGATAAGAGACATAATCAACAATTATGACTGAAAATAGTACTGCAGACTCTGATAAATCTAATTCTTATTATTGCAATACAAGTCGATTAGTAAGAGTAGATTAAAGCTCTTCTCATCATTAAGCAACTAAACCTTATAGAAGCAGAAACAATTCCTTTGTCAAAATTGTGAAAAATTGATTACCCTCTCTAGAGTTTTTGATTTTTTGTTTTTTTTCGTAGAATTTATATCTATTTTTAATCATTATCCATCCTTTCATAATTGTGACATTTATCAAAATATTTGATTATAATTTATACTTAAACAATTTTTTCTATAAAAAAGAAACAGATTGTGAAATCAGAAATAATTGAAGGTTTAGATATAGTCTCTAAAGCGATTCATAAATTTTATTTATTTTATTCTAAATATAATTACATTTATCAATTTATATCTATATAAGAATATATTTTATTGTTCCTTCTAAAGATTTTTAGGATGGATTTTGATAAACCATTCTTATTAAATAATTTATAGACATTATTTAAATATTAAATTAATTTATCTAACATATCTAAAAAATTATTGAAGATATTATAATCATAAATTAATAAATTATCCTTGTCATAAAATAAATCACAAATAAAAAAAAAATTTGATTGGACTTTTTTTAAAATAAAAGTATCATATAGTTATAAAAATTGCAATATGAGTGGAGTTGAAAATTGATTAAAGTAAAATCATAATCTTAAAGAAAATATTGCTGAATATAATTTAGACCTTTATATAAGGCTAAGGATTTTCTAAAATTTAGGAATGTTTTTTCGTAAATTTCTAATTATTGATAGATTTAAATTAAATTTGATCTAAAAATTTTAAGAATCTCAGTTTAGAGATTATTTGACAATTTTTGAAGATTTCTTATAATTGCAGTTTTTTAAAAATATAAATCCATTAATGGCTAAAGTAGATTATGAAAAAGGATGTTAGAATGTAATGAATTTATTAAACATCATAATAGTTAATAAAATAAATATCATCTTTTAAAGTTTCTTTTTTTACAACCTGGAATATGTCTTTCAGCAGCTTATTCACTAAATTTACGACCACAAGCAGGACATTCAACTAAATCATCTTAAGGTTGAATATCTACAGTTCCTCCTGATTTTGCTGCATTTATCATTTATCTAAATGCTTCTGATTATTTTTTCCATTTTGGATCTCCATTTTAAGCAACTTATTTTTTTTTTT